TGCTGTAATAGCTGCTTGATTGCTTGCTCTTATGTAGAGATATTGTAGAAGGAAAGTTCACTGGTATTTTGTCTTGTTCGATTTTCCTCTTTGATGTGTTTCCAGTTTGTTCGGTTTGGGTGAGCATTTTGATTGGCTGGAAATGTGCAGCTGGCTAGAAAGGTGCGACATGAGTACATAGTGTACCATGTTATACGAGTAACATAATGCGTACACATAGATCGACGGTATTACCACATTATATGTGGAATGTTACGAAAGTAACATAAATACGGTACCGTTGCTCAAAATACATATGAATTTCGAGTCATCTGTGTCAAACGCACTGTTACTATTGCCTTTTTGGCAGTATTTTTGACGGTACCGTTGCTCGCTTTGTAACATGCCACGCAACATTTTCAAACAGAAATGTTACTCTTTGCCATAAATATTCGTGTCGTACCATAAGTAATTTTCAGGCAGGATATCCATCGCTCAAACAAAAAAGTTACTTTTCGCCTTAAATATTCTATCGTATCATAAGTAACTTTCTGACAGTATATATTCATCACAAGACAGTATTATTCATCCACAATACAAAAATTACACTTTCTCGATCCTTCTTCTTTGAGAGATGCAGGGTCAAACAACTGCAGAAGAACAAGCAAATATGGACAGTGACGTCGTGATGGAGGAAGCAGCAGCCAATAACGACCATTCCGACGCTGGAAGGACGCGCTTTGCACCACCAGAAGACTAGGCTACTTGGCATTGGTATGCCATCAGATATAATCCACAGTGCCGCCCATACATTGCTGCCTGATATACAACAACCAGCCAAAAAACGAGTGACGACCAGTTGACGATTGATGAGGCTATTATTATAGACGGTGATGGGGGCTGGTGCTGGTGGAGGCGTGCTGGCAGGGAACTCAACTTAGGAGACTTGGTCTTCCAAAGCATCCAGATATAAGTATCCAGCAACTGCAACAACAATTTAGCAACGTTGCTGCTCGATCTCATACAATTGCTTCAGATTTGAATGCCTACATCCTGCATCGTGAACGAATTCTAAACAACAACATTCGTGCTTCTGGCGGAACAATTGAAGGTGGCTTGCGAATCCAACTCCAACAAGCAAATACCGGCCGCAGACTACTACACTACCACTTCCAGCAAGAGGAGCAAATGCAGATGTTAGTCCCATCGTAGTTGCGAACATGGCTATTCTATCGGGCAATCCCAGGTCGTTAAACGAACTCTGGCGGGAGTATCAGCATGGGATTGCTGGTCGGAAGCCTGCACGTTTTTTCACGGCTAGAGAACGAAAATCTTCCAGTCAAATCTAGTGTAACAGTTGCATTAGTTTTATGAATATGGTTTACATAGTATGCTGTAATAGCTGCTTGATTGCTTGCTCTTATGTAGAGATATTGTAGAAGGAAAGTTCACTGGTATTTTGTCTTGTTCGATTTTCCTCTTTGATGTGTTTCCAGTTTGTTCGGTTTGGGTGAGCATTTTGATTGGCTGGAAATGTGCAGCTGGCTAGAAAGGTGCGACATGAGTACATAGTGTACCATGTTATACGAGTAACATAATGCGTACACATAGATCGACGGTATTACCACAGTATGCACATGATATCATAGCATGTAGACCATGACACAGATTCCATGGTAGCATAACGGCACGCGTGCGATCCCCAAGACAGGGCTACATTCAAGTATAAGAATCGATTTTATAAAAAATATCCGCCGTTCCGATATGCTCGCAACGTGACGTGACGTGACGTGACGTGGTGTTTGTTTCCAGACGGCAGAATAAATTATTAAACACGTCTGCCTGTAATCCTACTGCCGAATTTGCTGTATGTGTGGTGGACAGACATTCAACAAACTGTAGCATACGGAATCTATGCTTTCTCAATTTGAAATTCTCAGAACTCCATCTCTGATCACATTGAACATGCGAAGCTTCGCCGATCTCCGCAGATATCATTTTATTATTTGATGTTTTGAAAGACGTTGACAACACACCTGAAGCTGACAGCAACCTTTCATAGCAAAGTCTCTTTCTTGCAACGAAACGATATCGAAGTTTACACCCAGCACAATCAACAACGCATATTTGAAACACACCCACACCCACACACGCACCCACACACTTCTGCAGTATCATAGAAGAGATCGAATCAATCATCCACAAAACATCCAAATATATTATATCCAGCAACAATGACTCATCCATGTCTGTTTATCTTGCTGGTTATCCTCAGCTCCAAGTCAACGCTTGGCTTTGTGGTACCTTCCTCGCAGATTTCCTCAAACGCGGTCAGAATACCATCATCATCAGCATACACGTCAGGAGCGACAGGAAGAACTTATTCGTATCGTACCTCATCGGATAATGATGACACTTCCTCCTCATCGCAATTGTATGCGGAATACGTCCCTCAGGATCCAGGATCTCCAACGGTTGCCAAAAAATCAAAATCGCTTCATCCTCAAGTAGGTGATTTGGTACGGTATTATGATTTGGATGGAGGAGATCAAAAGGGGCAAGAGTTGGTGGGAAAGATTTCCTACATTGTTCCGGTATTGTCCAAGAAGAACAGCGGTGCTGACGGTAACTCCTCCTCGCAAAGCAAAAACAACAACAACAATAATAATGAAAATAACAAGGAATTCCTTGTGGACCTAACGCAACTAGAAGATACGGGAGATGGGTATTATGCCGAATTCTCCAGTCAAAAACGCATGGGCAAAAAGGCGAATCGCAATCTAAAGTTTGTCTCTCCCATCGTTGCCTCCTACGTACGAGCCGAACAGGCTTATAAGGTTCCACTGACGAACGACGGTCAACTGCGAGTCCGACAAGAGACCTATGATTTGGATGACTACGAAGGACCCATTTTCAAGGTGGATCAAGGGGTCGTCGCTCAAGATGGACTCGTCTACGGGACACTGAAATTCAACTTGCTCAAGAATGCGGCCATTGCGGGTCTCGCTGGATCCATCGTGGTCAACATTATCAAGGGTCCGGAAGATGGTGCCATTTATCTGGCGGGTGCCGTTGCAAGTGTGGGATACCTCTTCTTTTTGAGCGTCAAGACTGACACCATATTCAGTGACGATGCCAAAATTGGAAGTGGTGTTGCCAACTTGCGATTCCTCATGCCCATTTTGTTGTTGGTTGGCGTGGCACTCTACAATCAAAGTCAGGGAGAGTACGCTGGAACTACTACCTTTGATACCGTCACACCGGAACAATTTGGATGCGCCGTGTTGGGATTCTTGACCTATCGGGTGCCACTCTTTCTCGGTCAAGTCCAGGATGCTCTCAAGGAGGAGGTAGATGCCGGTGGACTTTTGCCAGGAAGTGCTGGTATCGCCATGCAACTCATGAAAGGAGATGCAGCTGCGACGACTGCTTCTGGTGCGACCCTTATTGCCAATCAAGACCAGCTCCTGCCAGTGTTGTTGGTCTCGGGACCACAATTCACTGGCCGAAAAGAATTGGTCCAAAAGTTGTTGGAATCCGATGACCGATTGGTATCACCTCGGTTAGTGGATCGTCAACAAGACGGGGTCACATTTGAACGTTTGGAGGATCGAGGTGGATTCTTGCAAGTGGATCCCAGTGGTCGTTACGGTTTGACCAAGGAGGCTATTTTGGAGGCCTCTCAACAACCAATGAGTGACACTGGTGGATCTGGGTGCGACAAGGTGGTGGTGGTGGACGCCGACGTGGGCCTCGCACGGCAAATGCAAAATTTGTCGGGAACCCGTCTGGTGGGCGTATGGGTGGGCTTGAAGACCGTTGCCGAATTCGAGGAACAGTTGGAAGCTGGACTCGAGGCCGGGACGATTGTCATTCCAGAAGACGAGCCCAAGGAAAGTTTCATGCGTGGCAAGGTGAAGGAGATTGTTCAAGAGATTGATTTTGGTTTGGGATCTGGTATTTTTGAATTCACAATATTGAATGACGGATCGGAAAAGAGTCTGGAAGAATTGAAGGATGCTGCCGAGTACTGTTTCAAATGATCATAATCTGGCATTTTGTCGTTTTGAAAGCGCTAGTAACTATTCATGGCATGCTCTGTCTGTATTGGTTATTTTTATTACAAAAAACGAGAACTAGCATGTAGAGTCTCTTCTTATTGCTAGGCTACCGAGGTGTTTATGCTCTTGACGAATGAACCGAACGGTCACACAGTAGTAGTTTGGCACACTGTAAGTTTCCACACTGAGACGCCAAATCCTTATTCCTCAGTGAGATTTCATTACTCGTATATTTGAGTGCATCATAGTGCCTTGTGCTATGTTGATGGATAATCCATTCATATATGCCGGTCAGAAAAGACTTCTCATCATTAGAAAAGCAATCTCAACGTTGCGGCCAACCATAATTCCCAGATCCATTGGTCATTCAATCAACCAATCAACCAACCAACCAATCAATAATTGTGAGACTTATGTATCGGATGACGGTGCTGGTGATGCTGCTGGTGATGCTGCTGGTGATGCTGCTGGTGATTCTGCTGGTGATGCGTTTTTCTTGAGCTCCGTGTTCAGAACCAAGGCCAAGGAAGTCACCGTACCAACTCCCGATCCAAGAATGGCCCCCAAGGTTCCTGTAACGTTCAAGGGAAACATATTGGATTGAATCGCTTGAGAGACTACGACGTATCTTCTAGTCGCAAAGAGCAACAGGAAGGTGCCATTGGTAATGAGAATTCCCGCTGGCAAGACAATGTCCGTCCGAATGCCGGCCATGGTCTCTTGATGGTAGGCGGCAAAGAGGGCAGTCCCGGCACCCACAAATCCCAATCCAGTTCTGCCCCAGGCCAAAAAGGTTCGTTCCGCAGCAAGGAGATCTCGTGCCACACTGCCAGTATTTTCAAGATTCTTGGATTTCAATAATCCGGCCCCCCAAAAGTTGCGGAAGGAATGTGATGATGATGATGATGATGACGCTGGTTTGGTGGTGAAGTTTGATGGTGAGACTATTGCGCAATCGTGGCGCTTCAAGACTGACCCCAACAAAATGGACGACACTCTTCGATTACAATTATTATAATTCATTGCTTTTTCTCAAATCTACTGCAGCAATGATACATATGTTGTACCTGGTACGTCTACTGTACAGTGCTGCAATAAAAGAGAAGAGAATCGGAATGAGCTACAGGAATACCGGTAGATACGACTCATCGGAATATACCGGTACTGTAAATGGCGTGTTCTTGTTTTCGGTTTTTGACGTACGTACGTGTACGTCCGCGTATCTTTGGGCAGAAGATTTGACTTCTCCGATCCATCAAAACCAATCAAAACCAAGAGTCAAAACGTCGACAATTTTGGGGGCGAAGATACGCGATATCTGCAACGATGATGAAACAATAAAATACCGGCATCTGCTGTCAAGCAAAATATAACATATCCTGCCCTATAGATATATATTATATACCGGCACAATCATCAATCAATCGACGACGTAATCCTACTTTTGGAATTGGCAATATCGTAGGTTTGGATTGAATCGAATGCCACCCACCAGGAAGAACTGAAAAATAATTGACATTGTACCCAACAGTGCCCCAGCCAGCCACCACTGCAGTCTATGATGATGGTGACAAAATGTGCTTCGACGATTGTTTCCAAGTGCTTACCACTGAAGATGGCGTCACTGCTACCACCAATCACTAAAATCTCAACCAAAGGAATCTTGAGTTCAGCGGCAATCAGCAGTTCCGTTCAAGCCATTCCACGCGGTGGAGGAGGAACAACCTCGGTGGATTTGTCTCGATTGTCCCTCGAATTCAGCGCCATGAGCTCCTACGCCGTCGTGGCCAGTTTACTGCTGGGCTCTGGTCTGTACTTGTTTGCCATTACCCCATTGACAATTCCAGATCCTGGAAAAGGACCACCGCAAGACACCCGCCTTTCCAAATGGGCGACAGCCCTTTTCGCTGTCATGGTATCCGTGAACATTGCCATGTCCTTACATACGGTCCTGACCTTTAATGTCATGAATCTATATGCCAATACTGCACTCGGAAAAGGAATGGACGACGCGTACATTGCCTTTTGGGACGCTCCCTTCATTCGGAATTTGAGAGGATCGGCCTTTCGAGCCTTTTTGGTGGCCATTCGAAGTTTCAAAGTCAGCTTTTTGCTGTCCGTCTTTCTCAAGACCAATGGCAAACACAAGTGGGTTGCAACAGCTCTAGCGGCATGGCTGATGATCTGGTCTACTTTTCAAATGGAAGGAATGATACAAGTTGCCGGTCAAACTATTTTCAAAGCGGCCAAGGCTTCCGCTTCCATGTGAGAAATAACGGATGACTGTTGTTCTTCTTGAAAGGATAATTTTCATTGTGTATTATAGTATATGGCAGGCAAACGCAGCGTTTCACAAAAAAATAGACGCACGTACTTGTATTGTATTGCATCGGGGGATTGATTCATGGAACAATGACTGACTCATTTTGAAATGTTGTTGTTCATGACATAGTTGGAATGTCATCCAAGGATATATATATATGTATATATATATATATACTATCCATTGTTGGTCTGCTGAACAACATAATATATAAGCTATCGCGATATCAATAACCTTTATGTGAAGAAAGCGCTTCCTTAGTACCTTTATTCCTATTGACTTTTCTTGCAAAAGCAAATTTGATTTCTCTTGTAAGAAATACAGTTGCTATCTAACTACCATGACAAGAGCAAAAGACGCATCCATCTTGGTGTCTTTATATGAGATGATGATTGCATAATACATTTTAACATCATTTCTAAGTAATCGAACGAGTCGGAGATATCGACCATTCAAATCGAAAATCGCGTCGCAAAACACGCATCGCATCATCATCATCATAATATATTCAAATCTATTGAATATGCGGTAATCATCATCATCATAATAGCAGCCTCATTTCTCTTTTGATTCACCATCATCATCATCCTTTGCTGTTGTCTACAGTTGGGATACTTCCCGGAATTTACCAAAAGTTAATCAATCTATCATGGAAGCCATCAAAGCACAACGAAACCAAAAGAAAGGGTGAGATTATATATATATATTCAATATACGCAGTCGTTCTGCATGTTATTTCGTATTATTCTCGGATCATTATTATATGTGCCTATATACACGATGCCGTCCGTTTTGCAACGATTGATTCACTCATATCTATACTTCTATACATTATAGCTTCACCATTTTGGGACAGGACATGGATGTTATTCTTGCTGTCTTTGGCAACATCGTATCGTGGATGGTCCGTCAATTCGTCCCTTCCTTATTGCCTCGACTCTTGCCAGCGATTGACGAAGAAGACACGTCTGACACTCCGTCTCGTGATCAAACAAAATGCATTGCCATTGGCCGACCTGGCGGTTCCGAACAATTGCGGGTCATTACATTGAAACCAGGATATGCCACTGCTGGATACAATATTGGAAGCCCGACCTTATTTGTGGATGTTTCATCATCATTGCCCAAGGATACCGTGGTGGTCAAAGTGGCAGCCTTTTCGGTCAATTTTGCAGATTGTTGCATACGGTGGGGTGTAAGTCAAAGAAGATTCTGGATTGGAACTGTATATGGATTATATTGACGCGCTAACTAACCATTTTCATGTTCATTTTCATTCCAAAATACTCCAACTCAAATCAATCCTATAGTTGTACGAAAGTGCCAACAAGTTTGTCGGATGGCCCATCGTTCCTGGCTTTGACATTGCCGGTACCATCGAACAAGTCTCGGAGGATTATTCGGGCGATTTCAAAGTGGGCGACAAGGTATACGGTGCCACCTTCTTTGGTAGCTATTCCACACGGGTCTTGGTTCCTACGAAACAACTCCGCAAGTTGCCATCCAATCTCACCATGGCGCAAGCCGCAGCCGTACCAGCCGTCTCTCTCACCGCACTGTACAGTTTGCACTTGGGTGGACAATTCCCACCAGGAGTAGCGATGACTCCCAAGAATAATAATAATAATAATAATGGAGTGGACCACAAACGAAAACAATCCATTTTGATTCATAGTGCTGCCGGTGGGGTTGGCAGCATGCTGGTCCAAATGTCCAAGTTGTTGGGAATGAGTCAGGTGGTGGGAGTCGTGGGAAGCACGTCCAAAGTGCAAACCGCCAGGGAACTCAATTGCGATGTCATTATTGACAAATCCAAACAAAATTTGTGGGAGGCAGCCAAAGAAGCTTCTCCCGATGGATACCATGTGATTGCGGATGCCAATGGTGTCTCTACCTTGCAGGCATCCTTTGATCATCTGGCCGCCACTGGTCGATTGATCGTCTTTGGGTTTCACAGCAATCTTCCAATGGGAAGTGATATGTTACATCCATGGGCCTGGTGGAATATGATTGTCAAAATGATATACATGCCCAAGTTTGATACGATGGATTTGGTGACTCGTAATCGATCCATTTTGGGGTTCAATCTGAGTTTCTTTGTGGACGAAATCGGATTGTTGGTGCAGTTCTATGAACAAATTAGTGATTGGCTGCAAAAAGGATTGCTGAAAGTACCACATGTAGTGGAGATGAATATGAAGGATATTTCCAAGGCACACGAGTTGATACAGAGTGGCAAAAGCGTTGGGAAGATTGTCATGATGACTGAGGAGGACGATGGTGGAAAGACTGCTACTACTACAAGTGAGACGTATGGATCAAAGAAGGCTCAATAGGATTTTTAGCATAGTAGTGTTAGCTTAGCTATTCTTAATTTTGACTTGCGTGAATGAATGAATCTACCTAACTTCTTGCTGTACAACAGAAGTTGTCATATGGCGATTGTACCGGTATGCGATAGTACGTATACGAGTACTCTCCAAATCGGAGCAAAATTCTTAGAGTGTTCGAATCAATCGAACCAATCGCGGAATTGGAAAAGGAATTTCACACGACAAACACACGTGATGGCCAAATTCCTGCATAAGTAGTCTAGTCGTATTTAATGGAGTTCGGCGAACACATAATTGAGTTTCTGTTGGAGAAAATTCGTCACGCTAATCAACAAAAATAAACACACGGAAGCTTGCTTCCTAGCACCTCGGCAGGCGTGTTTTCGTCAACCTGACAAACTTCAGGTAAAACGAAGTGGGTTCCGTATGAAACAACAAGCTTTGAGGGTTTGGCTGCATGCTGTATTTGGACGCTTCAGAAACTGCCATTGAAAAAGTGAGGCACAGCCATTGTTGTTAGTCATCTCTCTCTTTTATTCACCTTGCTACCTTGCTGCTAGTTGGAAATCATCAGCGGAGGCGAGCGAGATTGAACATATCATATTGTGCGATATTGTTGTGATCTAACAATATAATATATATCTTTTGAGATCACACATCAAGCAAAGCAAAAAAGACAAAGCGAATACGACAACAATACGATTGTAATACCATTTCATCATGTCGGCGGTAAACCCCGAGAAAAAGAAGTTGCTCGCGGCAATTTACAACAATCCAGACTTGTCGGCTCAAGAGAAACAGAGACAAATGCAAGCGCTCATGAAGGGAGAAAAGTTGACTCCTTCTACGCGCTCCATTGACACTACTTCTAGTGCTGGCGGAAGTGCTACCGCTGCTGTCCCATCGAAAGCGCGGATTTCCTTGTTGGATACTGGAAGAGAACCTTCTGGATTAGAAGTTGGAATGATGAGAACAAGTGCGGAACCAAGTCAGCCTACGATTCAGGAAGAGGATAGTCAGGAATCGTCGGAAGGGGAAGACAGCAAACCAGCAGCAGCTGTGGGTAATCCTTCCAATCTAGATGTAAATGAACGGAATCGGCTCATCAAGGAGATCTACATGGACAAGAGCCTGTCAGGACTCGAAAAGCAAAAACGAATTCAGGAAGTCATGAAGGGACAGACTTTGAGACCATCGTCCCGCAATCTCATGGCTTCTTCTACACCTGCGACTGGACCTACTGCTGCACCTGCACCGACTCCAACAACTGCGACAGACTCGGCTGCAGCGTTGGGTAGTGTAGAGGCTCGGAATAAAGCAATCAAGGAGATATACATGGACACAAGTTTGAGTGGAATCGAAAAGCAAAAGAAGATCCAAGCCATCATGAAGGGTCAGACCTTGCAACCATCTTCTCGCAACTTGATGGCGGCACCATCAGCACCCAGTGCAAGCAACGTGAAGGCGCCGTCACCGGACCCCTACGAACCAGCGGCCATGCCCGATTCGGACGATGATTCCGTTCCACCCTCGCCAGAAGAGGATGATAAGGTTTTGGAGCCAGTCTTGGAACCAGCTCCAGGGAGTCCTCCTTCTTCACCATTCCGAAAGACTGTGGACGATGACGTTGATTCCATGGGAGACGAAAAGTCTGGAGATCCATCTTTGGATGTGTCCATTGATGATTCCATTGAACCATCCAAGCCTGCTCCAGCACGGGAATCATCACCATCACCTCCTCCGTCGCCTTCACCACCACCTTCGAGGTCGCCATCACCGCCACCACCATCTCCTTTGCCACCACCGGTTTCTCCTTCACCACCACCGGTTTCTCCTTCACCACCATCCGCATCTCCTTCTCCGCCACCAGCTTCACCATCGCCGCCACCACCAGCGCGTGATCCATCGCCTCCGCCACCACAGCAAGAAAGAATAGCTACACCACCACCATCGCCCAAGAGAGCACCGCCTTCTCCACCACCAACACCACCAAAGGGACCGGCAGCAGCATCTCATCGACGAGAAATTGTGAATCTATTCAAGGATTCTTCGATGACAGCTTCAGAAAAGAAGAATGCAGTGAAGGAGGTTATCAAACGCGCACCACCGCCACCTCCTCCACAACCATCTCCTCCACCGTCGCCATCGCCATCCCCAAAGAAGGACTCACCAAAGGAGGAATCAAAGGTGGCACCAGTGGCGGCTGCTACTGCTGTTGCTGCTGTGGGAGCAGCTGCTGGAGCGGCGGCTGTGGTAGCATCCAGAAGTCGGACTCCATCTTCCCGGTCGCCTTCTGTGCCACCATCATCACCATCCAGAAGTCGGACCCCATCTTCCCGACCTCATTCACTGACACCATCAAGAAGCAGGTCTTCTTCGCTGCCACCATCGCCGTCAAGAAGCCGGACTCCGTCGTCTCGACCACCATCGAGGACACCATCTAGAAGCCGATCTTCTCGTCCTCCTTCCAGGACGCCATCACCATCAAGAAGCCGGACGCCATCTTCTCGACCACCATCAAGAAGCAAGTCGCCGTCTTCTAGACCACCATCGGCATCAAGAAGTCGTACTCCATCTTCTCGACCACCATCAGCGTCAAGAAGCCGGACTCCATCGTCTCGACCACCATCGGCATCAAGAAGTCGCACTCCATCTTCTCGACCACCATCAGCGTCAAGAAGTCGGACTCCTTCTTCTGCACCACCGTCAAGAAGTCGCACTCCATCGTCTAGATCGCCTTCCAGAAGTCCAACTCCGCCATCGCCTTCTCCACCACCAAAGAAGAAGGGATCAAAGAAAGAGTCAAAGAAGGAATCGAAGGTGGCTCCAGTGGCAGCAGCTGCTGCTGTCGGTGTGGCTACTGGAGCGGCCGCTGCAGTGATTGCGTCATCACCTGCTGCTGCTGCTCCCGCACCAGCTCCCGTCCCAGACAATCCAGCAGCCTCCCGTCGAAATATGATCATGCAAGTTACTCGAGACAAGTCGTTGACACCACAAGAAAAGCAAAAGAGAATCCAAGAAATCATGAAGGGAGGAGCCGTCAGTGGAAATGCGAGAGAGCCAGGGGAGGAACCCGCTGCCGCAGCACCGGAGCCAGCACCTGCTCCAGAGCCTGCACCAGCTCCAGAACCAGCTCAGGAACCAGCGCCAGCGCCAGCACCAGCACCACCAGTCAACGATGAAGCTGCCAATAGACGAGCTGCTATTGTTGCCGTTCACAAGGATCGTACATTGACACCGAAGGAGAAGCAAGCTCGTATTCAAGAAATCATGAAGGGCGGAAGTGCTTCGGGCAATTCCTCTGGCCCAGCCGCACCAGCTCCAGAGCCAGCACCTGAAGCTGCTGAAGCACCGGCAGCGGCGCCAGAAGAAGAATCTGCCGAAGATGCTGCTTCGAGACAACGGAAGGCCATTCAAGCAATCTATAGAGACAAATCTTTGACTCCACAAGAAAAGCACCAGCGAGTACAAGCATTGATGAAGGGTGGAGCGGTTCCAGCGCCAGCACCAGCTCCTTCTGCAGCACCAGCAGCTGCTGCGGCCGCAGCAGGGGGGGGCGCCGTTGGGGCTGCAGTTGCAGCAACAAGAGGACGATCGAGGTCTCGGAGTGGATCAAGATCTGGATCGGATAGCCGAAGTAGTGGCAGCCGAAGTAGCAGCCGGAGCGACAGCCGAAGTTACAGTGATTCCAGAAGTCGAAGTGGGAGTCGAAGTTACAGCGATTCTCGAAGCAGAAGTTACAGTGGTTCCAGAAGCCGAAGTGATTCCCGGTCGTACAGTGACTCTCGAAGCAGAAGCGATTCTAGATCGTACAGTTCAAGGTCTGGAAGTGATTCGAGATCGTATTCCAGTCGGTCTGGATCTGACTCAAGGAGCTATAGTGGAAGCAGCAGTGGTTCTCGAAGTGACGAGTCATCCTTTTCAGACGAAGCATCAAGGCAAGAGGAGATGCTTATTGACGCCGAAGTTGCCACTGCCAAGCCCGAAGATATGCGACTGTTCCCCACTGCAACCGCCAAACCCCCTGGTGGCTTTAGTGACGAAGATTCCGATACCGAATATGAAGACCGTGGTGATCCAAAAAGACGATTGTTCTGTTGTGCGCTTCTCTGTCTCATTCTGTTGGGAGCTGTTGGCGGGCCATTATTGGCATTGAACTGGGACACAGTTTCCACCTGGTTCGATGAAATCATTTCAGGAACACAAGCCCCATCTCCTGACGTTGTGGCTCCAACTGTTGCTCCTGCCATACCTGACACCCCAGTACCTACGCAACTACCATCTGCCAATCCAACGGATTCCCCACTTTACCCAAGAAATACACCCGATGATTGCGAGAGAATTGCTCAAGGAGACGATGTGATTCTACAATCTGAACTCATCCCCAAGCTTTTTGATGTTCGAATGGATGTGTCGTTGACCCTACAGCTGTCAGACTTGTCTGAAGTGGTGGAAGAAATGGAATCGAGAATGCAAAGAATCTTGGGTCCAAGATTAGCTGACTGTCCAAACGCTCGACGATTGCGCCAACAAGATTGGAGGAGAAGACTACAGATCGAAAAGAATCTCATTGGTAACGCCAGATTCAATGCAGAGTACCAGCCAGATCAGTCCTGTGATGCATCAGCTCCAACTCCTTGTATCCGGGTTCTGACCAAGTTGAATCTCTTCTTGAAAGGCGAAGAAGATACCCTACCTCTAGCGAATCGAATCACTTCGCTCTTTGGAGAACAAGAGTTGACAGACACTCTTGGATTGACTGCTCCTTTCAACCAGATCGAAGTTGTTGGTGTCACCGCTGCTGCGCCCACACCGGCGCCATTTGTTGACAGTGCAGCTCCCTCGGCTCCACCGGATATCCAAGAGACACCGGTACCTACTGTATTACCGCCACCAACTTTGCCTCCGACCCCTCCTCCAACACCATCACCGACAATTGCTCCTACAAGTACCAATGCTCCAACAAGAGGCCGTACTGGTGCGGTCGAAGAATCATTGAAGACTCTTGGTGATCTGGATACTCTCAATAACAATGCCGTGACATACTTGTTGGAAAGAGACAGCTGGACACCAAGAGTTGGGAGAACAGGGCCTGAAGTTTGGGTTCAGCGCTACACCATGTTGGCCATCTGGGAAAACACCAGGGGCTGGGAGTGGAACCAGTTGGATGACTGGTTAGACCCCGACGATTCTGCCTGTACTTGGTCTGGAGTCAAATGCAACATTGACGACGAGATTGTGCAATTGGATCTCAGTAAGTGATCATGTTCAGCATCTAGTTTCTACCACGAGTGCCTTTATACCTAACCAATGATTCATTTCTCTTCAGATAACAATAATATGAATGGACGAATTCCAACAGAATTTGCGTTGCTAACGTCGCTAACACATCTCAACATGGGTAAGATCGTCAGCTGTCATATGTTACTGTTTCTTAATCAGCACATGCCGCTAACATTGCTTTTTCATTTTTTCTTGTCTTCAAAGCCAAGAATGAGCTTGACGGACCGATTCCAACTGAATTAGGTCTCATGACAAACTTGAGAGTGTTGAACTTGAGTAAGTAGAACCGCACCATGCCTGTCTTTCCCTATTTCTCTATTACATGGCTCTCACACACTTGCACTCGTCCAAAACAGTTGATACAGATCTATCCGGAACGATTCCAACGGAACTCGCGACAATGACTGCCCTTCGAATCTTGAATCTAGGTACGTATTATGAATACCATTTGGGCAGCTTGTGCCAATTCAACTCTAATATTCGTTGCCTTTTTATCCCTTCTAGATGATAATGATTTGATTGGTACCATTCCAACGCAATTTGGTCTTTTGGAGAACCTTTTCAACATTTCATTGTGGAATAACCAACTCGACAATGCCATTCCTACGGAGCTTGCGGCGTGCACAAAGCTAACAGAGATTCGTTTGTGTAAGTTTGCGTTCCATTGCAAAAGAATTCAAATCAATTGCATCACCATCTCATGCCACGTTGTTCCACTTCTTCTTTCAAACAACCCACCGCAGCCGACAACCGTTTCTCAGGCCCACTTCCGACCGAACTGTTTTCTTTGACTTTGCTGAAGGTGCTCGAGCTGGATGACAACTTCATTACAGGAACCATCCCTGAAGGCATTGCTGCACTAACTGCTCTCACACGGCTGGAACTGGGTACGCTTATTTATTTAAAGTGTGGTGTGTGCGCGCGTTGCCAACATGGAAACTGACGTATCAATGTTGCTTGTTGTTCACTCTGCAGATACTAATCGACTGACAGGATCAGTACCTCCGCTACCACCCATATTGGCAGATTTCAAGTGTCAGCTGGAAGAAAACGGTTTCAACAACGTGGACAACGCCCGTGCCATTAATTGTGACTTTTGAAGAGTGGAATTAATAATGTGCAAGTCACAGTCGAATAAATGAGTCAGTCAATCGTCTTATGCTCATATGGAAGAAAGGAGGAACGGTCTTTGAAATATGGAATGGATGTGAGCCAGAACGAACAATAGTATTCTAGAATTGTAGATAAAAGCAGAGTTAAGCTGCAAATAGGAATTTTTACCCACAATATAGATTATTCAAAAGCATCATACTGGAGAAGATGATTTTCATGAATGACTCGCGACTTGTTTGACTGAAAAGAGCGACCAAATGTGATCTTGCAAAATTCCTCTGCCGTTAAATTCCAGTAAATGTTCGTATTTTCGTGGTCTCCGTTGTAGCAAGCCAATGTCGCAACGCAGACATGTCGACAAAATTAGATATTCAGCTCGACAAAATCGAGCGCTTCCATACTTGCACACGGTCACACGTCACGCGGATAGCCGAAAATCTCTCAAACTGAAATTGATGAACCCAGCATCTATCATCAGACTCCTCGCATCATTCAGCTGAGCACCTTTAAGCTCGTCATCAACAAAAGCCAGTCAAAAATCTTCTGAAGAGCTGAAACTTTGGAATTGGCGACTTGGACATAAGTAGGAACTTTGTTATCTGGAAAGAGGGGCCTGTAAAACCAGAAAATTCAACAAAATGGCCAAGTTTCGAAAGACAATCACGATACACCCAGATGGTCTTCGCGTGATTACAAAGGAAATACTCGATAACAACATGAAGGTTGTCAGGAAGGAAGTCCGAAGCTTGCGTCCAATCAAGGGACAGGATCAAAAAGACGATGATAGTGGCTACAATAGCAAAGTCAGCTATTATAGCGATGAAGAAAACAGTCATCCTGGATCAATGGAATCGTTCAGTGATGCTGACAGTCAAGCTACACCCACGGAAGATGAAATCATTCGAATGATCTCGGAGCTCTCGAACATGGCAATTCAAATGGAAAAGCAAAAGATTAAGGAAGAAAAGAAGAAGGGCAAGAGCATGCCTGAGCCTGAAGATGGGAATGAACAACCGAGAACTCGAAGGTTGGGAGGAGATGATTCCACTCAAGCTACCCAATACAGTATGAGTACTAATCGAGATGGGGCTTCTACTCTTGTGGTGGAAGCCGTGACAGATGACGATATTTTGCAAATGATGCAAGAAGTCAGTATGCAAGCAACGGAGGAGATTAAGATGTCACAACGTCAATTGGATATTGAGCCTCTCAGCGATGAAGAAAAGAGCGTGCTTGAAGAGGAGAAGGAACACTCCATGCTACCACCTGTGACTGAAGATGTCAAGGTTGAGCAAGAAACTTCCTTGAATCGTGGTGTGGGAGCTGTTGAAGCGAAAGAAGATGCCAAGTTGCCAGTAAAGAAAGCAGATCTATCAGTGTTTTCAGATTTGAATACTGCTCTCAACATGGCCGATAAGGAGACCAAGGAGCGTGCTGTGTCTGTGGAAGAACAATCGCATGGATCTCATCTTCCTGCAGCATCTGTGAGTTCGAGGGGATCCAGTCCACCACCCGGATCGGATGCATCGAGATCAAGATCACGATCTGGTTCGTATTCGAGATCAAGATCGGGCTCGTATTCCAAATCGAGATCAAGATCTGGGTCGTACGATTCCAGATCCAGATCGAAATCTGCTGATTTGGATTCCAGATCGCCTTCTGCCTACAGTGGTGTATCCACCGGTGTATCTCAATCAAGGTCTGCGTCCGTTGCTTCCGGATCCAGATCCAGATCCAGATCATATTCGAGATCCAGGTCTCATTCTTCGAGATCGAGATCTGCATCGGGATCAAAATCAAAATCACATTCTTCCAGATCGAGATCAAGGTCAAGATCGTATGATTCGAGATCAAAATCGAGATCTTATTCTCCTAGGTCGAGATCAAGATCATATGATTCCGGATCGAGATCTGCTGGATCAAGTCCGCCACCTGGTACCGATCGATCGCCCACACCAGAATCAGTTGTCAAAGTTGAGCAAACTGCTGCTGCCAAGGAGGCTGGAGCTGTTACGGAATCAACACCTGCAGTCACAACCAGCGAACCACAAGAAGCGGTAGCCGAGAAGACTCCCGAACCTCCGGCCGACGTCACACCCGACATGTCTGCGGCAGAAAGAAGTCGAGCTATTGCTGCAATTTTGAACGATCCATCGCTGGATGCAGCAGAGAGGCAGGACAAGATCAAGTCACTTCGACCTCAAACAAAGGTGGTGAAGGCGGCACCAACTTCCCAAGGCCAGAACGAAGACCCAGAAGCTGCTGCTAGACGAAAAGCAATCCAAGCGGTACATAGCAACACTGCTTTGACACCTCAAGAGAAGCATAAGCGGATTCAAGATCTTCTTCATGGTGCATCGATTCCTGATGAAGATACTGTGCCTGCCACAGCGGATGATGGACCGACCTCGCAACCTGCTAAACCAAAGCTGCAGCCACCATCACCTACGATGCCGTCCACTAATCCTCCGAAAGGTTTTGGGGATGCGGCTGCTGCACAGCCAGTGCCTGCTGTCCGTCCTTCCATTGTGGAAATCAAGAAGGAGCCATCTGCAACATCTGTGATTACAGGAGATTCAGGCCTCGAACGAATCATTCGGTCCGAGACAAGAGAAGCTGAACGAACTGCACGAAATTCTGCTATTCAAGAGATCTACAAGGACGATGGATTGGATGCTAAGCAAAAGCAAGAAAAGATTCGTCAGGTTCTTGAAGGGAAGATCGATTTGGAAGAGAAGGAGAAGAAGGGAGAAGAAAAGGAGAAGAAGGGAGAAGAAAAGAAGGATGTTCCATCGCCGCCAAAGGAGCAAGCGTCTGACGATCGCCCTCCTGCTGATCCTACAAGTCCCAGAAGTATGAGTTCTGCCGCGTCATCAGGGCGTCGTGTCTCCATTGCAGATGTCGGAAAGGAGCCCTCCATGGGACCTGAAGTACTTGTGTCCGGTGACAGTTCTAAGGATATTTGGCAGTCTTCCAAGCAACCCTCTTTCAGAATCAAACCAAAACCAATTACAGAACCGCGTCCAACACTTGTCCAGGTTGGAAAGAACTTGTCCACTCAATCGGCCATCACTATCACTTCGGATGAAGATGATCCTTCCAAGGATGGCGAAACTGTTTCTGCTACTGCTGGATCAGCTGCTACTGGTTCGGCTGCTACTGGTTCGGCTGCTGCTGCTGGTTCGGCCGTTCCTGCCGCAGCTGCTGGAATTGAGACAATTGCAAGTGGTGTCGAAAAGGTAGAGGAAGAACGAAGTGAAGACTTTTCGATCGACGAAGCTCCTAAGATTCCAACACCTAGGCTAGAGAAGAGCAAGAGGAAGAATCTACCACAACCTATCATCAGAGAATTGGCGGAGGATGAGGCTACCGATGTTTATATCATGCCGGATGAGGATGCAGAAGACCTAAGAAAGTCGATTGTGCCTACAAATGAAGCTATGTTGGGATTTGCCCCACCATCCCCTGCTGGTCCACGAAACAAAAGCGAAGAAGAGAAGCGTTCGGAAAGCGATTTGGAGGACGAGCAGAGAGACAGGAAGAGAGGCAAGAACAGATCTGGCTCGTTTGAAAGCAGATCTCCCGACATTCCAACCGCAATGGATGACTCGTATCGCAGTCCAAGTGGTAGTCGTTCTTACTATTCGGGGGATAGCAGGTCTTACCGCAGTGGCTCTCGCTCTTACTATTCGGATGATCGGAGCAGGTCACGGAGCTACACACCTGACAGCAGATCTTACCGAAGTGGCAGTCGCTCGCGCAGCTACACTCCAGATAGCCGAAGTCGATCACGCAGCTACACGCCTGACAGCAGGTCGAAAAGTCCGTATTCCAATGCTGACGATAAAAGTCGCTCGCGATCGTACTCCTCTCGAAGCCGAACAAGTCATGCATCTGACTCGAGAAGTCGATATTCGGATGGACGGAGCAAGACACCTGAAAGCAGGTCCAGAAGTCCTCATTCCAATACTGATGACAGAAGCAGGTCGCGTTCTTATACTCCAGACAGCCGAAGCAAGAGTCCAAGGGATGATGATCGAAGCGTATCTCGCAGCTACACACCTGACAGCAGGTCCAAAAGTCCGTATTCCAATTCTGATGACAGAAGCGGGTCGCGTTCTTATACTCCAGACAGCCGAAGCAAGAGCCCTACTGCTGATGGAGCAAGTGGATCACGTTCCAAGACGCCAGATAGCCGGAGCAAAAGTCCCAGTGTTGATGATGCGAGCATTCAATCAGATGTCGGGAGCATCAAGGGCATGGCTTCGAACGTTGATGATGAAAGCCAGCCAATCGAAAACAAGGGTTCTGTTGTGGACGATGCCCCCAAGCCTGCCGTGGAAGAAGCAAACAAGAATGAAGAAACCGAATTCAAGGGCCCTGTTGTGGACGATGTCCCTAAAAAACCTGCTATGGAGGAAGAAAGCAAGATTGAAGAAATCGATGTCAAGGGCCCTGTTGTGGACGATGCTCCACAGCCTGCTGTTATTGAAGCACACAAGTCAGAAGAAACCGAAACCAAGGGCCCTATTGTTGAGGATGCCCCACCAACCACTGTCCATGATGTCAGGAAAGCAGAAGAAAGTGAAACCAAGGAATTCGAAATCGAAAGCAAGGGATTCATTGTTGAAGCCCCACAGCCTGCTGTTGGTGAAGCAAACAAGCCAGAAAAAATCGAAATCAAGGGCTCAGTTGTTGATGATGCCCAAGCACCCACTGTCAATGATGGCAGCAAGTTGGAAGAAATGGAAAGCAAAGGATCCACTGTTGATGAATCCCCATCTCCTGCTGTTGATGAAGCAAATAGGACAAAAGAAAGCGAAATCAAGGGCCCAGTTGTTGTGGATGCCCAGCCACCTGCAGCCGAAGAAATCGAAATCAAGAGCGAACCACTCATTGTTGATGATACATCTAAGGAAGAAGAGCGAACCAGCGGGGTCCCTATTGCTGATGACACAAGCAAGAAATCCGATGTTGGAAGTATCAAGAGTCAGGGTTCCAATCTGGATGATGCAAGTCAGAGGTCACGATCGTACTCGTCTCGAAGCAAAGCAAGTCATGCATCCGACTCGAGAAGTCGATATTCTGATGGACGGAGCAAGAGTGGTCATGGATCAAGAAGTCCTTCACGTTCTCGAAGCTACACACCGGATTCAAGAAATTATCATTCTGATGGACAAACTAAGAGTCAAGGATCAGGTTCTCGCTCCCGTTCCCGAAGTTACACACCGGATTCAAGAAGTCATCATTCTGATGGACAAGCAGAGAGTCAAGGATCAGGCTCTCGCTCCCGTTCTCGAAGCTACACACCGGATTCAAGAAGTCATTATTCGGATGGACAAACCAAGAGTCAAGGATCACGAAGTCCTTCCCGTTCCCGAAGCAACACATCAGACTCGAAAAGTCGGTATTCGGATGGACAAACCAAGAGTCAAGGATCAGGTTCTCGCTCTCGCTCTCGAAGCTACACACCAGACTCTAGAAGTCGCCATTCGGATGGACAAACCAAAAGCTTTGGATCAGGTTCTCGATCCCGTTCCCGTTCTCCACGTTCCTACTCTTCGCGCAGTCGAAGTTATACACCCGATTCCCGCAGCCGATATTCGGATGGCCAGACCAAGAGTTACGGCTCAGGATCTCGATCTGGTTCCCCACGATCTTATTCATCACGAAGTCGATCTTATTCTTCAAGAAGCCGTTCCTATGACAGTCGATCATACTCTGACCGAAGCAGAAGTCGAAGTAACTATAGTGGTGAACAGGCACTGGAGCATACTGAGCCAGCTCCTTTGTTTGAAGAAACCAAGGATGAACCTGCTACGATTGCAGATGCACCTGCAACCGCTGCTCCTGCTGGAAAGAAGAAGAAAAAGTTCGGTTTTTTCAAGTTTGGAAAGAAGAAGTAGAAATAGATACCAAACTGTTAGGATCTTCTTATCTTTGTGATTGCTACTGAATAGTTGTCAACACTTGGATGCTGGTGGTCGTCATCTTCTACTATTCTTAGTTTATGTAGATGAAGACAATAAGATGCATACGAATGGCTTCCGCACTATAGCCTGATGATTTTAAGATGCTTGTATTTGGCACGCAATTATGATTCCAAATTCCCCTGTGTGCTTGCGTCATTTCAACATCACTCGTCACAACAAATCATCGTATGGATACCGGTATCAATCATCAATCGTATTAAATATTTTACACCCCTGTTCGATTTGAAAATATAGTGTAGAGAGGGATGATGAGACGATGATAATGATGCACACCGGTACATAATACAATATCTGAGATACTTATACTACCTACTGTAAACGTGCTATGCGAAAGAGAGCATTTCCAAGACCCTGAATTGAATTTTAATGAAGACTTGAACGAATCAAAAGTCTTATTCTGGATCTTGAAGTCAAAGACTGAACTCTTCGCAACGTGATGGACGGACACGACAAGGCTCAGGGGGGCAAGTCTGAGAAAGCTTTGTCGTCCTTGCCAAAAGAAGAAGCTCACAAAGTAATCAACGCTGCAGGGCACAAGTTATCCTCCGAATCGCTGCAACAGTTGATCGAATCCAAAGGGTATCGAGCTAGTCAAATGGATGCTTTGTCAGAGTTTCGCAAGTCTCCTTTACAACAAGCTTGCTGGAAGGGAAATCTGTCATCAATACAATATTTGTTGGAACAAGTTGGCTGTGATGCCAACGTCTACTCCAAACAAACCTTTTCCTATGGGAAAACTGCCATTTTCTTTGCTTTGACTCAATCGCGAAGGGAGGTAGTCAAGTATTTGCTCTCCAGACAAGACGTCAATGTGTCCATTGTCAATAATAAGGGTCAATCGGTTTTGTCGCTGGCTGCCTCTCACAACATGCCCGTGGAACTATTGCACAGTATTCAATCCAAAGAAGAATCGGATCTTTCCAAATGGTGGAACTTTCGGGAGACACATTCCGACAATTTGGAATATGGTGACTTGTAAGTGCCAGCAACTTGATGTATGCTATTTCTTATATGGTCATGACCTTTTCTGACTCAACCCTTGACTTTTCACATTCAGAGACCCTCGTTTTCTTGATCGACCATTGCGGGACACTGATGTGGTGACGGAATATGCAGTCAACCCCACAACTAAAAAGTCTCGAAAAGGAGGCTTTCAACGACGGAATCCAGAGGCAGCAAAAGAGTGGCAACGTCATCGACAACAAATAAAGCAAGGAAAGACTCAAACAACGAAACGAGAACTAGCCAATACGTTGTCCACGGAAAAGCAACAAGTCATTGGAAGGGGATGGATGATCTTGTCGGGTCGTTCTTCTAATAGTGATATGGAGTTGCTGGAAGCGATCATTGCAATATTGGAGCAAAGTGATGGTCTTCGGAAACCATGGCTTTCTGATATGGCGAATCGACTACTGGTGATGGGATACGATTACAATCAAGTCTCCCGCCTCACACTGACGAGTAGTGATCAAGATGAATATGATCCAATGACTCGAAGCAACAATAATGGAAGGACGACTTCCTTATTTCTCAAACTGCTGACCAAATTGCAAGGCGATGACAAATTAGAGGACCAGAAAGAAACAAGACATTCCAGCAATCATCAGAAGGTGACAAAAGTCAAGGGAACGGCGACCACGATAGACAGTGCATCTTTCAAGGTATGGTCCAAGTTGGGATCTCAGCTACAGCATCTATCCATTTCATCATTGGAACAAGAAGCAGCCACTGACGGAAGAAAGCATTTGGTCTTACCTAATACCATTTCATCGATTGCACTCGTGAACGACTACCAGGGCTTGTTGATTATGTGGAAGCGTCTTCTAACTCTTGCGAATGACGATGAAGAAACTCTCATACTAGCGATGGATTCCGAATGGACGACAGCTGACACAAATCATGGTGGTTCGTCTGAGACATTAAGACTGTCCACCCTTCAATTAGCCTTTTGTGACCCATCGGACGAGGCACCAGTTTCAGTATACATTTTGGATTTGTTGGTGGGTTCTGATGAGAATGGCGAAGGTGGTAGTTTTCGATCTCTTGCACAAAAATTGGTGCACTGGATGATTTTCGGAAGCAGTCAGCACTCTGACGCTTCCTCTACTTCACTTAGTAGGGACCACCCCAATATGTGTCTTCTGGGATTTGCCATTCACTATGATTTGCGAATACTGCGAGACTTTTGCGATCCGTCCAAAGGAAGGCCGACAGGCGCCAACAACTATAGAAGCCAAATAATCGATCTTCAATTGCTTCTGAGGGAAAGACGCGATTCGCAATTTCCTTCCAAACAGATGCGAGGCCTCAAGGATTGCACGAAGCTCTTCTCCTCTTGGGAATTATCGAAAGACGAGCAGCGTTCTGACTGGTCCGAACGCCCATTGAGCCAGTCCCAAGTACAATATGCGGCGCTGGATGCTGCTATACTCTTGTTCTTGTTGGCCGAGGAATACCGATCCAATGATTGATTCAACATGGTCCCAAAAAATTATTCTAAAATGTAGACCATAAGGTGGGACGAATAAAGAATGAAGCGACTATTTAATTGTACAGTATCATTTCAATATAGACATGTGCATTTGGCTGGTCGTATAGCATACGACGCCTAAGGTATGCTCTCACTTTGAGCTCATTCTAGCAAGATGATTGCATTTGGCTTCTTATCTTTCTTGGGTGCCAAAACTGTTTGCAGTTTGCGTTATCCTTAAATGATTGAGGGATCTCAGCAGCTCCTTTTGTAAATTCGTCACCCTCGAACGAATCATCATCTTCTTCGGCAATAATCGCCGCACAAGTTTCATGTGCGTCGTATTGAGCCATTACAAGGGCGTATTTTGCGGACTGGGTGCTTACTTCCAGCGAGACTTCGCGAAACCGATCCCAATCAATAACATTGATTGAAATTTGCCATTGCCTTTCCTGTTCATCCATAACTGCATCAATGCAATCGTGTATGGTCCTATCAATGGAGTCGGTATGTAAGAAATCTTCAAGACCTCTGTAAGTATCGTCCTTCTTGGCCTTCTTGCCCGATTCCATCCGCTTGACAGTCTTCTCAAAGGATTTGTAGTGTCTTTCCCTCTCTTCTTGGGTGACCCAACAGGCAGCTAACTCTTCGTCAGTGTAATCATCCCGACAAATGATGTCACGAGACCGTCGTTTGGAGCTGAAATGTACCCTTTTCTTCGGATCAGACGAGGCATCATCGCCAACAGTGCTGGCCCGGCGATGGCAGGGTGATGGAATGTTGTCAGAACCACTAAAACGGGTGGAAAAGCGATCATCGCATGATGGTAGTTTCAGCACTTGACGATTTACGAGAGGGACCATTATGTGTTGTATTGTTTACTTGAATCGGGTTTGTGTTCCAAAAGATGTTTTAGGAACTGATGTACTATATTTTGTGAAAGAAAGATCAAAATAATGAGGAACAAATTCCACGATACAAAGACCGCGCTCCATACACCTTTCTGGGTAAATTGAAAATATTCCAAGATCGCATCGTGTAGCGCTGTTCTTAAGTCGCCACTCTTTCGTCCATATATAATAACGAAGATTTTACGATTGGAGCCGCATATATATATATACCGCTGGATGCGATCCCAAGACACAAAAATGAAAGACACGAACCACAATTTCCTTCCAAACAGATGCCAGGCCTCAAGCCTCAAGATTTGCACCTTCTTGGGAATTATTGAACGATGAGCAGCGTTCTGACTGGTCCAAACGCCCATTGAGCCAGTCCCATGTACAATATGCGGCGCTGGATGCTGCTATACTTTTGTCATTCGTGGCCGAGGAATACTGACCCACTGAATGATTCAGCTTGGTCGTAGTGATTTAAAATCTAAAGTGTAAATCATAGGTGCAGTAGAACGAATATAAAAGGTATTAGCAATATGTTTACATTGTCGTGGTCTTAGAACTGATATGGTGCATTTGGTTGGTCGTAAAGCATGCGGCGCCTAGGGTTTATGCTCGCTTGGAGCTTATTCTAGCTAGATGGTTGCATGTGGCTTCTTAGTTTTTTGGGGTGCCAAAAATGTTTGCAGTTCGCGTTATCCTTAAAAGATTGCGGGATCTCAGCAGCACCTTTTGGAAAGTCGTCACCTTCAAACGAGTCGTCGTCTTCTTCGGCAATATTCGCCGCGCAGGTTTCATGTGCGTCGTATTGAGCCATTGCGAGTGAATATTTTGCGGACTGGGTGCTTACCTCCCGCGACACTTCACGAAAGAGATCCCACTCGATAACTTTGAATGAAATGTCCCATTGTCTTTTCTGTTCATCCATAACTGCATCAATGCAATCGTGTACAGTCCTGTCTATGGAGTCGGTCTGTAAGAAATCTTCAAGGCCCCTGTAAGTATTGTCCTTGTTGGCCTTCTTGCCCGATTCCATTCGCTTGATAGTCTTCTCAAAACACTTATAGTGGCTTGCCCTCTCTTCCTGGGTGACCCAACAGGCAGCTAGCTCCTCGTCAGTGTAATCATCCCGACAAATGTTGTCATGAGAGTTTTGTTTGCGGTTGAAATGGACCCTTTTCTGGTGAGTAGACGAGGCATCATCGCCAACAGTGCTGGCCTGGCGATGACAGGGTAATGGAATGTCGTCAGAACCACTGATACGAGTGGAAAAGCGATCTTCGCATGCTGGTGGTTTCAACACGTTCTGCTGCAGAGTTACGATAGGTACCATTATGCAATGTATTGTATAATTGTTTAGGGTTGGTTGTTGGTTGTTTCAAAAGTGGTTTGAGGAATTGTATATATCTGTATTTTGTGCTTTGTTTTTTTGTGTGTGAAAGAACGATTGAAAAACGATGTGAAAGGGTACGAGCACTGTACACTACGTATGGATACCTGATACTTGATGTAGACGTACACGTGTACGATCAAAAAGATGGTGGGTTCATATGTCGAACAAATTCTACGATTGAAAGACAAAAACCCCACTCTAAAACACCTTCCTGGGTAAATATCGCCGGTTTCATAGCATCGCACATTATTGTTGTTAAAAATGTGCAGTCGTGCCGCGTGTCGCACAAAGAGTGCTAGCAAGGTAACGGTACCGGTATAGGGACAGACGAGGCGCAAAAGCGGGGGTCTTGAAAATGGAAAAGATTGTTAAAAAATAGACATTGTGAGAGAGATCGTTGCCGATCTCTCTTTGAGCTAATCGTATTCCAGTCTTGAAATCAGTCATTTTCATTCCTGAATGACTTCCTGATCATGTGTTGATCATGTGTTGCTTAAGCATCCCTGGATCCCTGGAAAGAGTAGGATCCAAGACGGGTAGACAGATTGCACTGGAAATTCGGAGTTTCGCTTGCGGGTGAATCTTGTTCGACCCGTTGACTAGAATGTCGACAGTGGTCGAACCTTCGTCTCACCGGTACATGTACATGTTACACGTGTACACAAAGTATACCAAATGCGCAATTAAAGATGAGAGAGACATCGTTCGCACTTTTCTGTTATTACTCTCCATTCCTTCGTGCCGTCTATACCATGGCTGCATCACTGTCTTGAATAAGTCACCTGATAACTCGAACAGTTGAAACCTGAAAGATTTCTTGGTTAAGGGGAAAGTCAAGCAACGATACACAACATTGCTGAAACATGACAATTCGCTCTTCTTTCCAATCAGCAAGAAGACTTGTAACGCTTACAATTCCTTCAGTGATCCTACTTTTGCTTCATCTTATTGAGCAAACGACAGCGTTTCAGCAGCAGCATTCAGGAAGTTCCTTTTCCTTCAGACAACACCAAGTATCAACATTCCACTACCCTGTAACAACATGTCCGTTGTCAGCTCCTGATGCTGCCGTTCTTGACACGGCAGATGATTCTACACAGGAGGGCGAGATACAGCTTGAGTATGACTGGGATGAGCAATTTCAGGAGCTATTGTCCTTCAAGGAACAATATGGCCACTGCAACTTTCCGCAAAATGCTCCCGACAATCTGACACGCGAATTTCCAACATTGGCAAAATTCTGTCATGATCAGAGACTCGAATACAAGCAGTTCAAAATAAAAGGGCTCACGAGCCTACGGCAGTTTGATCGTAAGGTTCGCTTTCGTCTATTGAAGGACAATGGATTCGAGTTCAACATGCGTAGAACACTGTGGTATGACAAGTACCACGAGCTCGTGAAATATCGTCGCGTCAATGGGGATCTTAAGGTGAAACCTAGCGATAATACCCTATACGAATGGTTATTGGACCAACGGGCGAGGCGTAAGGGTGTAAATGGATATACGAGTCTTTCCAATGCCCAAGTGGAACTGTTGGATGATATCGGATTCGAATGGGTACCTAACCCTTTGGATGATGAATGGATGGCAAAGTACAACGAGCTTGTTGACTTTCGCAATAAGCATGGGCACCTTTGGGTGCCAGCTGGTTCGCCGATTTATTTGTGGATGAGGCGTCAGAAAAGGCGGCGTGCTGGGAGAGGTAGGGCTCTCTCTGAGGATCAAATACGATTGTTGGATGACATTGGATTCTCGTGGCAGAACGAGCGGTATGATAAAAAGTGGCACGCCAAGTATGACGAGCTAGTAAGGTTCAAACAGACTCATGGTCACTGTCAGCCAAAGCAAGGGCGGACCAACAGACAGACAGAGAGTATATATCAATGGACAATCGATCAGCGCAGGAAGCGCGACGAAGGACGCCTTTCCGAGAAGCAAATCAAGCTCTTGGACGAGATTGAATTTCCTTGGAAAGGAATTTACTCGGAGTGGAAAATAATGTTCGCCGCGCTGCTTCAATACTACAAAGAGCATGATAATGTTCAGGTCGATCGCGACAATGACTCTACTCTCTACGAATGGATGACCATTCAACGACAACGATATCACGGACCTGTAACAAATGGCTTGTCCAATGAACAAATCGAGAAACTGGAAAGCCTAAACTTTAGCTGGTCTCTAGATTGGAAGGAAAGGACGTGGCATGAGACATATGCCAAGATTGTGGAGTATTATAAGCAGAATGGTCATGTGCAAGTGAACAAGAAGGACAATCCCAGCCTTTATAATTGGATCCAGGTACAAGGCAAGAGGTACAGGGGAATGAAGGGACAGAAGCCATTGTCGCAGGAAGAGCTGGAGCTTTTGGAACAGATTGACTTTTCTTTCTTTGAAGACCAGCCTCGAACGACGTGGAATGCGATATTTGCTGAACTAAATAGATACCGAACGGAGCATGATGGAAACTTCCCGACTCACAAAGATGATCCCAATCTCTACCGTTGGATGCGACAGCAACGAATGAGACTGAGAGGTGCGTATGGTCATGTTCCGCTATCTAATGATCAACGGTCACATTTGGAGAGCATTGACTTTCCCATTCTACCAAATGGGCGCGAAGCAAGAGGCTGGTACGCACATTATGATGAGATAGTGGAGTTTGCGAATCGGCATGGAAATTTTTTGGTAGACTCCAAGGAATACACGTCCCTTTATAAATGGGTGGATAAACAACGCATGAGGTACAAGGCAACTTCCAGTGTGCGTCAGAGACCATTGATAAAACCGGAAATTTACCTTTTGGAGCGAATCGGGTTTCCTTGGACATCGGACCGTTACGACGTCGAATGGCAAATACGGTACAACGAGCTTGTTCAGTTTCGGAAGGAACACGGGCATCTCCGAGTTCCACGCAAAGAATACCAGGGTCTTTACCACTGGGTGATAAGGCAGCGAGCAAAATACGACGGAAGGCCATATGAAAACTTTAAAGCGGAGTTATCAACACTGCAAATTCAGCAGCTGGAAGAGATTGGCCTTTATCGGAAAGCATAGTTTTGAGTTTCGATGAATTACACTTGTTTCGAATTATAGTTCGATCCAATTTTCAATTCGGCAGACCATCAATACCGGAGTATTGCGTTTTTATTCTGCTGGATGAAAAAGTCACTTCCATCAACCAATACCTACTACTTAGATGCATGTGATGTGACCATCTCATACTATAAAACTAATTCATCGCTAGGTCTCTCCGATATCATGCTGCTATTCCTAGGTGGAATTCCAATTCTTTTTCATTATTCACCCACATCTGCGATTGTCAACAATCAAAAAGTGTCAGAGGCTAGCGTTGTATTTTATAACTCCACGAGCTCATGGTGTAAAAAATTTACGAGTATATTGCAATCTGGAAAAGGTGCGCTTCAAATTCGAAACTGAATTTCAAAATGAGCTTTTTTTGAAATGAATATGACGAGATACCCGGTATAGTGGAGAACAAATATAATCTTCTTCAGAAAAATTTCTCAATTAAAGGCAATCGCTCTTATTTAACGCTGTATTCGATAGTTCCGATCAAGATTACATCGCGAGGTAATATTTTATATATATTTTATATACATTGGCTCGTCTCCGCTATCTTTTTGAGACGTGAGACCAAGACTCACTCATCAAGTGCAGACAGAAACTGCGAACCAGTACGTAATAAAAGAGTGCATCATGGATCATGGCCCAAATAATAATGTAACATTACATTACATCACATCACATCTCAATTCTATTCTGTGCCTTTTACTTGTCGCAAGGATGACGGCAGAGAATTCCAAGCGAGATTCCGAACGTACCGGTAATGGAGATAGGCCACAGCTTTACCTGAGTAAGACTACTAACAAGGCTTCATCATTAGGTTCAAATAAACACCAACGTAAGAAGAGCAGTAGCAGGCATCATCAAGCAAAAACATATCATCATGACACAAAGCCTAGCCGAAAATCCGCTTCCCACAGATCCTCTAGAAGATCGTCCGCATCTTCTTCCTCAAAGTCGCCATCTGGACCGTCCTCTCGTCGTGCTTCCAACAAGCGAGGATCCACCAAACGATCTTCGAAGAACCGGAGAAGAAGCAATAATCGTCAAGAATCCCCCAATACGGATGACCTCTCTTCCGTTTCTAGCAGTGATAATATTCAACCGGGTGCCTTTCCTGTTGATCCCTCCCTAAATCCGCCTAATAGTAGTCCAAGCATTACTACCACCAATACCATCACCAGTAGAACGGATGATCAAATGATGATTGCTGCCGAAATATCACCGGATCGAGATGAAGAAGTACGGCAGGCGTATGAACGAGGAGCAGAAGATATGAGAAATACGATTCAAGAGAATGGCCACGAACCACAAGAAGACGGAGATGTGGTAGTGGCAGTAGCCCGAGATGACGAAGAAGACGAAAAGGGACGATTTTCTAAGAGAAACATTTGTTGTTGCTTAGTCTTTTGTGTCTTGGCCGTTGCTGGAGCCATTGTGGGTGGTATCTTTGGCTTACCAAAAAAGGAGAGCGATACCATTATTACTGTTATCTTGCCACCGTCTATTGAGGATTGCGAATCGGTGGCCAATGGAACTGGAATGGCCAATCAAGACTTTGTGGATTCCACATCGCTTTATCTCGATTTGGCAGTCATCCGAGAGTCGAAAGCAGACATGAGTCCCGGCGAACTAGAAGGTCTGAAGCGACGGATTCTACTCTATATCCTAACCGTGCTGCTTGGCTGTACAGAACAACAGATTCAAATCCTAGAAGAGCGTATCCTCGGTAGTACCGAGAATAATCGAAAGTTACAAGAGATTAGTGAAGCTGGGAATAGTGAAGCTGAGAATACCATATTTGAACTATACGTCATTGGGAACACTTTGATTTCTGATATTCGTGTTTGGCAGTCGAACGAAGCATGTCTGAATTATGCAGACTCGTTCTGTACCCATTTGCGATTGTTCCTAGATGTATACTTGCAAGTTCCGGTCCCCGAAGAGGTGGATTTGCTCGAAGAAATCAAGCGAGAGTTCAAGAGAGAGCCATTGGTTCCAAGGCTGAAATTGACACCGAGCCAGCCTTATGAATTCATTGAGGTTGTGGATATTGCGATATTACAACAAGATGATGCCTTTGACCCAACCATGTCAAATATCACCACGGCTGCCCCAAGCCTATGGCCAACGCCACCTGTCGAAGAAGACTTTTCCAGCTCGCCATCTATGAATCCATCATTGACACCCAATAAACCAATCACTCCAAATCCAACGAATGCACCTGTGCTTGGCCCTTCACCAGATCCAACTTCATCGCCCACCAAGTTGCCAACTCGATTGCCAACCAAAGAACCATCCGAGCAGCCTTCGTTGGCACCCTCAACTCCACCCACAGCGAGTCAAACTCGAGCACCAGCTCCGGGACCCACAAGAAATCCTACCAGAAATCCTACATCTACTCCTACACCGGGTCCGACGCCAAATCCTACACCCATTCCCACTCCAGGAGAAACGCCGAACCCAACACCCATTCCAACTCCAGGACAAACGCCAAATCCAACGCCTAGTCCTACTGGAATACCCAGTCAATCTCCGAGCAGCAAGCCCCCTTTTGGACAGCCGTCGCCAGCGCCAAGCATGATATCAAGTGTTGCCCCTAGTGCGACTCCCAGTGTCTGTCCGAATCCCAGTTGTTCTGGCACCAATGCATGTGCAAGCACCCCGAGTCCTTTCTCGATTCACCCTTGTGGATCTTGTACCGGAACTGATGACTGTGGCTATTCGGGAAGTATGTCAATTGGAACAGGGAGTTGTAACGGCAATGCCGAGTGCAGATCGAGCTACGCAATGATTATTGGGGACAACTCGTGCAATGGAGGGGCTTCCAATTGGGACGGAACCTCTGTATCTCTTGCCTGCAGTAATCTAGCCAGTGTTCAGATTGGAAGCAACTCTTGCAATTGTGTCGAGTAAGAAGAAACTTAGGATTGCCGTCGTTGTTGTTTGGTGTAAGACATAGACTAACTACCTTGCTGGTTGCAATGCAAAATCTACAGATGCTGTGCCTGCTTTGATTATGGCGTCACAATAGGAGATAATCAATGTAATACTCCTGGGGATTGCTGCACTACATTTGGAGGTACTTTTTCTGTTGGCGTTGGCTCCTGTGGCGACTCGATTGGTAGCAGAACATATGCTTGTACAGGATCAAAAGGAGTTATCGGAACAAACTCGTGCTCAGGAATGTTGGCGTGCAAGACTCAACGTGATGAGATTGGCGATACGTCTTGCATCGGATCATATGCCTGTTCGTATCGAAGTGGGAATGTTGGAAGCTTCAGTTGTGTCGGATTCAAAGCATGCCAGGGAGGTTGGGACCATACAGTTGGAGACAACAGTTGCAACGGGATTGATGCATGCAAGGAATTGAATCAGATTACAATTGGAGATGGCAGCTGTAACTGTCAAGCGTAAGTAGTACCTTGCTCACCATTTTGGTTATTATGACAGAAACATGCAGTACTGTCTAACCCATTTTCACAATGCACATATGAAATCATAGGTGTTGCGCTTGTCTACCAGACAATACCGTTGTCCCCAGTGGGAGTTGCAATGCGCGCGCTGCTTCGCCCGGTGACATCGATTTTATTGATGGAACCGGTGGGACACGATGCTGCTATTATGCCGAGCTACCACCCTAGTGAATCTTTTTGAACATTTACATTTTTTTCACTATTGAAAGACTGATTGGTCAACGTATTGTCTATATACTCAGTCCAGATTGAAGCTTTGTCGTCCCATGTGTATGCTGCACCTATATGACTAATTTGTCACTTCATTTTGTCATCATAGTACTCTTCATGTCATAGACTCATGACTCATATGCGGGTCACGAATAGCGCAGTCTGTCTTCATACGCAATTGACATCACCCCCATTTTGAGTTATTTGTGCCCCATCATCGCACTCTGCTCCCATCACCCACCTCATAACATATGTCTGATCTGCACTGTTGTCTATATATTTGCATGCATTGCTCTCTCCACTTCCTATCGTCAATGCCGTGCCTAGGGTAATGAACTGACCAAGTCGCTAAACAAGACGCACTCTGACTAACCCGAGAAAATTCTATTTCCCCGCGAGAACGCCAACGTGCTGAAGACGTTATGACAAGCTTCGCGATGACGTTCCCGTCAAGGAAGCGTTATTCAATACCTTCGGTGATGCTACTTTTGCTTCATCTTATTGAGCAAACGGCAGCGTTTCAGCAGCAGCATTCAGGAAGTTCCTTTTCCTTCAGACAACACCAAGTATCAACATTCCACTATCCTATAACAACATGTCCGTTGTCAGCTCCTGATGCTGCCGTTCTTGACAAGGCAGATTATTCTACAAAGGAGGGCGAGATACAGCTTGAGTATGACTGGGATGAGCAATTTCAGGAGCTATTGTCCTTCAAGGAACAATATGGCCACTGCAACTTTCCGCAAAATGCTCCCGACAATCTGACACGCGAATTTCCAACATTGGCAAAATTCTGTCATGATCAGAGACTCGAATACAAGCAGTTCAAAATAAAAGGGCTCACGAGCCTACGGCAGTTCGATCGTAAGGTTCGCTTTCGTCTATTGAAGGACAATGGATTCGAGTTCAACATGCAGAGAACACTGTGGTATGACAAGTACCACGAGCTCGTGAAATATCGTCGCGTCAATGGGGATCTTAAGGTGAAATCTAGCGATAATACGCTGCACGGATGGTTATTGGATCAACGGGCGAGGCGTAAGGGTGTAAATGGATACACGAGTCTTTCCAATGCCCAAGTGGAACTGTTGGATGATATCGGATTCGAATGGGTACCTAACCCTTTGGATGATGAATGGAGGGCAAAGTACAACGAGCTTGTTGACTTTCGCAATAAGCATGGGCACCTTTGGGTGCCAGTTGGTACGCCGATTTATTTGTGGATGAGGCGTCAGAAAAATCGGCGTGCTGGGAGAGGTAGGGCTCTCTCTGAGGATCAAATACGATTGTTGGATGACATTGGATTCTCGTGGCAGAACGAGCGGAATGATAAAAAGTGGCACGCCAAGTATGACGAGCTAGTAAGGTTCAAACAGACTCATGGTCACTGTCAGCCAAAGCAAGGGCGGACCAACAGACAGACAGAGAGTATATATCAATGGACAATCGATCAGCGCAGGAAGCGCGACGAAGGACGCCTTTCCGAGAAGCAAATCAAGCTCTTGGACGAGATTGAATTTCCTTGGAAAGGAATTTACTCGGAGTGGAAAATAATGTTCGCCGCGCTGCTTCAATACTACAAAGAGCATGATAATGTTCAGGTCGATCGCGACAATGACTCTACTCTCTACGAATGGATGACCATTCAACGACAACGATATCACGGACCTGTAACAAATGGCTTGTCCAATGAACAAATCGAGAAACTGGAAAGCCTAAACTTTAGCTGGTCTCTAGATTGGAAGGAAAGGACGTGGCATGAGACATATGCCAAGATTGTGGAGTATTATAAGCAGAATGGTCATGTGCAAGTGAACAAGAAGGACAATCCCAGCCTTTATAATTGGATCCAGGTACAAGGCAAGAGGTACAGGGGAATGAAGGGACAGAAGCCATTGTCGCAGGAAGAGCTGGAGCTTTTGGAACAGATTGACTTTTCTTTCTTTGAAGACCAGCCTCGAACGACGTGGAATGCGATATTTGCTGAACTAAATAGATACCGAACGGAGCATGATGGAAACTTCCCGACTCACAAAGATGATCCCAATCTCTACCGTTGGATGCGACAGCAACGAATGAGACTGAGAGGTGCGTATGGTCATGTTCCGCTATCTAATGATCAACGGTCACATTTGGAGAGCATTGACTTTCCCATTCTACCAAATGGGCGCGAAGCAAGAGGCTGGTACGCACATTATGATGAGCTAGTGGAGTTTGGGAATCGGCATGGAAATTTTTTGGTAGACTCCAAGGAATACGCGTCCCTTTATAAATGGGTGGAGAAACAACGCATAAGGTACAAGGCAACTTCCAGTATGCGTCAGAGACCATTGATAAAACCGGAAATATACCTTTTGGAGCGAATCGGGTTTCCTTGGACATCGGACCGTTACGACGTCGAATGGCAAATACGGTACAACGAGCTTGTTCAGTTTCGGAAGGAACACGGGCATCTCCGAATGCAAAAGGATGGTCACCTTTACAAATGGGTGCAAAGACAGCGAGGAAGGTACAACGGAACGTACAACCGAACCTTACGACTTAGAAACTCACAACTATCGGCACAGCAAATCCAGCAGCTGGAAGAGATTGATGGTTTTCGTTGGTCAGGAGGCCCAGTTGTGAGATGACGAGGACCAGATTATCAGTGCAAGAATCACTTCCAGCATTCAATACCCTTTTAAAAAACCAAACCAAACCAAAAAGAATAGACAAAAATAACAAAACATCAAGTCTATGCATCTTTCTATTCCATTATGATACGATTTTACCTAATATAAAGTGAACAGCAAACATCATTTAGCCGATGTAAGCAAGTAACAGACCGTATGCAATTACTTGAGGTGTCCAATGATTGGAAGATCGGCATCATATCCCAATGGGATGATGAGTTCGTGAACCATAAGTCCAAGGATTCCGAATTGAGCGGCACGTCCGTTGTTCAATTCAATGGCACGCTTTTGAAGCTTGGTCTCTTCATCAAAGTCATCCCATCCAAAGTCAATGTATCCGTTACGGAAGTCACCTGGGAATTCGGCCATTCCTGGGACCTCACGCATGAAGGCGCACTCCAAGATACCGACAGTGGCGATCATCTGCACGATTCCTGCGGTAGGAATGTGGTTGGGGCCAAAGATGGCGGCAACTCCGTTGGGGAACGAGTCGAAACTGTCTCCGGCGTAGTTGATGGATCCTGGAAGGTGGATTCCGGCACGGGTGGTGATTTGACCCAAGAAGGCCAACATACAGATGCGTCCGTGCTTCAATTCGACGTAACGAAGACGTTCGAATCGCTCTTCGGTGGCATCTCCGGAGAGCATACCGAAAGGATCGAAGAATCCAAGTGGTGGCTGAACACCAAGCTCGCTCTCGAAAGCATTCAAGGAGCTGGTCTTGGTGGCTGCTTGTTGGGCAGGTGCGAAGGCACTGGCGGCGGCGATAAGGGATGCAAGGACGGCGGTCTTCATGTTGTTTGACTTTGACTTCTTGTTCCAAAAAGAAATTGTGAGAAGATGGATTCTTCTGCTTTTTGGGAGAAAAGATTCGTGCAAGTTTCAAGTTGCAGTTCGGCTTGCGGAACTTGGATATACTATGGTCAGTCTACCACGTCATACTGGTGTACGGAAGGTACAGCGGAAGATCGCAAGAACGGGCGGGACACGTACCAGGTACAACACACCAAACAGTTTCTTAGTGTAAGTACAGAAAAAGCTTCTCAATATTTTTACGATTGCTCAGTACTGTCGATACAAGACAGATCTGTTGATTGTATATACTGACTTTTACAATGCTACCGGTATGATTGCTTCATGTTTTCAATTTCCATCTTGACTTTCTATTGCCGATTTTCTACAGCTGGTTCTTAGCGACCTCCGCCACCAAGAAAAAGACAATTACAGTACATACTAGCTAGCTAGTACTGCCTGCTGATCGTCGGCCGATGGTATTTTGGAGTATAAGCTAGACTCGTAGTACCGGTACATGATCAAGCAATGTCATGATACCGCCAGCATGATGACCAACATCAAGAATAACGTATAACGTTTGCAAAACAGCACAGGGGCTTTAAGATCGACTTTCGTAGTACGACTACTACTAGCATTAAAAACACCACGACCGGAGTCACCACATCGTATAGTACTGCTGCTGTCCTCCTCAAAGTCGAAGGATACAGCACTGAAAAGGTTGGATCGATGCCTTATTTCCACATTGAACATGCGTACTACTGCTCCGCCACAGGATCTCGTGTTATTTTGCAAAGAAATGTTCACTCGTGCCGGACTGCGATTTTAGTCGGAGGATGATTCCGGCGCCGGAATTTTTTGGGATGTAACACGTGCATGCCCATGTATAATAACGTTCTAATAACTGCCTTCCTTTTTCCCCTTCAAAATCTGTCCAGTATACTGTACAATATACCGTATATGATGAGTTTAATTTATTTTGGCAGTCACTGCAATTCCGCCCTTGTCATCACTACAGTAGGTATAGTAGAGAACAGCGAGACGCAGCTACGGTACGGAACAATAATCGAGGAGACAAGAATACTGCATCGGGCTTCCAACGAAAGGAAAACAACTGGAATCAATAATTCAAGGAGTGAAACATCATGATGATGTCTCGGTACACGAGTCGTCGTCGTCGTTCCATAATACGGTTGCTATTATTCCTCGGCGCATTCTGTTTACAACATCAAGCAGCATATGCAGAAGGTGGAACGGGAGAAGAAGAAACGATCAAAGTGTTGGTGGGATTCAAGCATATGCGAGAGGAAGTGAAATACATTGAGGAAGAGGATCAAAAAGTCAGAGTTGCTGGCAATAGCACGATCAAGAAGTCAAAGATTAAATATCAATTCAAGAACACCAATGCGGTTGCCATGGAAGTAACGAGAGCAGAATATGAAGAAATGCAAAAGGATTCCCGCTTTAGCTATATTGAAGAAGACTTTGAAGTGAAACTAGCCTCTTTCGATCCTCCTATCAACGAAGAGGAACAGTTATTGCGACGGACGCAACAGGTGATACGAGAGGTGCAGTCGTATGCCATTCCCATGACGCAATCCGATCAATTCATTCCAACCCCACCTGGGGATGCTGCGAATTGCATGGTATATACGTGTATTGTCGATTCCGGAGTCTATATCAATCATCAAGACATTCCTTATGACAGAGGAGATGGGTACACAACTGGACGATCCTTTGGCTCTGCAGTCAACAATTTATGGTACCGGCCGGTCAATACCAACCATGGAACAAATGTTGCGGGAATAATGTTTGCCACACCTAATAATAATGCTGGAATGGTGGGTGCCATCCCGAATCCTCCTCGAACGAGTAGGATCTGCCTGAAGGTTGCCAAAGTGTTTCCAGATGGCTCGGATTCGACTTCCATATCGACAGTAGTGGAAGGTAAGACAAATCAGCTTGTTTTGTATCAAAGTCAAGGCTTTGGAACATAAAAGTCTTGTTCTAACAAAACCTTGCTGTGATTATTATTATTATTTTAAAAAAATTCAGCTGTGGAATGGTGTGCCTCCGAAGCCAATGGCAGACCCATGATTATCAATCTATCTCTGGCCACGCCGACTCAAACCAGCACCGAACGAAGAATTTACGAACGAATCTACAATGACAATGTATTATTAGTGGCTGCCGCTGGCAATGGTGGGGACAGCGAGTTGGCCTATCCAGCCTCTCACGACAGTGTCATCAGTGTGGCCAGTGTCAATTCCTCCCGACGAAAATCTTCTTTTTCTCAATTCAACGATAAAGTGGAATTGTCCGCACCCGGCAGCGGTGTTCATGTGACCGATGCCAGCGAGACTGGTATTAGTGTGTCTTCTGGAACCTCTTATGCCTGCCCCTACGTGGCCGCCATTGCCGCACGCATTTGGGCAGTGAATCCACGATGCAGCAACAGGGACATTCGCGACGCATTGCAGGCATCCACTCGTCCACTCGGAAATTTTGTCCCCAATGACGAATATGGGTATGGATTGGTACAAGCTAAGGCAGCCTACGACTATTTGGTGAATCAAATTGGGTGCGGTGTCCCCACCGGCCAACCCTCCCCGTCACCCACCAAGATACCCTCCGCGTCGCCCTCGCAACGGCCATCCCACGTGCCCAGTCAATCGCCATCGAACATGCCATCCTCCGTCCCCAGCATCGTGCCATCTCAAATTCCATCCACGGTTCCTAGCATCGAACCGTCCCAAATTCCATCGGCAGTACCCAGCCTGAGTCCTACCGAAGCTCCGACGATTGATTGTTTGGGTCAATTGGAAGAGTGCACAGCCCAATCGGATTGTTGCAAGGGATTTTCCTGCCTTCGCATCAGTGACAACTCGTATGCCTGTCGAAAGGAGACGGAAGAACTCTTTAATACCAAACCACGGTTGGCTGCCTTGGATGGCGGGACGTGTCGTGGTGGATTTGCGGGGAACTGTCCCATTTCCTAGCAGCGACACAAAATGACAATCGATGACGAGGAATATATAACAAGAGACCGTGTGACAATAACTACTATACTGTATTCTACTGAAGAAAAAATAATGAGAGATAGATTTGACTCCTATCTATTGGTACCAGTACTCTGCCCGGTACCGATGCCGATACCAATCACAATGGCCATCACAATTACAGTACTGGGACTGTGATGATTCACTCACTCACTCACTCACTCACTCAAATCAATCAAATCATGTAAACTAAAAACTTGGACTTTTACAATATCCATCGTCTCTATAGCGCAGGATAGAAAACCTATTCATTATGAGCAAATAGAGCACATATGAATATGGTTTCTAGTATACAATTAGAATAAAAGACTTTTGTTCAATTTTTCAAGCAAAGCCTTTGACAAGAAGAACAATGGCCACAGCAATAACAAAGGGCGAGAACTGATACAGGAACCCTCCAACCGAAATGAACCGTCCCTTGAAAAAGACTAGAAAGCACAGTTTGACCATGTCCCATTTTCGGATACCAAACTTCTCCAAAGGCATTCGATTCAAGGCATTGCAGACGTGCGAATGGCAATTGTCACAACAGATATTGTGGATTCGTTCCTTGTACACTTGGTTGGCTTCTTCAATGGCGGCATCCTATACAATACAAATATAAAAAAAAATAATATGAAGAACAACAACAACAGGGCAAATCAGAAGAGAGTGAGTATATGCAAGAGTATTCAGTAGCAGCAACAACAATGTAATGACATAATATATCTTACCCATCGCTCCGCTCCTCCTGGCAAATCACCGATATCAATTTTTAGGTACCTGGTGGGTGGACCAAAAGCCATTCCATTTTTGCCCGAATAGACATAGTAGGAACCCTGAAAGTCATGCATCACCCCACGAGAGTCGGAAATTCCAGTATGACCAATGAACGGAAGGAATCTGCAGATGGCAAATATCACAGAAACAATCAAGATTATTATCATTATTATTGTTATTATCATTGTTATCATTATTTTAAAATACGAGACGATTAGAGAGTACAATAAATAATTCTCGCATTATTGCTGCTTCAACATACATTTTATACGTACAGAGTTATTGGGTGGAGCGGACTCCATAAGATGCAAAAGGACAAATCTTCTGAGCTACTATTGCCTTTCATGTTGCGTTTGTCTTATTGATATTGGACCTGACGATAGATAGATGATAGATGATCGATGATCAAGATTATGATGAGGGCGGGGCAATCATCAGAATTTGCAGTCACCGCAACAACATATTTTTTAAAGCCCGCAGACTGGAATCCGGAATCCATCCTTATAGTCGTACGATTCGACAGATGTTCTTTCTCCTTGAAGCGAAATTCTTTGGATTCCGAAGAAGGATGTGTGAGTGAGTGACGCGACGTTGAAAAGCTCTGTCATCCGCAATTTCTCCAATTTCTGGGAACACCACATCAACCCAATAAAACACTTCAGATTTTTTTTATAATTTCAAACCTCACAAATAATAACAAGCGTCAGCTTCAAGTTTCGACACGCACACGTATCATTTCAATCATGATGCACGACCAACATCCACAACAACTGAATCAGCTCATGTACGAGAGATTGGACATACCTTCTTCATGCTCCATAAGAACAAGACCAATCATGAGCAAATCACAGAAACCACAACAACCAGAACTCCAATCATCATCACGCAAACGCCGTCGCGTGGAAGCTAAAGTTTGGTTTCCAACTGAGGAAGTGATCGAAAGGTCTCCTTCCCTCAACATCACAGAAGACGAATGGGACAATCTCTGGTATGAAAAGGATGATATTGGTATCTTTCGACAGGATGCCATCCATTACATTTCCGGCAAACCAGTGACCGAAACCCGCGGTCTGGAACGATTTCAACCAGCACGGGCTCAGGAAAAATCAGAAGCCCGAAGGTGCACGATCAAGGCCTACCGCAAAGGAATCAGAGGAGATAAATTGGCCGAGGTTGTTCAAATATTTACTTCCAATGCCCGAAGTGAAGCCTTTGTGACAGGCTGCAGCGATTATGCGGAAGTCTATCATCCCGAAATGAAAGAGGCATTGGTTGGTTTGGAAACAAAATTCCACAAACAACAAGACGAAACAGACTCTAAACAGGACTAGTGATTGTCTATACTATTAATTTATAATGCTGTTGTAACATTATCCATTTACATTCATATCCTGAGATTCTACCTTGCATCACCCAAACCGGTACCGTACGCTGTACCTGAATATTCCACATTCCAACTCGTCCACGGATTGACGCGTGTTGTTTTGTTATCGTGCGTGTGAAAAAGCGAAAGCTCTACATGATTAGGACCAAAAAAACATTTACGTCATTTTCATTTTTACCACTTAAGAACCAAACCAAACCAATTAATGCAACGTTCCAAATCTTTTGAATCGAGCTTACGCAATAGAAGCGCCACTTGGCAAAATCCACATAGCTCCGGGTTTTCGAATCCTAGGGATAGAAAATTCGCATTCAACTTCAAGCGTTCCTACTGGCACAAACGACTTTCTGCATCATCGTTTCACACTTTTTATTTATATATATATATGCTACAGTGCGGTAGGTAGCACATTCATCACACGAATGATGACGCGATTGATTTATATTTTCCTTCAACTTGAAGCGTCCTACCGGTATTGCACAAACGACTATTTGAACACATCATTCATCCTCGTGGCCTGACAGCTTGCTTGACAACTACAACTTGAAGCGTATTCATTCCATATATACCGACCGATATGTGTATACGGTATTGCTTACCTACACGATTAAAAATGACGTTCACCGCCGGCCTTTGACCACGAAGAATGGTGTCGTCAATGATTGATTGCTTCATGCATTGATGCATTGATCACCGTATAGTGGTGGTTCCAGGGTTGGGCATGACGACAAAAGGCGTGATTGATTGATTCTTCCGATTTAATAATTATGCGTTAATTCTTCCAACTTGAATTTTAAAAAATGAAGCGTCGCCCTAGATACTTTCACCATTGTCAATTGTCATGATATCTATGACTCAAACATCGTTGTTGTATTGACGTGGAACTAACTTCATTTTTTCCAACTTAGATAGCAGCGTTGACTTTCTGCAATGGAAATGACGCTCGGCTATATGTCAAAATTTCAGGCGTCCTGCCTCCTGCCTCGTCGTCGACCTTTTTTCATCTGCCTTGACAAGAAGAAGAAGGAACTTAGTATTGCTGGAAGAATCACCACGACGAATATCGTCCGCCTTTATCTCAATCTAAAGAGCGACGATTGGACTTATTGTTCCGTCTGCCGGACAATGACGTTCAGCCAGCTTGGTTCGTTCTTGTCCCAAAGAACGAAGCACCAAGCTTACGACTACAGTAGTAGTAGTAATGAATTCACAATCACTACACCACTATGATGTAGTACTAGGTCCTAGGATGAAAAATTCGAACAATTGTTTACAGGTCGGATAGAGATGCGATCAATTGCATTTGCTCTAGAATTTGAAATTATTGACTGACTTTGGTGGGACTGACTTAGTGTTTGTACCGTAAGTCCATATAGGCACGCGCGATTTGTTGGACTACAAAATTGAAAATGACTGCGATGTGCACGCGATGATGATGACGAGATGACGATATATTCATATACGCCATATTCAATATTATATATTCAAGTACTGAATGTACCTTGACTTCTTCAACACCATATTTGGATTCCAAAACCATCATGGAAAGTGGTCGTAAGCGAGATGGATGGTTGCTACTGACGTCCGTCATATTATTTGCCCTGCTTCTTTATGGATCTGTGGACAACACGATGATGCAGGGAATGGAATCAGATTCACCGAATGTCGTGCAAAACAAGACCATCAATGCCAATACGGGAAAAGGTGCTACAGCGGCAACTCCAGCGACATCGCCACCCACAAAAAAAGAATTCGTTGAGGAAGAGGGAGACGGGATTCGCATTTTATGTTTTGGAGACTCGTTGACAGCGGGGTTGATTGGAATCAACAATCGCCAATTCCGACCATATGCTCCATACTTGGAAACTAACTTGGGGAAGCTTCAACGAAAATCCAAGGACAATGGTATTGTACGCCCCGTCCATGTCAACTACACCGGTCATCCGGGACTTACATCTTACTACCTAATGCATGGGAGTGAAGCTCATCCATCAAACTTGAACAGTACATTGAACGAATTCAAAGGAGACGATGGGACATCATCTTTGGATATGGTCATTATCATGGCTGGAACCAACGACTTGTTTGCCCAAAGCTGGCTCGACTACAGTATATCTGAATCGGTGATATCCATGCATCGGCTAGTGTTGGATGAACACAATATTCCATTGACGATCGCTTTGGACATTCCAGGGTCAGGACGTTTTGAGGATAAGAAATTGCTTCAGGAAATGGATGCACTGTCTCAAGGATTGCAAGCATATGCCAAGTCAGAACTCAGGACAACCTTTGTTCCCTTTCCTTTCCCTTATAAAGGCGGTGAAAAGTGGTCTCGGGATGGAATGTGAGTAACACATATTATGTAGAAGCTTTGTGATGATGTGGAAAATGATGTGGAAACCAATCACATATGCTTTAGATCTTTCTCTGACCCCGTTTCTTTTCACTTTCACTTTGCTCGGAACAGTCACTGTTCTGAAAGGGGCTACAGGCAGTTGGCCGAGTCGCTGGCACCCGTAGTGGAACAATCGCTACAAGACGCTGGATTGTGGTAATCGCGCGCCGCTATAGTATGGCAACCAATGGCATAGTTTTGATCATTGACCCTTCTGATGGACGAATGTGGTCACGAGACAACAAGTGCATATCAACTATTATGACACAAAACAACCGATGCTTGCCGAGAAACACTTCAGCTCAACAGACAACGATTAGCATCAGTGATGATCGGACGAAAACACAATTAACCGCAATCATCTAGAGGCCAGGTTCATTCGGACAGAGGAAGGGAGCAGCATCATATCAATTTCGATGCTTCTGAAACTGACCGAGATTTTTGGCCAGATAGTGGTAGTCAGCGCTTCCCTTTTATCATAGTACAAGTTACATGGTCAACGGCTGCAAAGTTAATGCCACTACACTATTCCTTCTTCCATTGGACGATGCATTTTTAAATATCTATCCTTTTAGTTGGGTGCGCTATTTCTTATTATTGATGACTGATGCAAAAATTACCGGTATGCTACTCAATACTGAAGGCAGGTTTTCATCTATACCAATAATGCTCTCCAGTAGTTTGTTCTTGGGATGATGAAACACGCGTTTTCAAATATTCATCGTTTCAGTCCGACTTCTTGTAGGAGTATATATAATATCTCTCGCATCTTAACTGCAGTGATAAGTAAGATGACGATAATAACTATTTTAAGCTTAGTAGGCCCCGACCATATCCAAATCTTGAGTGGCCAAGATATCATAGACGCATCCCTTGCGATCGAAGTCATCCTTGAGGCTGGCGCAAGCAGCTTCGGCAGCTTCTTCGGTGATATCCGACTCGGCCAAGCGACGAGCACGTTCGCCGCGGGGATCTTCCGGAAGGTAGCACAACTCTGGAAACTGAGGTTTGGCGATCTCATGGAACAACTTGCCATCGGATGGCAAGACTTGCCACTCGAGGCCAAGCTCGTTGAAATCGTGCAAGACGGTACTTCCATCACGGCCATAGGTATTGCCAGTCTTGAAATCGCCCATGATACCGATGGCATTTCCAAAGGACTCTTCGGTGGCACCAATGATCTTGACACCCACAAACTCCTTGAAGGTCTTAATCTCGATCTTTAGACCAGGGTAATCTTTGTCAAGGTCAATGGTGTACTTGTTGTTGCGAGGGCTAATGGTGACTGGGTAGCCGCCAAGGTGAGTCAAAGGTCCAAGGTGCTCAAAGTTGATGTGGTAGTGACGCTTGTCGATGCCGTCTTCTTTGGCAGCCGATCCTTCGACTTCGAGGATGTCAGTGCCGATGCGAATGGCGGCCGTCTTGACGTAACTCCAGTAACGAACAATGCTCGTACGAAGCTGGATCTCGAGGTCGATGCCTTCCTTGTTGGCAAAGTTCTGGACCTTGGTCATGACAAGATCGCACTGTCCGTGGAACTCAAAGTGCTCGTTCTTGAAGGTGCGGACTGATGATGCAATGAAATTGTTAATTGATCGAAGATTATATGGATTGTAAATGCGAAAGTGAGTCCGATCATTCTGGTATCGCTGAATTCAATAAACGAGGAAAATACTTACAGTGAGGGTCACCAGTGACCTCTGGGGCTGGGAAGTCATCTGGGATCGTTGTTGGGGGCTGTGGGGTCTTATCAGCCACAACTAAAGGAGCAGGGAACATTTCATATTGGTAGCACTCCCAATCAAAATCATCAGGATCATCTCCAGATAAAGGAGCACCACGTGCAACCAAAGGACCGCTACCCTCGTTAGTTGTATCGCAGGTGCTGAACGCAGGTGGACAGCTTCCCAGGTAGTCTTTTGGAGATGTGCCATCGTCGTAACGACAAACGCATTGGCCACCTTGCTCGTTGAACTCAAATCCTCTCAAGCCACCTTGATCGTTGTAGCTTCGGCAAATTTCATCGCAGGAAAGTGCGGTTTGTCCGCCATAAGCCACGGAAAAGTCATGTGTACCTCCATTCGTAGCCTTGCAGAAGCCCTCTCCAAGATACTCAGTATTTGGAACCACGACATAACCATAGGCGTGTGAGACACAAGTGACAAGGATTGCCAAAACGACTTTCGAAGAAAATTTCATTGTTCAATTTCGAAATTGTTTGTGGTAACTTCAAATTTGTGAAACGATAGAATTAGTGAGACAGCCGAACACCAAATGATGTTGCGTGACATTGGATGTACAGTACCTGTACCAGATAGGTACCTGTTGCTACACAGCTTGTACGATGAACACAGCAGACAGGGAGGAATTCGAAAACTGCATAGCTTTTTGAGATTGGATAGCTTGTCATCCCGTCTTCCCCTGGATCAGGGAACTTTTGATCTCTGCTCTGCCCTCTGCGTGTTTTTGATATAACAGTTCGGGAATCAAACAAACCCTTTGCCATTGGAAATTATTGCGAGTCAGTCTTCGAGCATGTTCCTTCTTTATGTATAGCTCATGGATAAACTGAAAACAGACATTCATTTTAATATTATCGTCAAGTATGCTTCGAACCATGGTAGCAGCTGATTTCCTGCGGAAGACATTCTGATCGACCAATGAGTCAGGGATGGTAAGATTCCTGGATTTGAGATTTATGCCTGATGCGAACAACGGAAGGTTGAGACCAAGATTGATTGCGTTGACAAAAGCATAGAAGATCTAGGAAAAGGCGACTAAAGAATACAGCAGCAGGACATTATTTAAAATACAAGCAGAAGGACCCGATGGCTGGCAGTGGTCCCATGGATAGAAACGCCGTTCTGAAAAATGGAGTACAAGGAGGCATATATGAGGAGTACCAGGTACCGGAGGCAGGTACCGGGACCATAAAAACGCGACTACGTCTGTCCAGGGTTGCGTTAGGGAAGGGAGTGCGAGTTATATTTGTTGGGGGTTGCCACGAGAATATGTCTCCCAAAACAGAAAAAAACAAGTTGTACTGTATAGTTTGGGAATTAGTTCATTGGGGGGAGGGGGCGCTTCAGCTCCCCAATAATATGAGATGACAAAAATATTATTCAATATATGCGAGTGAGTCGAGGAGCTATATACTATTGTACCGGTATATTGACACGCTGTTCGATTGCTATACAGTATACTGTATATATGATAATACATACACCGGTTTGCACTTCCTTTGATCCTTTTAAAAAAAAACAATGCCCTATTCCGACAGTAATTACGTGGCAGTCACTCGCCATCGTCGACCCTTTTCCACTTGCTCCAAAAGCAACCTTGGCGAAGGAGGCTCGCGTCCTCCCGTATTGGAAATTGTCGACGATGATTGGGCAGCTGACAAGCTTAGTGATGATGAGGTGGATGTGGGAAAGCATGAAGCAGCTGTTGCTCCTCTCTTGGAAGAAGGAGAGTTGGATGCGGATGCCATTGTTGTTTCTCCGACTGGAAATTCCGCATCTGCCGCCAATAGTGGTAAGTGTTTTTCATTTGATGTTGAATGGACATGATCAAGTGATTCCCTCTTGTGCAGTTGTAAATACTGTATGGGGCTGGATAGGGTTGGATTGGATTGGATTGGATGAACTCGAATTCAAATTCAAATTCAAATGGCGCTTTCATGACACAGCCAGCACTACCATTTATTATCTTATCATCAATCATCACATCATCTCACGTTCCTTCTTTCTGTTCACCCTCCAATGGTGTGCATATATGCTCTTTTCATGATCCCTAATATATTTTATTTGTTCACACTTTATATTGTACAATAATATTTAGCCGCGGAACGAAGACGCCGAGAAGAAGGATGGAATGATCTAGGATTAGATCAATTGGATAGCAACAATCCTTGGTCCCTTTCGACTGGACAAACATGGAACAATGCTACCAATCAACAGCAGCAGCAGGATGCCGGCGGTGGAAATAATAATAATGGGGGCAACAATTAAATAATATTAAAAGTAAATGGATGTAATGTACAATTTGTATTTGCAATAGTGTATTATATCAGTGTGGACGTGAGTTTTCAGGGATATCATTTATTTTCAGACATATCATTCAGCATGCTGCCGATATTTGGGTTTATCCATTTGGTGCAAAGTGAACATGGTACAAAGACCCATGGCCAGAATGCAAAATCCAACCTACAATCATCAGAAAGGGGGTGGACAAAGGATTCCAGTGAGAGACTTCCATGCATGATAGTACATAGTTTTCCTTCGTATATCAACACAATCAATACAATCATATGTATAAAGTACCATATGTATATAAAGTACCATACATGTATAGTATACCATATTGAAGTGACGACAGTGATGGAGGTGAGATGTGAACTTACCGCATGGCTTTGTTTGCAAACTGCTGGAATTTTTGAAAAGTGTTGAAAGGGAACCATATCCGGTTTATTGTCCACAACCTTGTACCCGCATCCAATGAATCCTTCCTTTTCTTGAATCCCCAATAAGATCGTCAGCATCATGGAAATGTACAAAATGGGACCAAAGAAAGCATGGATCTGTAGAATCTTGGCCTTGCTTGCCGCAGAAATAGTAGCATTACCAAAAATACCACCACTCAGTAGTAATGGCGTAAAGGTTCCGACTCCCACCAAGAATTGTACTAGATAGAGTAACAGTACGGCAATTCCAACCCAACTGTGCAAACTGTACAAGTTGGCAATGAATCCACTGGCTCGATCATTGTGTGAGAAGAACACCGCCACGAGACCGACTGTCATGCAGACTGTAGCTACTGCCCATCCGATTCCATGCAACAGCTTGACGGTCGTCCGTTGTTGCTGTTGTTGTTGCTGATGCCAATAATAATGACCAAAGTAGCGATGGTATCGAAAGCTCAAGGAGGAAATTGTCATGAAACAAAAGGCCAGAATCATAAGTAGAGGATGCCAATTGAAGACCAGCTTGGCGTTTCCAGTTTCTCTCAAGGAGGATGGCAAACCGCCCAACTGCGACACCCATTTCGCCATTAATACCAACAGCACAATGATCAATGCATGAGCCGCAATCAAAGAAGCCCGCTGCAAACTTTGAATTGTACGATTCCATTCGTCCATCTCGAGGCTCCTTGGTGTTGTTACTGGTGGTGGTGTTGTTGCTGCTGCTGCTGCTGTGCTTATAGTAGAAAGCCCTGCTTCCGCCATGTCTTCGGCATTATTATTATTATTATTGTTATTATTATTCAGTAAGGGTGCTTCTGACGATGCTTGATGATGATCGGACGGATGAACGTCTTGTTGAGGAACCAGAGCAGCTTGTTCGGAGATGGTGGAGGATTCGTCTTCCATCTTATTATAAAAATAATGGGTATACAGTACTACTGTCTTCTTTCCTTTTGGACTACTGTACCGGTATACACGTAGCGTACCTGGTACCTGCCTGGCAACTACTGTACCAGTTTGTTCCGAATTTTGGACAATTGAACAAAATCCGAAGCGAATGTTTTTGATATCGGACCCATTTTGGACAATCTGACACATATTTGGATAATCGGAAATATTTTTGGACAATCTGAAACATTTTTGGACAATCCGACGGATTATTGTTTCGGTCATCATGCATCTGGTGTGATTGGGAGAAACTGTTTCAGCTCCCGGTACTACCTTCGTAAAACGCGGCCAGCGTCAAGGTATATTTTTTACCGTGTGACGCACCCTCTCATTTTTTATTGCGGACAAAATCTTTTTTCGCACGACCCGCCCTATGTAAACTACCGAGTAGAATGACCATTCACCGCCAACCCAACATGAAACATATATGCGCCTCCAAAAAGTGGAAAGTGGAACGAAAAATTGTCGGTGCAGGACAATCCTTTTATTGCCATTATTGCTTCACCAAACAGACATATTTTAATATATTTCGTTTGTCATCATCTCTGACTCACATACAAACATGGTATTACGGAAGATTCTACTACTCCGAGTCCTACTCATACTGAGCCTTGTCAGTCCATTGATTCAAGCAGCGGAAGAAGAATCAGAACAACGAGAAGATGATGACTATGTCCGAGTTTTGGTGGGATTCCATGACCGTGATCAAGAAAAGGAATACGTTCGTAGACAACGCATGCGGCCCAGAACGGGTAAACCTCAGTCCAAGATCAACTACGAATTCAAACAGACTGAAGCCTTGGCCATGCAAGTCACTCGTGCGGAATTGGAGGAGATGAGACGAGACTCCAAACAATTCAGTTATGTGGAAGAAGATATTTTGGTTCCTGTTGCAGCTGCTGCTGGGTCTTCCAATTCCGCCAATGCCACCAATACTTGGGATGAAAGAATGCAGCGCCAGCTACTCGAATTCAAAAGTTATGGTATTGAATTGACGCAAGCCCATCGGACGATCAATCCAGATCCGAATTGGGATCAAGAGTGCGGAGTGTACCTCTGTGTAATTGATTCTGGAGTTTTCATCGACAATTTGGACATTCCATATTCTAGAGGAGACGGTTATGTGGATGGTAAAACCTTTGGTAGTGCAGAGGGGCAAGAATGGTTTAATCCCAAAGGAACGGATCACGGTACCCAAGTTGCGGTAAGGTCCTCAAGCCGAATTCTTCTTGGGAGTTGTTCATTTGCTTGCTGCATATTGTTAGGATATCATGTAACCTTGGGTGAAACTCATGATCACCTTTGTTTCAATCACTTGTCTTCTTTCAGGGAGTCATGATTGCCCAAGGTGGCAACAATAGAGGTATTAGTGGAGTCATTCCTATGGGACCCAAGCGAAGCAATGTGTGTTTGCGTGTTGCAAAGGTGGTTTCGGATGGGGAAGGCGTTTCATCCGTGTCTGCCTTGCTACAAGGTATGTTTTAGAAGGGTATCCTTTTATCCCGGCTGCTTTGGTTTTGTGTCAACTCTAACATCCATCTACACACATATGTAGCTTCTGAATGGTGTGCCGAAGAAGCTGGCGACAAACCGGTAGTAATCAATCTATCATTTGGTGTCGAAATTGAAATGTCGACGGAAAAGGCCATTTACCAAAGACTCTACGACCAAGGCGCTTTGATCGTGGCGGCTGCTGGGAATCGCGGCGGTACTGACTACATGTATCCAGCGGCTCATGATTCGGTAATTAGTGTGGCCAGTATCAATGCAAGGTCCGAGCATTCCAGATTTTCGCAACGAAACGACAAGGTGGAAATTGCAGCTCCTGGAGAACAGATTCAAACCCTAAAGGCAGAGTCCAATGAAATAATGGTGTCTCAAGGAACTTCCTTGGCCAGTCCCTTTGTGGCCGGACTTGCGGCACGCATTTGGACGGCAGTACCTCGTTGCAGTAACAAGGAGGTGCGACAAGCACTGCGGGATACCGCACGTCGATTGGGCGATGGGGTGCCGAATCGCAATTTTGGATACGGATTGATACGAGCACGGGATGCCCACGATATGCTGGTTGCGTCCGGTTGCAACCCCGAACCACCTACGAAAGCTCCCACACAACCACCCACTCCAGCGCCCACCATTGACTGGGGAGCGAATACTTTCTTGAGAGAAGATGAAAGAATAAATCAAGACAATCGTATCGTCAGAAATCCTGACAATAAGGACATTTATCTCCAACAACAGTCTGATGGAAATCTTGTTCTCTTCGATCAAAACAACCAAATTTATTGGAGCAGTGGGATTGTTCACATTCCGTCGAACAAGAGATACTGGTCAGTCTTGCAAGGCGACGGCAATTTGGTGACCTATTCGGAAATCAACAACGACAGACCCAAGGTAGAATGGGCTAGCAACAGCCAATCTCCAATTGACAATTACAATCTTGTACTCACACCAAACCGAGACGGAATGATGATTGCCCGACGCAGTGATGGTCAAATCATTTGGTCGTCAAGATCATCAGATGTGCGAACGTCGCAGATGCAAACTCCAGAACGTCAATCGACGGTATCTTGGATATCTTGGATATTCGGAGAATGGTGATGATTTCACTAGTGATTTTTCTTTTTGACGAACTCATATACACTAATTTTAAGGTCGGAAGGTGTGTAGAATTTGCCAGTACCGGTAGAAGCAACTCAATTCAAATTGCTGAATTTATTGACCATTGCAATCATTATGCCACGGATGTGGTGATATCTAGAATATTGTCTGACGAAGTCTATATCCTACTCTGCCTATTCCATCCATCAACGGAACCTCGCACCACTTCTTGCCTTGGAATCGGTACTTTCAAATACTGTATACTTAGCAATGATAAAGGTATTAGTCGAAGCATTCATTCCTCTCATCATATCTTTTATTTACGCGGACATGCAATAACGGTCACCCGCGCGCATGCATATCGCCCACGACGACATTGGACAGACATTTGTTTTCGCACGATTCGCCGTAAGTAAACTACCGAGCATGAACGTTCATATATATACCGCTAATAACGCAAAATGATACGCACCTCCGAAAATTGGAAAGTGGAACGAAAATTAGGATTTTGTATGGTGGATAACGAGGAGAGATCGAGATTGTCATTGAATCATTTTATTGCCGTTATCGCTTCACCTGCTTCAAGTATTCCATTTGTCCTCATACTCACATACAAAGTACAAACATGATAATACGGCACATAATATTAATGCAAATGTTGCTCTTGCTAGGCTTTGCCAGTGAGCTCATTCAAGCAGCTGACGAAGAAACTGATGAAGAAGAATATGTGCGAGTGTTGGTGGGATTCCATGACCGTGATCAAGAAAAGGAATACGTTCGTAGACAACGCATGCGGCCCAGAACGGGCAAACCGCAGGCCAATGTCAACTATGAATTCAAACAGACTGAAGCCTTAGCCATGCAAGTCACTCGTGCGGAACTGGAGGAGATGAGACGAGATTCCAAACAATTCAGTTATGTGGAAGAAGATATTTTGGTTCCTGTTGCGGCTGCTGGCGGTGTTGGTGGTGCTTCCAATCCTGTTAATAGCACCATCTTAGACAAAGAAGCACAGCGCCAGCTGCTTGAATTTAGGAGCTACGGCATAGAATTGACTCAAGCTCATAGAACGATTAATCCAGATCCCGACTGGGATCAAGAGTGCGGAGTCTACCTTTGTGTGATCGATTCTGGTGTCTTTCTCAACAATGCGGATATTCCGTATTCCAGAGGCGATGGCTATGTGGAAGGCAAAACCTTTGGTAATGCAGAGGGACAAGAATGGTTCAATCCTCGAGGAACCGATCATGGAACCCAAGTTGCGGTAAGTACAATACGAATTGTAACTGAGATGGGTTTGTCAGGCGACAGTTCATTGTGCTCATTCGCTGGCCGCATGTTCAGTTTCATATCATACAAGCGTGAACAAACTTATCACTTTAACTCTTTCATTGTCAGGGCATCATGATTGCACAAGGTGGAAACGACCAAGGTATTAGGGGAGTCATCCCGATGGGACCCCGACGAAGTAATGTTTGTTTGAAGATTGCCAAGGTGGTTCCAGATGGAGAAGGGAGTGCACTCATTTCGTCCTTGCTTCAAGGTATGTGCTATAAAACATTTCTATTTTTTTTGGTTTGCTCCAATGCGCAATGGCAATTCCCACTCACAATCAGCTACAATTTCCATCTCCACACGTATGTAGCTTCAGAATGGTGCGCCGAAGCAGCTGGTGACAAACCGCTGGTGATCAATTTATCGTTTGCTGTGGATTTTGAAACGTCGCCGGAAAAGGCCATCTACCAAAGACTCTACGATCAAGGCGCTTTGATTGTGGCGGCTGCTGGGAATCTCGGCGGTACGACATACATGTATCCCGCGGCCCACGATTCGGTGATGAGTGTCGCTAGTCTCAATGCTTTGTCCCAACGATCTGACTTTTCGCAACGAAATGACCAGGTTGAAATTGCAGCTCCTGGAGAACAGATTCAAACCCTGAAGGCAGAGTCCAATGAAATATTAATGTCGAGTGGGACTTCCCTGGCCAGTCCTTTTGTGGCAGGACTGGCGGCCCGCATTTGGACGGCTGCACCTCGTTGCAGTAACAAGGAGGTGCGACAAGCCTTGCGGGATACCGCACGTCGATTGGGCGATGGAGTGCCGAATCGCAATTTTGGATATGGATTGATACGAGCACGAGATGCTCATGATGTATTGGTAACCTCCGGTTGCAACACCAAAGCCCCTACAAAAGCACCCACCAAATCTCCCACGGCACCACCCACTCCACCGCCCACTAAAGCACCCACCAAAGAACCAACCCCGGCGCCAACCGCGCTGCCTTCGGTCGGTCCCACTGCGATGCCTTCTCAATTTCCAACCGCGACGCCATCTTCACTACCTTCAGCCGGTCCCAGTTCAGTGCCTTCACAAATTCCAACCAGAAGTTGTAGGGATCATTTGCAGTCCTGCTTTAGCGATGCAGAATGTTGCACTGGGTTCCGGTGTACACGAAGTCTGAGAGAGAAAATGGACAATTCCTTGTTGTGCCGTCGGGAACTGCCCATGGAAAGTCGGCCACGATTGGCCTCCTTGGATGGTAATGTTTGTCGTGGGGGATTTGGTGGTGGTTGCAATACATAGCCCATACCGTTGTAGGTATGTATTCTACTGCAACATCTGATCTTTTGACTCTGGCTCATTTATTTTTCAAAAGATTGACATCTGCGACATATAGCCAACGGTATTATTTTAAAATAATGTACACCACACTGGAAAACAAGGATGTATAGAGTTGCACCTACGGTCCACAATTACAGTACAAAGTTAAAATAACCTTGATAACTGTCCCAGCTACTGTATCATCCCAAATCATGATAAAGGCTCAAAGATGCCCATACTCCTTCCGAAACTGAACAAGCTTGTTGTACAGCATTTGCCATTCCACTTCGTAACAGTCCGACGACGTCCACGGAAACCCGAGATTCGCTCCAAAAGGTAAATTTCCGGTTTCATCAATAGCATGGGGCGGCAGGGCAAAGTTGGGAGCGGTTTGCATTGTAGTCTACCAAAAGTGTCCATGCTAATTTGCGAACTCTCCACTTCCAATGGAACGCAGGCCTTAATTGGTATTCTTGGATGGTAATAGATGTGGTGGGGGGTATGATGCTGGTAACAAATAAAATATATTCACAGCTGATTGCTGTTGGGGCGGTGGTGATGGTGATGATGATGGTGGCATGAGAAGTGAAAACAATGATTTTATGATAATGAGAAGGACATGAAGGTGCATAATAGAAAACGAAAGAACCGGATTCACGTTGAAACCTGATTTACGAGCATAGTTTTAATTTTAAAAGTTGAATCTAGTAGGATCCCTTTGGATCTTATTTAATTTCAGGATCGACAACACCACGGTGTCTCCAGCTTAGTAGGCACCGACCATGTCCATATCTTGGGTGGCCAAGATATCATAGACGCATCCCTTGCGATCGAAGTCATTCTTGAGGCCGGCACAAGCAGCTTCGGCAGCTTCTTCGGTGATATCCGACTCGGCCAAGCGACGAGCACGGTCTCCACGGGGGTCTTCCGGAAGGTAGCACAACTCTGGAAACTGAGGCTTGGCGATCTCATGGAACAATTTGCCATCGGATGGCAAGACTTGCCACTCGAGGCCAAGCTCGTTGAAATCATGCAAGACGGTACTGCCATCACGGGCATAGGTGTTTCCAGTGTTGAAATCACCAGTGATACCAACGGCATTTCCAAAGGACTCCTCGGTGGCACCAATGATCTTGACACCCACAAACTCCTTGAAGGTCTTGATCTCGATGCTTTGAGCTGGATAATCTTTGTCAAGGTCGATGGTATACTTGTTGTTGCGCGGGCTAATGGTGACTGGGTAGCCACCAAGATGGGTGAGAGGTCCAAGGTGGTCAAAGTTGATGTGGTAGTGACGCTTGTCGATGCCGTCTTCCTTGTCAACGGATCCTTCGACCTCGAGGATATCATTGCCGATGCGAATTGCGGCAGTCTTGATGTAGCTCCAGTACCGAACCATGTTCGTACGGAGGTGGATCTCGAGGTCGATGCCTTCCTTGCTGGCAAAGTTCTTGACCTTTGTCATGACAAGATCGCACTGTCCGTGGAACTCAAAGTGCTCGTTCTTCCAGGTACGAACTTGTGATGATTGAGAAAATCGAATGATATCAGGTCGACGAGTATCATGGGAATAAAGCAACAGCTTGTGATATTGTTGAATCAGTACTTACAATGAGGATCGCCATTGCTTTCGCTTTTGGACGGAACAGGTACAGGAAAAGTAGTGTATTCGTAGCAATCATAAGCAGAGCTGGGATCTCCCACTTTCAGGTCGCCAGTCCCTGAACTTTGGTTTCCGCAACCATCAAACGACGCTGGACAGGTTCCAAGGTAGTCTTTGGGAGATGTGCCATCATCGTAGTGGCAATAACAACTGCCTACGTCATTAAGCGTAAATCCTCGCAATCCACCGGAGTCGTTGTTGGCTCGGCAAATCTCATCGCAGGAAAGCGCGGTTTGATCGAATTTTGCTGCAAAGTCAGGACTTTGTGAACCGAGACCCCCGACCGTACTATCTGTCGATTGGCACACACCCTCTCCCAAGTGGCTAGTACCCGGAACTTCGACATAACCATGGGAGTGTGAGACACAACAACTGGCAAGGATCGCTAAAACGACTTTCAAAGAAAATTTCATTGCTGGCTAGGTAAAAGTATAGCTTGAAATATTAGGCAGTGTTGAAAATTGTGAGACGTTTGGTGTAGGTCGTACAGCCTTTGATATTTCACTGACAAAAGGAACGAGGATGGATGTACCTCTATTGGGACCTATAATACGCAGTTTTCGTACGAAAGATACACAGAGATACCAACGTTTTCTGACGTGTTAGAGAATTAGGGGAAAGTTTTTTCCACGTGAAGTCTATTTTTCGGACTATTACACTCCACTGGAAATAAGTTCGTCTGCGCCATATATATATTATTTCGGAGCAATTGGAAAACAGCTTCATCTGTCATTTCGGAAAAAGAAAAAACCTTTTATTTTATATATATCCCGATAGTGTGCGGTCCATTGCTATACTGCAATACTGTACGTGGTTGTACTCAACCGCAGACAAACTTTTTTCTCCATCCCCATGCAGTTGTCATTCATCACATAGACTACACCTAAGGAAACTCTCATCGAAGCCACAGCGATTTTGGGCGGTTTCGTTAAAAATAGCAATGACCACGACAATGGAAACAACTTCACGTATTGTCATAAATGTTTTGCCAGGTCAGGCATATATAATAATATAATATATTATTTTAAAAAGCTAAACCCACTAACATAATGTCTCACATTTTTCAAAACCGTTGAGTATTTCAAGTACACATTGAGCCATCAATGAAGACCTTTTCGACAGCCATTTTGACAATCCTCGCCACTTGTGTGTCACACTCCTATGGTTATGACGAGATTCCAAATACTGATTACCATGGAATGTTTCAGGGCTGCGAAGCTGCGAATGGTATTCTGGGCTCTTTCTCACAGTCAGGTCACCCCAACCCCCAATCGTGCGATAAGCTCTGCCGAAGCAACAACGATTCGGGTGGCTTGAGAGCATTTATGTACATGAAAGGCCATTGTAAGTGTCTGTACGACTTTAACACCATGACATGCCCACCTACAATGACCTGCGATTTCGATGGAAGAACTGGTAGCGGCCCTATTCAACCAAAGCCCAATACTCCAACCTACTACAGTTGCTACGAATACCAAAGATCCGATACTGATACTGGAAGCACAACAAGCGGGCCAACCTCTGGGCCAACGCCTACACCAGTAGTTGAACAATCCACTATCGCAAATACTAATTTCCTTGGAAATGAGCAGGGCTGCGAAGCTGCGAATGGTGAACTTGACTTTTCCTTTAAGGTAGGTCAAACTCCGACGCCCGAGTCTTGCGACCAGCTCTGCCGAAACAACAACGATTCGGGTGGCTTGCGAGGATTTAGGTACATTCCTGGACCCGGCGTCTGTATGTGCTTGTACGATGATGGCACATGCCCACCTGCGTTAGGCTGCACTGTCGGTAAAAGTGGTAGCGGCCCCATTGAACCAAAGCCCCATACATACAGCAACACGGATTGCTACGCATACAAAAGTTTCCCTGTTGGTGGATCCAAGAACACAGAAAGCAATGGCGATCCTCATTGTAAGTACTTCTAGAACTACACGAGTTGTTCTACTTCTCATTCTCATGGTCTCACGAATTTCATTTCAAACATTTCAACATTGCCTCATTTTACTGTACAGTCCGCACCTGGAAGGACGAGCACTTTGAGTTCCACGGACAGTGCGATCTTGTCATGACAAAGGTCAAAAACTTTGCCAACAAGGAGAGCGTCGACCTTGTGATCCAGCTTCGTACGAACATGGTTCGGTACTGGAGCTATATTAGATCCGCCGCTATTCGCATCGGAGATGATATCCTCGAGGTCGAAGGATCCGTTGACAACGAAGACGGCATCGACAAGCGTCACCACTGGATCAACTTTGAGTACAGTGGTGAAATCCAAGACCTTGGTGGCTACCCAGTCACCATTAGCCCGCGCAACAACAAGTACACTATTGACCTTGACAAAGACTACTCCGGCCTAAAGATCGAGATCAAAACCTTCAAGGAGTTTGTGGGTGTCAAGATCATTGGTGCCACCGAGGAGTCCTTTGGAAATGCCGTTGGTATCACTGGTGATTTCAACACTGGAAACACCTATGCCCGTGATGGCAGTACCGTCTTGCATGATTTCAACGAGCTCGGCCTCGAGTGGCAAGTCTTGCCATCCGATGGCAAGTTGTTCCATGAGATCGCCAAACCTCAGTTCCCAGAGTTGTGCTACCTTCCGGAAGATCCCCGCGGCGAACGTGCTCGTCGCTTGGCCGAATCGGATATCACCGAAGAAGCTGCCGAAGCCGCTTGTGCCGGCCTCAAGGATGACTTCGATCGCAAGGGATGCGTCTATGATATCTTGGCCACCCAAGATATGGACATGGTCGGTGCCTACTAAGCTAGAGACATCGTGGTGTTGTCAATCGTGAAATTGAAGATCCAAAGAGATCCTATTTTTAATACTAGATCCAACTTTTTAAAAAATTAACTACTCGAAAATCAGGTTTCAACGTGAAACCGATTCTCTCGTTTGTCTATTTGCACCACACACCCATGTGAATGCACACCTGCTCATTATCATCATTATTATCACTGCCCATGCAACCATCACCACCACAACAACAACAATGAATCATATTACTTGCAACCAGCAGCATACCCTCCACGACATTTATTACCATCTAAGGATGCCAATCGAGGCCGAGTTTCCATTGTTCCTTCCCGACGACACACCAAGGAATCATCCAAATTCTCCGTCATTCTGGTACAGATAAAGCCATCGCAACACTCGTCATGACTAGCACAGGACTCCAAATGATCCATGCAACGAACGGTTGGATTTCCAGAAGGCATTGCACTGGGACTCGCCGAAGGTAGTGACGTTGGCGCCCTGGTGGGAGATTTGGTGGGTGCTTTCGAGTTGCAACCAGAGGTTACCAACAGATCCTTGGCATCCCGTGCTCGAATGAGGCCATATCCAAAATTGCGATTAGGTACCCCATCGCCCAATTCACGTGCAGTATCTCTTAAGGCTTGTCGAATATCGACATTGCTGCAACGAGGAGCGGCTGACCAAATGCGAGCCGCCAGTCCAGCGACAAAGGGACTAGCCAGGGATGTTCCGCTCGCCATTAAGAGATTGTTCGATTCTGCTTGCAGGGTTTCAATCAGTTCTCCGGGAGCTGCAATTTCGACTTGATCGTTTCGTTGCGAAAAGCTAGAACGTCGAGAGGCAGCATTGATACTGGCCACACTCATCACCGAATCGTGGGACGCGGGATACATGTAGTCAGTACCACCGAGATTTCCAGCAGCCGCAACAATCAAGACTCCTTGGTCGTAGAGTCTTTGGTAAATGGCCTTTTCTGGCGCCGTTTCAAATTCGACCGCAAAAGATAGATTTATCACCAGTGGTTTGTCACCAGCTGCTTCGGCACACCATTCGGAAGCTATACGTATAGATGAGATTGTGATGAGTGAGGTTTGTTGTTTGAAATCGTCTGTTTCGCAAAGATCTATCATACATACCTTGTAGCAAGGAAGAAATAAGTGCAACACCCTCCCCATCGGGAACCACTTTGGCAACCTTCAAACAAACATTGCTTCGTTGGGGTCCATGCGGAATGACGCCTCTAACGCCTCTATCGTTTCCACCTCTAGCAATCATGATGCCCTGACAAGAGAAAACAGAATGGATGGAAGGGTGATGGTGAGTTTCGTCAAGCTTACCCATGGTATGAACACATAATCGCCTAGCACACTCGTCACAACTTAAAAATGCAATTCGTATTGTACTTACCGCAACTTGGGTTCCATGATCCGTTCCTCGAGGATTGAACCATTGGTCACCCTCCGCATCCCCAAAGGCTTTGCCTTCCACATATCCATCGCCTCTGCTGTAAGGAATGTCAGCATTGTTGAGAAAGACTCCAGAGTCAACCACACAAAGGTAGACTCCGCACTCTTGATCCCAATCCGGATCTGGATCAATCGTCCGATGAGCCTGTGTCAATTCAATGCCATAATTTCTAAGTTCGATGAGCCGACGCTGCGCTTCTTCGTCCAAAGTTGTTGCATTTGAAGGATTGGAACCAGCACCTCCAGCCCAAGCAGCCGCAACAGGAACCAGGATGTCTTCTTCCACATAGCTGAATTGTTTGGAATCCTTCTTCATTTCTTCTAATTCCCTTCGAGTGACTTGCATGGCCACGGCTTCTGTCTTTTGGAACTCATAGTTGACCTTGGCCTGTGGTTTTCCCGTTCTTGGCCGCACGCGTTGTCTGCGAACGTATTCCTTTTCTTGATCTCGGTCATGGAATCCCACCAAAACTCGCACATATTCTTCTTCTGCTTGTTCTGATTCTTCTTCTGCCGCCTGAATCAGCTGACTGACGAGGCCTAGCAAGAGCAAGATTTGAAGCAATAGAATTTGCCGTATTATCATGCTTATACGTGTGTAGCGTTATCACAGTGAGTGTGATGGATGTGGGTATGAATAATATAGGTGCGTATGAGTGCAATTTGTATAGATAAATACACGTAGTGAGAGTAATGATGTGCAAAACAGTAATACTTTTTTGAAAATTACAATAATCTTTTCCCACTCTCACAATTTTGGGGGGAGAGTGGTTCGAATCGTTGTGTCGTGGCGGTGAACGGTGTTTTCCTTACGAGATTACGGCGGGTCGTGCCAAAGTACATGTCTGCTCGATGTCCACCACATGTATAGTGTCTTTCCTTCTGTCCGCCTCCCTGCTCTCACGATTTGAATGCTCCGACCAAGAGGCTCCGACTTCAAAACGTGATGTCAAAGTCATCAAAAAGTTTCTCCGGAAACGGAAAAGAGAAGACTTCTCCAAAATTGAAAATATCATATATCTCGCAGTCATCATCGCATTTCATACTGTACCTTACAGTGTATGTTACGTTTGGAAAGATGGCTGCCAATGAGTATAGATTCCAGGGTAAGAAAAGGGAAAGGCTACCAAGACACTTTGATAAGCTGATTGCTAATCCTGACGATGCAGAAGATCGCTGTCATGGTGGTGGTATTCCTCATGAAGGAGGAGATCGTCGCATCGTCGCTGGTTTCACGGTACGACGCCGGCTTGACAATAACTTTCCTATCCATCGACTCTGCTACGACCACCGCTTTACAACCGCCCAGAAACTTTCTCAGTGTATTGACAAGGCAATAAAAGATGAGTCACCGCTCGTGGACGAGTTTGGAATGACTCCATTCCACGTCCTCTTTTCAACAATCGGAGCAAATCCAAATCTTCTCGTGGTCCTTCTAGACAAGCTTCCATACTCGCATCTCCTATACTTGAAAGATGTCAATGGCAAGCTGGCAACGGACTACCTATTGAGCAACTGGTCGCGGGAAAACAAGATTTTGCTACAGAGAACCCTGCACAGCTGGATGTTTCGTCGATTGGAGCGCTGGGGTGCGAAATCTTGGAGAAACCGAATATTTCCTCTTGTGAATAATCTACTCGCGGAAGATGATGACGAGGAACGAAGAATGGCAATGTTTCGTGAGGCATGGTCCGTTTTCAAACAATACAAAGCTGTCGAGGCCACTACGGTCTTGGAGATGGCCTTGTGGAAAGGGCAGCTCAAGGGTGGACGGACCAAGGATGGTTCCAAGCGGCAGGCGCTCGATCGAGATGAGTGCCGGGGTGTCTGTGGAACAGACATTGTGATTCCAAGTGTTCGAAAGTTCTTGGGGAATGTCGTCGTCATTGAATAAACGAATAGAATCAATCAATCAATCATCCTGTAATAGCTGCATCTCGCTGATAGTAACGAGGATTCACCCACCACTTGGCTTCTTGGTTTATTCTGTATGTTCTCCGGAGATGCCTCCAAAGAACGCTCCGAACGTATTGACGTATATAGTGGTCGTATGTTTACTTTGTAACATATAGCATTGTCGTATCATGATGGAAGAGAAATATTGGAATACAGTTGTAGTAGTTTTGTTATGGTTTGTTGCTGGGTATAGAAACGACTGCTGGATCGAGTATAGCATCACATTACAATTTTCCGCTGGACCAGCAAATCCTCATATAGTCTATGGTATGGCCAAATCTGGACTTCATGGAATTGCATCTATACTGAAAATTGCCCTGACCAACGAAAGCCAATCTCTTCCAACTTTTGGATTTGTTGTCCCGATAGCTCAAAGTCTTTTGTCTTTTCGTTTTCCTTTGATCTCGATCGCTGCCTTATTATCCAGTTGTAAAGATTCCGGCATTGGTATTATATCTATGTGGAACTCGGAGATGCCCATCTCTCTTCCGAGATTCAATACGCTTGTTACTGTACCACATTTGCCATTCGACGTCGTAAAGGTGTGCGACTTCCAAGGAAACTCGATTCACTCAAAAAGGTAGATTTCCGGTTTTATTATCAATGGTCTCTGACACACTCCTCACTATAGACAGCACAACATGACCAAACATTGCTGTCACATCCAACGGTGGGGATTGGGATCATCGTTGTGAGTCGGGAAGTTTCCATCACGCTCCGTTCCATATCTATTTTGTTCAGCAAATAGTCCATTCCACATCGTTTGAGGCTATGGTCTCCTCTACAAAGAACAAAAAATCAATCTGTTCCAAAAGCGCCAGTTCTTCCTACACCAATGGCTTTTGCTTGTGTCCCTCATTTCCGTGTATCTCTTGCCTTCTTGTGCCTGGATCCAATTGGAAAGGCTGGGATTGTCCTTTTTGGTCACTTGCACACCATGGCCATTCTGCTGATGATACTCCACAACCTTTATATATGTCTCATGCCATGTCCTTTCCTTCCAATCTAGAGACCAGCTACAGTTGACGTTTTCCAAATTCTTGATTTTGTTCATTGGACAACGTCGGTTTCACAGTTCCGTTATGTCGTTGACGTTGTATGGTCATCAGTTTATGGAGCGTAGAGTCATTGTTGCGATCGACCCGATGGTTGTCATGCTCATAAATTGTAGTATACATTCGAGCAACGCATCGTACCGGTACATTTCTTTCCATTCCGGGCCATTCCTTTTCCAAACAAAGTCAATATTGAATATCGCCCAAGAGCTTGATATGCTTATCCAAAAGACAACCTTCCTCACGCTTCCTGCACTGATCATTTGACCAGCCATACAGACTTCTGTTTGTAGATGTTTCCCGCTGGCGAGATGTCCATTCCTTTGTTGTTTGAACCTTACTAGCTCGTCATACTTGGCATACCACTGATTGTCCTGTACTATAGCTCAGGCTAGCCCAGTAAGGGAATCCAATTTCATCCAACATTCGTATTTGATCGTCAAAGACAACCCTGCCTCTCCCAACAAGCCGTTTTTTGCTGAGTGAGTCAGTCATCTATATCCACCCATGAGTCGTATTGTCCCATTTTTCACCTCCAGATGCCCATGATACTTCTTGCAAAAAGTCAACATGCTCCTTGTATATAGTTCGCCATCTCTATCTCATTTGAGGACTTTGGTTCCCATTTGAAGTCAATACCATCTAGCGAAAGTCCTGCAGATCCGTTTACTTTGTTTTAAGCATTCGTACAACGTATATTATCCCCTTTCACGCGACGATATATTCCACGAGGTTGGGAGTCTTTTATTTGTATCATAATTGGTGGCTAGATATTGTCCTAGCCCACGCAGGCTTCCGGGTTCGGATCCGGGTGAGGCACCAGCGCTACACTCGACGAGGTTAATCTCCACAGGATCGTACCCCGAAAGGTAGATTCTGCGTCCATTTCTTTCCCCCTTGCCAAACATTCACTTACGACTCCAACCAACCAGGTTTTCTTCCCCCCAAGCACTGCCATTAATGGCAGTAAAGAGTTATTTTGACCCGGTTACGGGGCTTCCATTCGCGGTAGGTGGCGTCAACGTCTTTGTTGGCGCGGCGTAGACGCCAGCGGCTGTGTTCATAGACCATAGTTTTGGAGGCGATAGTGAGACGGGAGCTATGTTGGGGTCCGATAGTGTTCAATTTCAATCTGGATCGAGTTGTGGGTTTCTTGCCAAAACTCTCAATTCTTTCCAGTTTGGTGCTTACGTGTTTACATCTTCTCCAAGTTCAGTACTTCTTCTCACGTATGCTGGTAGCTACGCGTCAGATCTTTGTTCAAGTTCTTTGCTGGCTACCGGAATTCAGAATTCTTCTTCTTCTTCACTTTCGCAACCTTTCTATACGGTTGGCTGGGTAGAGCCCAGCTCGCGTGGTGTATAATTGTCGTATACCGCAATATTATATTCATGTTGAACTTGAACCCAATATCTTTCAGTCGCCGAAAGCCAAACCTTACGATCATACTGTACTGCTGTAGGCTCATCCTCGAAGAAGAAAAATAATGTTTTGGTATTCTAGCCTCTGACTGTGACAGAATGTTGTCAATGTTGCAAATTCCTTTTTCAGACTAATTGGAGCATTCTGTGGAAAGTTGCGCAGTCACCATATATATTATTCCTTGAAGGAAAATATAGCTCCTCAAATTTGTTCGTCGCAGTCATACTGAAGCTGTGTCTCATCCATAGAATCATCTTCAATCTGCCGTGACATCGTCAGTATATTATTGAGAGTTGTCGACAGAAATGTTGCTGATAGGAACTGGAGATGGAGAGAGCAATAATAATGTTGGTGAAAGGAAAACTGAATGCAGAGATTATTGATCTTCATCGCATGCGATCAAGAATATGCATCTATCTGCGAGTTACTATTGGAATGATGATGAATACAATATAATATACCGGTACAGTATCTCAATATTGAATATGTGGGTATTGACGATGGGTGCGAGGTTCGAATAGGTGTGTGGGATTGCGGTGCAACTATAATATTCGAATATATTTTGTAATATATTGCAAGTTTCAATAATAATGTTGATATTTCATGGAAGACAATGAATGCGTCTGGCCGACGTCGGCTATCAACAATACGAATATTGAATATTGGTATATATACCTGGTATATACCTGGTATATACCGGTATATTGATTCGATCAAAATTCAATAATGGAGCAAGAATAAAAAACGATGACACCGTGTGTATTATATATTATACAATATTGAGTAATTTTATATATACATCATCGTTTTTCTACTGTAAGAATCAGGAAATCAATATGCGTGAGAGATTATCATACTTATTGTTGATCTAAGGCTGCACTAGTATCAAGGCAGAGACTCCCAGAATAATAATAAGGGTGGCTATTGCTGACACCTGTTTGGCACCAGATTGAGTGGCAGGGACAGCTGGTGCAGAAGTTGGTCGGCAAGTAGGACCTAGAGTTGGCTCAGGGGTTGGGAACGGTGTTGGTTCAGGAGTTGGTTCAGGTGTTGGTTCAGGAGTTGGGATAGGAGTTAGTTCAGGGGTTGGTTCAGGTGTTGGGAAAGGAGTTGGTTCAGGGGTTGGTTCAGGTGTTGGGAAAGGAGTTGGGAACGGTGTTGGTTCAGGAGTTGGTTCAGGTGTTGGGAAAGGAGTTGGGATAGGAGTTGTTGGAACGTGTATTAGATACTTAGAATAGTCAGATTAAGGTAGCCTGGTAGGCGCAGCGGTTCGATTCCGTAATACCTTATATTTGACATGGTAAGGTATTATGGGATCGAGTCCTCGATTCACATTTCCCTTGTTGATTTTAGAAATGAATGCCGACTGTCTGCATCGACAGGATAAAGATGGACGTGTGGGGGTTTCGACACCAGAAATGGGTGTGCAAGGCTGAAGGGCTATTGTTGGGAATTCACGTGCGCGTGTAAGAACTAATGAAGTACTGTTGGGACTAACAAAGTACTTGTGGAAAATCCAGGTTTATATGGATTAAAAGTGGTCTTCAGGAGTGACAAATAGATAGGATATACCGGTAGCTGGGTCAGAACCAGCTTGTCACATTTTTGAGGACCAGACTGGCTGTTTTAGCCAACATGGTGTGATATACTGAGTTTCAGTACCTAGCTGCAGTAGATAGACTGCAAAAGATAGGAGGTCTCAAGATAAGAGACAAGGCTGAGGTCAAGGGTTCAAATCCCTGGAGAATAGGGGCTCAAAGGAGTGAGTAAAACGAACAATTGAATAAGGGCCGACAACAGACGGACAGACAGAATGTCCGATCGAATGAATCACATGCACGATCCATCGCTCGAAGGAGTGTGTTGGGAATTCACGTGCGCGTGTAAGAACTAATGAAGTACTGTTGGGACTAACAAAGTACTTGTGGAAAATCCAGGTTTATATGGATTAAAAGTGGTCTTCAGGAGTGACAAATAGATAGGATATACCGGTAGCTGGGTCAGAACCAGCTTGTCACATTTTTGAGGACCAGACTGGCTGTTTTAGCCAACAGCTATATCTAAGTATCAAATAAGGGAGGATGTTGGAACGTGTATTAGATACTTAGAATTGGACTAGTCAGATTAAGGTAGCCTGGTAGGCGCAGCGGTTCGATTCCATAATACCTTATATTTGACAAGGAGTTAGTTCAGGGGTTGGTTCAGGTGTTGGTTCAGGTGTTGGGAAAGGAGTTGGTTCAGGGGTTGGTTCAGGTGTTGGCAAAGGAGTTGGTTCAGGTCTTGGTTCAGGTGTTGGTTCAGGTGTTGGGATAGGGGTTGGTTCAGGTCTTGGTTCAGGGGTTGGTGGCCTGGTGACAGTTGGAACTCTGGTGGGAGGAATGGTGGGGGGCTGACAACAGCTTTCAAATCCAATGTTGATGAAAGTTGGGCAAACAATATCATTGGCAGAGATGTATCATGACAAAGTCTTTGCTTGTCTGCAAGTAGTGATGGCCCCATTGGTGAGATGTGGTGGGTAGGATTGGTTGACATCAATGGCGAAATCGTCACAGAATTTGCAAGAGTTGGCGTTGGGTCTGACATCGCAACAGCAAAAAGCAGCATAGTCAATTACAGCGTTGATGCGGTATCAACAACGGAATTGCAGTCAGTGTCAGATCGTTGGTTGTGGGAAACAATGCAGCGCTGAGGCTTCCAATTGCAGAGAATCCACCAGGACACAAGGAGCATTGGGCAGCAGCGCCATCAAGAAGTAGCAAGGCGCAGGTGAGGAAGTAGAGAGTACTAGTCTTCATGATAGTTCTGGTTGATTGGGTTAGTCCTGTGTATGTATGTATACAGATATGTGAACACAAAAAAGCTTGAAAAAGATGTGAAAAACAAGCGAAGGTTTGAATTTGAGGAATACAGTAATATTGATGAGAGACGATCGACGGCCAAAATTCGGTGCGCTATGATACGCAGTACGTAGTGTATGACTTTTTCGGTCACACGACAGAATAAGCCCTATTGATCGTATTCGTCACCAAAGTAACCCGTTTTTACACAAACTGATGGATGACCCTATACACAAAATCGTGAACCGAGTCAATCTTTCAACACCATATTGTTTCAACAAGTTTCCCCAAGCGAACAACAAATAACACCAAGAACAGGAGAGCAAAACCAAAATGACGATGCCAAGCTGCCCGAGGCAGCTTGCAATTGTGATGTTTTTTCTTATAATTCAACGAGGTGAAGCCACAGGGGGGCTAGTATACTGGCTGGTGGTGGTGGTGGTGGTGGTGTGGTGGCTGCCCAACCGCCGAGTCCCCATCAAATGATGAAAAAGATAGATAGGTGCTGAAGCAGACGAAGAAACTTTCATTTTGCCAACGATCTACAAACATGATTGTTGATACGAACAAGCTGGATGCTGGAGTCAGTGTTACCAGCAAGGGGAATCGTACTATTGTCTTGCCACCATCTCTTGGCTGACGGTTCTTGGCTTCGCAAATCAGCATATCATAAACGAGCGCTGCAGTCCAGTGTGCAGAGTGAAAGAAAGAGGAATGAATTGATTCAAACCGAATCTGGCCCGAACATAATAGTCTGAGACTTCAAGGCGATGCAGCCGATGAAGGCAAAGTGCAAGAAATGAGAAGTATATAGCCTTTATGTCAAATTATTTCCGATATCAAGGGGTGCAGCATATGAAAGCAATTGCAACTGTAGCTGATACAACACCATGCGTTCACAAGCAGTAGGAGCACCAAGCAGGGATCACTTGGCGACAATTCTCCACACCCGCAAGCCTCCTCCAAAGAGTGCTCAAGAGGACACACGAAAGAGTAATAAGAAATGTGGCTGTTTTTTCAACAACCCGCCTTGAAACTCAAGAGGGCGCCTGAATGATGATGAGCGATTTTGCATGGTAGTTCCAGGAACTCAGCGGGTTCCCAGTTGTAACTACGCAACAATTTTCTCCCATGACATATCACAACGAGACAGGATACGATATATTAACATTGTCATTGTGACAATGATCGGCGTCTACTATAGCTGCGCGCAGGATTTAACGTGAAAGTACTTCGATAGATCCAAATCCAAGTTAAACCATCTAAGAGTATCCATATGGTTAAACACATCACATTAGACACGTCCACAGCAACTGCCAATCAAACGGACGAATTGCCATCATACTAGAAGGTATGCATATTATGTTTGGATTATGCGGTCGCATACGGATGAATGGAATATTCAATAATATATGCGGATCGCGGAGCGACCCGTAAAAGTGTTCGCCTTTTTTGTATCCCGACTATACTTTTAGAAATAAAACCTCAACTTATAGTTTTGTTATTTTTAATCTTATCTTAACATGTATACTAGCCTTGTATACTATTTAATAATACATCCGAATTCAAAGAAAACTGATCATTCGTTGTCGGCTTTCGCAAATTCATTCGTCCAGCTCCAGCACGAGGCAAGCTTGCCATTAACTCCAGCTGGCCTCCTGTTGCCATCCTCTCTGCAAACGACCACGGTACTACGCGCATCCACCACCATATCCCCCACGACAAACTTTTTCATCCGTGGAACCTAATCGAGGGCGACTTTGCGAGAATGTATCCCGACGGCACACCAAGGAATCGTCCAAACTATCCGTCATCCTTGCACAGCGAAACCCCTCACAACACACATTCAGACTATTGCAGGACTCCAGATAACCCAAACAACTAACACTTGGATTTTGCGAAGGCAATGGACTCGGTACAGCTGATGGAGATGCAGATGGTGTCATACTAGGAGAGCTGGTAGGTTCTTTTGCGTTGCAGCCTGAATTCACCAACAAATCGCGAGCATCCCGAGCCTGAATCAATCCATACCCGTATTCGCGATTGGGCACCCCACTGCCCAATCGACGTGCGGTGTCCCGCAGTGCTTGTCGAACTTGCTTATTGCTGCAACGAGGAACAGCAGCCCATACTCTGGCCGCAAGTCCAGCCACAAAGGGACTGGCCAAGGAAGTCCCGCGAGTAACCTTGATTTCGTTGGTTTGTGCCTGCAAGACTTGAATGTCCATCCCAGGAGCGGATAGTTCTATTTTGTCATTGTATTGTGAAAAGTCAGTGCGCCGAGATCCCGCATCTATGGCTGCCACTGATATCACCGAATCGTGAGATGCTGGATACATCAGTTCGGTACCGCCCGCATTTCCAGCGGCGGCCACAATCAAGGCTCCTTGATCGTAGAGTCTATTGTAAATAGCCGCTTCTGGTGCCGTTTCAAATCCAAGAGCAAAGGATAGATTGATCACTAGTGGCTTTCCACCAGCTTCTTGGGCACACCATTCGGAAGCTAGGTACATGGAGGGGTGAGTGGAAGTGAAAGATGAGGAAGGCATAGATGAGATAGGTGTGTGGGTGCGCAATGGTCGAAGGATTGATTTTTCCTCTTGTCACTCTATCAACATACCTTCTAGCAACGAGGAAACGAATGCAACTCCTTCCCCATCGGGAACCACCTTGGCAACACGCAAACAAACATTACTCCGTTGAGGTCCCTGAGGAATGACTCCAACTACGCCCCTGTCATTTCCACCTTGTGCAATCATAATTCCCTAAAAGACCAATAGAAGCAAGATGATGAGTTGTTACAAACAATGAGGGTCACTGAAACAATCGATATCAAGGATTCAATACAATCATTCATCATAATCATCTTCAATGCAATTTCGATTGATTGGTAGATTATTCATTCACAAAAGGAACCAATCTGTAGTACTTACACCGACATATGTTCCATGACTAGTTCCTCTTGGATAGTACCAGTCTTGCCCCACTGCATCCCCAAATGTTGCACCATCTACATAACCATCTCCTCTGGAATAGGGTATGTCCGCATTGTCAATAAAGACTCCGGAATCCACCACACAGGCGTAGACTGCACACTCTTGATAATCAGGATCTGGACTGATGATCCGATTGGCTTGTGTCAATTCAATACCATAGTTTGTAGCTTCGGCCAGTTGGCGGTGCGTCTCTTCGACAAGAGCAGTAACGTTCGTGGGGTTGGAAAACCCAGCAACTGGAACCAAGACATCGTCTTCAATGTAGCTGAAGCGAGAATCCTTCTTCATTTCTTCCAGTTCCGAAAGAGTGACTTGCATGGCCAGGGCTTCTGTCTGTTTGAATGTATAGTTGATCTTGGATTTTGGACGTCCAGCAGTACGTGGCTGCATTCGTTGTCTACGAACGTATTCCTTCTCTTGTTGCACGTCGTGAAATCCTACCAACACTCGCACATACTCTTCTTCGTCTTCTTGCTCTTGTGCTTGAGCAGTTAATAATAAGTGACTGAGAAGGAGACTTTGCAGTATCAAGAATTGGAATAAGTTTGTGTGCCTTAAGATCATCTTTGCATATGGTATCTTTGGTAAGCTTGAGGCGCAGTATTCCAAATCTCCTCTCTTCACAGTATTACTATATTAGGGTCTCACAGAAAAACGATGGAAGCCACTTTTGATATTATTTCCCGACATGCGCATGTGCTTGGATTTTTTGGCGAAATGAAAATAAAAGTGCATGCCGAAAGGTGCGAGCACGCGCGGCATGTAGTGTTTCACAAGAATGAATTTTCCTTTAGTCGGACCAGTCAATGTTGTACTTCATTTCGTCGGATCGGTTGAAGGCAATACGAATACCGGCACGGGTAGAATATGGATTGGACCTACTGGTGTCATTATGGTACCTGGTACCAGAATAGCATCCCTAGGACTATCAGTTGTCTGTCCAAGCAATAATTAGCTAATAAATCCATTCTATCTTCTATATCGTTTTTAACACTAAGCAAAAAAGACACCAAGTCTTTCTCACGTCTCCTCATCAAAGTAATCATGATTGCAGGCATATGCGGATCATTTCTATTCTACCAGGAATCATATTTAGAACAACCACCGGCAAATCCACCCCGACATTGGCTATTGTCCATTTGACTCAATCTTGGCTTGTTCCGCATTCCCGAATCTGTACTTGCCCTACAAACCCAATTTTCAGTCGTCTCGAGGGAATCAATGGCACAGACCAATCCCCGACAACAATCTTCGTCGCGTTCGCACGAAAACAATCGTTGTTGACAGGTTTCCGTCGGTTCTATACTGGGTGCCGCAGTTGGTTCCATCGAAGGAACATTGGTGGGCATTTTGGATGGAGATAGTGTAGGCCCGGGAGTTGGAGGTGGAGTGGGTGGCGTGGTCGGGTAAGGTGTTGGAGCGGGTGTGGGCTTGTTGCAATTCTTGTTGACCAAATTATTGTAGGCAGCGACGGCTTGGACTAGTCCGTAACCATACTCTTGATTGGGCACTCCATTTCCTAGTCGGATAGCACTATCTCGTAGAGAGGATCGAACTTGTTCGTTGCTGCAATGAGGATTCCTCGCCCAAATCCTGGCGGCAATCGCTGCCACATAGGGAGCCGCAAAGGAAGTTCCCGATAGGGTACCAATGCTCGATCCATCCGCATTGGTCGCTAGAATGTCGGTTCCAGGTCCAACAATTTCCAAAAAGTCGTTGTATTGCGAAAAGGAAGACCGTTGCTTGTTGGAACTGACACTGCCCACGGACATTACCGAGCGATGACTGGCCGGGTAGGAGACTTTGGCATTTCCCAAATTGCCGGCAGCCCCTACTATTAGCACACCCTGGTCGTAAACTCGTTGATAGACTCGCTCTTCTGTACTGGTTTTGATATCCGTGGCCAAGGAAAGATTGATCACCATGGGCTTGTTGTTCCGCGCGGTTACAGAAGCGCACCATTCGACGGCTGAGGAAATGTAACAAAGTAGCAATTTATATTATTAGTCATAAGAACAGCAATCAGACCAAGAACAATAGCAATCCTCAAAAAACTGTTTCTGCTTACCTTGTAGAATGGCAGATACCGAAGTGACTTCCTGTCCATTCGGAAATACCTTGGCGACTCGCAGACACACTTTGGATTGCGAGGGATGTTGTGGAATGACTCCCACCATTCCCGCATCATTGCCCCCGGTTGCAAACATGATTCCTGCTACATTTGTACCATGCGGCGTCTTGATGGGGTTCCACCATTGATCCCCCGCAGCTTGACCAAAGGCTGACCCATCCGTATATCCATCGTTGCGATTGTACGGAATATCATTGTGATTGACATAGACTCCTGAATCGACAATGCACATGTAAGCAACGCATTGGGACCATTCCGAAGGTGGGACTGGAATGGCTTGATCGGCTTGAGTCATTGCGAGTCCATAGGACCTTGCTTCGGCCAGCCATCGTTCGTGAGCTTCCATGGTGTTGTTGTTGGCAGTAGGAGTCGCGGGAGTCGCTACTCGAACTTCCACGTCTTCTTCGACCGTACTAAAGGCAGGATCTTGTTTCATTTGTTCAAACTCTGCTCTCGTCACTTCCATGGCCATCCCATTGGTATTCTGGAATTCGTAGGTAATCTTGGACTTGGAACTCCCATCTCGACTTTGCATTCGTTGATTCCGTTTGTAATTGTTTCCGTCTCCTTTGTCTCGAAAGCCAACCATGATTTTGATCATTTCTTCGTCATCACCACCACCACCACCACCACCACCACCACCAGCTTCTTGTGGATTATAATAAGAAGATTGCTGTGCGGTGTCTATAGTGTCGGTACGATCCACGCCACCGTCAAAAAAATCAAAGAGCTCGCAATTAGCAACGGAAGCTAATAGACAGCCTAACAGCACTTGTGATAATAGTACAATCATTGAATGAGAATGTCGGACCATCATAATGATGCTGATGCTCGCTCAATGGGAGGGGAAGAAAGGAATAAAAAGAAAGATGAGTGACACAAGCCTAGTGTGGTGTCTTGCTAATTCTTCTCTTGTATCGCGTTCCCGTTTTTGGTTCTTGTTTTATTGTTTTGTTTTCATTATGAGGAGTTGAACTTGGTGCGGCTTTCTTGGTGTGCATTTGCACGTGCTTCGTCACAAGCAGTTTTTCCTTACTTATGGAAATTTCAAACTTCGCCTCCAAACTCGACAAAAACAAAATGTGCACACGACAGATCATGATTCAACTGTCATGCGTTTTGAATTTTGAAACTTCTTGCGCCACCAAAATTGGAATGATACGGACAACAGATGAGTATTACAGTAGAGTATCGGCAGAATGATACTTGGTCTTATATTAATAATGCTTCAACATAAAATATGCTGCTGTATTTACAATGATACAAGGATATGAAAGAAAGGGTTGCCAATAACAATGCAATCTGACTCGTTCAACGGTCGTAGTCGTCACGATGAGCTGAGGGATGCGCAATTATCATCGTGGACTTATTCTCTCCTATAGATTCAATGACAGGAATGATGGACATGATCAATATGCAAAGAGTACCTACCATTCAGCATATACCTTTTTGCACAGTATTTTAAAAGCTACCGTGTGCGGATGTTTGGGATAGTCGTGTGGATCATGAATATAGAACGAATGCAGTCTTTTTCAACAAATGTATATTGGATACGAATCCATGCGGAATAATATCATGCCATGTCTTTCTTCCTTCTCGTTCGGCCAGTTTGTTCATACCCATGACATGAAATAAATACTGCTGTAGTAAAATATACAAGTGCTGTTGCTTTAAAAGCTAGTGAAATAGCAAGAAATAGCCTAGTTAGACCAATCCAAAGAGTATCAGCCGGGCAGTAGCACATAATGGAACCACCAAAAAGGAGGACTTCCACCATGATCCGCCGCTGATAGTGGTAGCTGAACTAAAGTGATTTGGACCCACACAGACCCCTCGTTTATGACCTTCCATATTCTGACACGATAGGCCCAAGCAGCATATTCGAACGACTCTCGTCGCCGTGGTGATATTGACTCCAGCCGCCGATACCTGTGTACTCAAATCACCCAGAGTTGTAAAGTCTCCGTCACAATAGGTCAACTCCACCTGACAATGAGCATCTGGATCCCCTTCCGTCACTTGAGGGGATGCTGATTCGATAGGATTGCTCACGCCCTCTTGTGGTGGAAAAGTGGGACCTGGTGTGGGACCTCTGGTGGGGTGTCGAGTGGGCTGTTTGGTAGGAGGCAGTGTAGGCCCTGGTGAGGGCACTGGGACGTCACCACAGGGCCAATACATTTTCTCTTGTATGTACTCGTTTGCTGCCCGAGCTCGAATCAAGCCGTAGCCGAATCGACTGGTCGGAACGGGGTTGGTTCCCAAGGCTTGCGCCGATTTCTGGAGGGCTTCGCGAATCTGTCGGTTGCTGCAGTAGGGATGAGCGGCCCAAATCTTGGCGGCAACTCCTGCCACATACGGTGTGGCAAAACTAGTGCCAGTGAAAAAATCCATGTCGTCTCCCGAAGTGGAATAGATCTCATGACCAGGTGCCACCAACTCGATGCGGTTGTTGGTCTGCGAAAAGCCAGACTGTTTGCGGTCTTGGCCAATGGATCCAACACTAATAACAGAGTCCAAAGATGCGGGGTAGTTGTATTCGTCCGTACCACTATTTCCAGCAGCCGCAATCAACAAGATTCCCCTATTGTAGAGTTCTTGGTAGGTATACCGGTCCGAATTGGTCGCTGCCGGAGATGCCAAACTCAGATTGATGATATTGGCACCCTTGTTCGCACACCATTCGGCAGCTTGCAAGACAAATCCACTGGTCGTCGTGTAATCGTCATCGGCAAAAATACGAGCATTCAGCAAACAAACTTTGGAAGCTTCTGGTCCCTGCGAAACAATGCCCAAAGTTCCAGCACCGTTGCCACCTCGAGCTGCAATGATACCAGCAATGCCGGTTCCATGGTCTGTTCGAGAATTTGGATTATACCAGTATTGATTGCTCGGCAGACCAAACTCCTCTCCGTCCACATAGGGTGACCCTCGGGTGTAAGGAATGTCATAGTGATTCACGTGCAGTCCCGAATCCACAATGCAAATCTTTACTTGGCATTGCCGAGCTTCACTCGCAGGAGGAATGTAATCAAACCCTTGGACCATATCGAGACCATAGGACACGCGTTCTTGTAGTTTTCTATGAGTTTTGTCTCGTAGATATGATTGCTCTTGCGATTGTTCTAGTTGTGGCTTTTGTTGACTTATTGCCTGTGGATTGGGCTTTGGGAAAGCTGCGCGAACCAATACATCTTCTTCTATGTATAGAATCCCGTTGCCCGTCGCGTCTTTGTCCTCTGCCTTTTGGGCTGCAAGCATGGCCTGATATTCATCTTCAGTTACTTCCATTCTTACTGTTTTGGTGTATTCATACTCGTGCTCCACAATGGCGGATCCAGACCGCTGCTGCCGTCTGTTGCGTACAAAGCTCGCTTCGTTTTCTGCAGAGTCAAAGCCCACAAGAATGCTTCGTCTCTTTTCTTCCGAATACATGGACGCAAATGTAAAATCACCGTCTGTTTCGCCGTCTTCTTCTTCGCCATCAATCGGTATGTGCGCAGCTGTGGCCCATCCAGTGCCATGTAAATTGCTCTCTTCGTCTGTCGTTGTCGTGCTGCTGCTGACTTCATCGACAACGACAACAGCAGATTCTGCTTGTAAGGAGAAGATGGCGCAGAATGCTAGTAGAAGAATGTTTTGCGTTGGATTCATTGTGGGCCGAGACTAGTATGTAGATGGAATCTGAAATACCCAATGATGGCATTGAATGAAAATCACATTTCGTCGTTCATTCGCTAGATTGCATTCAACAGACCATCCAACCGATCAAACAAAATGTGAGAGTGCAAGGATGCCAACATGCCCGCTCTGTAATCATTATCATAGTACATATTTAGCTTTTGTGGTTCAGATCAGTTCGTAGGTTTTAAAGGTAGTACTGGTAGACGCGTACACGTACTGCGCCGTCAGGAACTATCACATGACGGACGATGACTTCAGAAGTATTCTCACGCCGGTCGCCCATCCGTTGAAAATCGGAAGATTGCGGCGGTGCGCTACAGTATACGTATCGGTATGTACCTCCAAAATCAGGTATTAATACGAAGTATCGGCACAAAATGCCTGAAGCGCATATCTACTTGCATGTTATATATTGAATGCGTAGGTACCGGAGACACAGAAAATGAAAATCACATTGCAACTCGTGCACGACCGTTGCCAAAAACTTCAAAGCAGCTTCAGCACTCCCATCCAGTAACACCGTTAATCGCCCCGAGGAGTCAATGGCCTATATATTTGAACTTTACCAAGAAGACTGAATCCAGACTTTTGGCATTCCGATGGCTATGTAGGAACCAGGCACCATACAAGCTCGCCCAAGCACTACACTTTCAAATATTCATCGTTTCAGTCCGACTTCTTGTAGGAGTATATATAATATCTCTCGCATCTTAACTGCAGTGATAAGTAAGATGACGATAATAACTATTTTAAGCTTAGTAGGCCCCGACCATATCCAAATCTTGAGTGGCCAAGATATCATAGACGCATCCCTTGCGATCGAAGTCATCCTTGAGGCTGGCGCAAGCAGCTTCGGCAGCTTCTTCGGTGATATCCGACTCGGCCAAGCGACGAGCACGTTCGCCGCGGGGATCTTCCGGAAGGTAGCACAACTCTGGAAACTGAGGCTTGGCAATCTCATGGAACAATTTGCCATCGGATGGCAAAACCTGCCACTCAAGGCCGAGCTCGTTGAAATCATGCAAGACGGTACTGCCATCACGGCCATAGGTGTTTCCAGTGTTGAAATCACCAGTGATACCAATGGCATTTCCAAAGGACTCCTCGGTAGCACCAATGATCTTGACACCCACAAACTCCTTAAAGGTCTTGATTTCGATGCTTTGACCTGGATAATCTTTGTCAAGATCAATGGTATACTTGTTGTTGCGCGGGCTAATGGTGACTGGGTAGCCACCAAGATGGGTGAGAGGTCCAAGGTGCTCAAAGTTGATGTGGTAGTGACGCTTGTCGATGCCGTCTTCCTTGGCAGCTGATCCTTGGACCTCGAGGATATCATTGCCGATGCGAATGGCGGCAGTCTTGATATAGCTCCAGGACCGAACCATGTTCGTACGGAGGTGGATCTCAAGGTCGACGCCTTCCTTGTTGGCAAAGTTCTTGACCTTGGTCATGACAAGATCGCACTGTCCGTGAAACTCAAAGTGCTCGTTCTTCCCGGTGCGGACTGCGACGAATGAGAAACCGAAATATGTCAGGTCGAGTTTTATACAACAAAGGAGTATCTTTTGGTATCTCGTCGAGACAGTACTTACAATGAGGATCGCCAGTGCTTTCGCTTGTGAACGTAGCAGGAACAGGAAAAGTAGTGTATTCGTAGCACCCCCCAATCATACTATCGTCTGTTATTGCGAGGTCGCCGGTACCTGTCCAATGTGTACCGCAACTAAAAAAGGGTGCTGGACAGTTTCCCAAGTACTCTCCTGGAGATGTGCCATCGTCGTAGAAGCAAAAACAATCGGAGCCAGAAAGGGTAAACCCTCGCAATCCACCCAATTTGTTGTTGTTTCGGCAAATCCCATCGCAGGAAAGCGCGGTTTGACCACCCAATATTTGGGTATAGTCATGATAGCCTGGATAGGCACCCTCGCCCTCGGTGTCGGCATTTCTGCAATAACCCTGTCCCAAGTAGTTAGTACCTGGAACCTCGACATAACCATTGGAGTGTGAGACACAAGCGGCAAGGATTGCTAAAATGACTTTCGAAGATAATTTCATTGTTCAAAATTGCACAACTGTTTGGTTTTGGGATTTGTGAGACGGACAAGAAGTGCTAAATTCCAAAAACCAAATTCTGTTGCGTGAGAAAACGTTGCGATGCACGTCAGGAAATTTGGCAGAGACTTGACTTCTTGCGGCTTTTGTATTTTGGTTTGATCTCTGCCTTCTTTGGTTTTTTTCTGATAATACTTAGGGAGTCACGGATTTGATTGCCTAATTATGAATTTGATATTGCCTATCTTGCATTTCCGACATATATGTTTGAGGTTCAATAAATCGAGAATCATGGCAACGAGCTTAAAAATACTCTGGCGTCAGCCTTACTAGTCCCCTTTTCGTACATGACTGGACGTAGCTTTTATGGCGGAAGCTACTGACGGGCGCACACATTTGAATTTTAAGGCAACGAGCTTAAAAATATTATGTTCTTGTGCAGTTTTGGCAACGGGCTTAAAAATATTCTGGCGTCGTCAGCCTTAACCGGGACCGGTAGGTACTGCAGTATTGCATAATGTATCTCTTCTAACAAACCATCATACAGTAGCCTCTTTTAGAGGTGGAAACTACTACTTGTTCCGTGGCCACAACTTTGACAGAATTATTTCCGTATAGCGTGCGTAGGTGTATGCCTTATAGTCAATTTCAACTTGTTGGGGATACATTTATCTGTGCCACATCATGATAACGCCTCGGCAGTCGTCCTCACAGGATGCATTTTTTTGGACGCTTTTATGAAGGCCGTAATCTCCGGCGGCTCGAGTTGGAGCATGAAGATGCCGTCGAATGGGGTTCATTCTCTTCAACGCCATCCGTATTTCAGAGCTGTGGCCGGTGTGGCATATGTACAACAAGATCTCGGTGGCTTGTTGGATCACTCAAATAAGGGTTTTCGATATTTGCTACCGGCATAATAAAAAGTGAATCCAATTGACAGAATTATAGGGAGTATACGGCGGAAAAAATATTTTTTGCACTGCTACTATAGAGCCTAGTGATTGCGGATTAGCCTTTTCAGACCCCAAGAGCAGGGCCCTGAAGCGCTGATCTGCTTTGGGGATATGTGTTGATTGCATTTCGAAAGATGGGGCGAGGGGAGATTGAAGAGGATGAAGCTCAGCAACCCCTTGTATCGGCCATCAAGGAGATTAAACATGTAAGAGATATGCTACTGAATCTCCAAGAAATCCAAACCCGTCTCTGCTCTATTTCTCCTGGCGGTGAGAACGTGGCCATAAAGGTCGTGCATCGGATCGAGAAGGCATGAAAAGCAACGCCAGGGCTTCAGGATTTGCTCCATTCACAAGAGACTGCAAGAAAATAAGCCAAATGATGATGGGACGACACGACGATCTTGTTCGAACTTCCTCAGAGACGTTTTATTGTCCTGGTAGGAAGTAACCACACGACACGACCGATGTCAAACAATGTATTTGACTACTAGCTACTACCAATGTTTGTTTAATACCACACTAGGGATTGCCCGATGAGATTTCAAATTTGGAATCAGTACTTCAGAAGCAGCTCTCATAATAAAAAATTAAATAACCAAGAAATTACATGCCCTATTTACGACTCCCTCCTCGATCTGACCTGATATCTGTAATCGTATTATAATAGTGTCGGGTCTCATCATTTCAAGCGAAATGCAAACATTTTCAAATCGCTTGTTCGGTATAATAGGTTTTCTGTTATTTTTAAAATAGATTTGCAAAGAAAGCTTCTCGGGTCTCTCGAATAGGAATCCCAGTGACTGCCTCAATGACAGGAGTCAACACGAGGAGGACGATGAGAGCAGGTCCAAAAGCACCAATGGGCCTAGTAGCAGCAATAATGTAGGAAAAGGCCATGGTAGAATCATCAGTCTTCTTGGCATAGACTGGTTGTACTGACAAGAGTCCTGGGTTGCGCAATACCATATCCTTGGTTTCTTCTTCTCCAAACTTTTCAGCCCAAATGGCAAAGGTATCCGCAAAAACAGAGGAATCAAAGGCCAAGGAAAGTGGCTCAGTCTTGACCATACCGAGAGCGCGCTCTTCTCCATAGACGGCGGCCAAAGCATTGAAACTGGCAATGGCTTCCTTCTCGGTAATGTCGGCCAAACTCTTGCGGACTGAGGGTGCCTTCATTCTGGTTTTGACCAATACTGTGCCATCAAAGTCTTTGGTGGGAACGCCGATGGTACCCAATGGGTTTGGCTTGGAGGTGCGTTCTGTGTTGAAAGGGTATTTTTGGTTGTAGATTTCGACAGCTTCCGAAGCCAAGGAAGATATTTGTAGTTTGGAAGGAGAAGAAGAAGGGGCAGATTTCGTGGCCATGTTACCAAAAAAGGCTTCGGTGACTTGGAAGAAGCAGGCGAGGGAGAAGAGGGCAGTTGTAGTTGTGAATTTCATTTTGCCGATGATGAGGATTGTCTTTGGTTAGATTGTTGTTGGTAGATGTACTGGTAGATGATGAAAAGCAATAACAATAATAATAAGATCGTCGTCCATTCGCAAATTCAACAATACAATTCTCGTACGATCGTGGGATCCGAAATGAGTCACGAAACACTAACTAAGTACGTATTCGAAGACTCGGCCAAAAATGATGCTTCACGTAGTACGTACCGGTAGTTTTGAAGCTACCATGAAGACTTTGCGAATCAATGACACCAGATTATTCTTCTGAAACCTACCATAAAGCGAAGTTAAGTGAAATTGTAGGAGTTACAGGTTCTAATAACATTTTTTTTAAAAAGAGCAGTTGCATTTTGGTTGCAAACTCCTCTGACTAGTCTAATTTTGAGTCGTTGCTTTTGTATTGCTTCCGTTCCTTCTAGCTAAGCTTCGGGCAATGCTTCTTGTTCTTCTGGACTTTGCTCTCTAGTATCCGCAGGCTCATCCTCGGCAAGTTCCAAATTTCGATGCTCCACGGCCGCATGCTGTTCTCCCCGCAGCATGCCTCCCTGCCTTACCGTTCGTCGCCGACATCCAGATCCAATGATACCACCAATACAGTATCCCGCTCGTGGAAGTTTATCCCTATTCTCCTTGCTCGTTGGTCGGCAGACCCAAGGCTGCGTAGAATCGGCCGATATTCTTCGACATTCCAAGCCACTGCAGCATTCCTCCGTGGCGACACACTGGGTGAGGTAGGCGGCGCATGTATCGGTTGGACCGGGTGTTGGTGCTGGTGTAGGTTCGGGTGTAGGACCAGGAGTCGGGCTAGGTGTCGGAGCTGGGGTAGGACCAGGAGTCGGGCTCGGTGTCGGAGCTGGTGTGGGATTGGGTGTTGGAGATGGCGTAGGGCCAGGTGTGGGAGGATTAGTCGGTGTAATGTCACTCAGCGATACTCCTCCACACGGTGGATCAAAATTTTGGACAATATACTCGTAGGCATCCAAGGTTTGGATCAGTCCATACCCAGTGTCATCGTTTGGAATCCGGTTCCCCAATTTGACAGCAGTCTTTTGAAGAGCCTCTCGAATTTGAGCATTGGAACAGGATGGTCGACTGGCCCAGATCTTGGCAGCCACTCCCGCAGCATAGGGGGTCGAAAAACTGGTTCCCGTGTATCCCCGCACGCTACCATTAATGTTGGTGGCGGTAAAGGATCGATTAATGTTTTGCTTGACAGAGTCCCCGGCCCCTTGGAGCATGGACAATGCGGGAATGTTGACCGTATTGGGGTCACCAATCAAACCAGTGAAGGTTCCTTCGCGATTGTTGTAGACAATGGCCATGATACCTCCACCAGCTTGGCAATTCTGGACCTTGTCCCGGAATGTGAAGGTTCCGTCTCGTTGCATGAGGCAGACCTTTCCATTGGCATTCTGGCAGGGCTCAAAGCCAAAGCCACAGTCCACCAATTCAAAAGTTTGTCCAAAGTTAAAGTCGCTGGGATACTGATTGTTTTGCATAAAGGCTGCTTGGACGACAGTCCCTCCAAAATCAAGCTCCAGTCCAGATCCGGTTCCACCAGCGCCACCTCCCGAGGAAATGATCTGACGCCCAGGAGCTGACAATTCCACTTGGTCATTGGACTGGGAAAAGGACGAATGGCCATTGCCTTCGTCCACCGATGCCACCGAAACAACCTCGTCCCAGGATGCGGGATAGGCATAATCATTCGTTCCGGCATTCCCAGAAGCAGCCATGAACAAAAGTCCTTGTTCGCGGTACAAGTTTCGGTAGACCGTTTCTTCAGTAGTCGTCCGACTGGGAGATCCCAAACTCAGGTTGACCACCATGCGCTTGGCGGAACCATTCCGATGTCTGCGTCCACACCATTCCACCGCTCGTAGAATGCGAGAGGTGGCGGTCGATTTGGAATTGTCGGCAAAGACCCGGGCAATCGAAAGACAGACCTTGGATTTTTCGGGCCCTTGTGGAATGACACCGACGGTACCACGGTTGTTGCCACCACGAGCAATCATAACACCAGCCACACCCGTGCCATGATCGTCATCGGGGCGGGCATTCCACCAATACTGACCACTGGGCAATCCAAATTCTTCGCCGTCCACAAAACCATCTCCTCTCTTATAAGGAATATCAAAGTGATCTTCAATGAGACCCGAATCCACAATGCAAATATCCACCAAACAGTCCTCTGCATTAGATGGTGGCAATGGAATGTCCTTGTCCCCTTGGACGCTGAACAAACCATAACTTGGTTCTTCAGCAGCCTGTAACTGTCGCCTTATGTCTGCTGATGCTGATGAAGTTGGCGTTTCCATTTGATAGACAATGGGATCTTCTTCCACATAGGCAAACTGATCGTCTTCCTTCATTTGTTCAAATTCTTTTTGTGTCACTCGGACCTCCAAAGCTTGGGCATTTTCGTATTCGTATTGAATTTGAGGACCGCCACTGCTTTTGATTTCTGTGGCTTCACCACTGTCACCAACGGATGCCGTCACTGCCACTTCTTGATAGGATGAAACGAATTGCTGGGTAGCTTCTTGTGTCTTGAAACCAACCAGAACGGAGATTTTCCCATCATCTTCTTGCGCTGATGCCGTTGATGTCACCAATGATAGACAGGAAATCAACAAGCATGCACGTAATAGAGAAGGTAATGACATTGTCATTGTAGCAGTAGAGGAGGAGGAAGAAGAAGACGAAGATGACATGGTTGATGCGATCACTTTACTGCAATGACATTCCAAGCAAAAACTGAGGATGTACTGTATAGTTGATGCAGTTGCCGAGAACAAAGTGATATGGACACCGAAATGCCCGATGAATTTTCTTCCCAACAACGGAGAAAACTGAACGGTAAACAGTTTGGCAGGTTGAGTGACTTGCCCCCCAAAATTTATTTCTGTTGAGGTAGCACATGTAAAGCCAACGCGAAAACTAAACAATATGTAACCTACGTGTCTGAAGAAAAGTTCATGTTCCACATAAAAGTTCAAAGGAAGGTTTTTGGTCGAAAGCTCGCCATGTTTGCAGTGAAATGACTCATTTTTCGGCAATTCAACGGAAATCTTGGAAAAACCGTATCTTTTTCAAAAATCTCTTCTTTTGCACATAGGATTTGATGGCTCGAATTTAGCGTTTTTTAACCGCTCTCATCCGAGTGAGCGGTCTTGTCAAATCGCATGTCATTGTCCAAGTGGACCCACTTTTTCCTTCCGACTTTCTCACATGCATTCTTCCTCGATAGTAACGAAAATTCGAAACAGTCATGGTTCCTAAGTAATATTGCAGTTGTGTCGCGTGACGACTAACTCTTGTATGTGAGAGTATGATCGGGACAATCGCTTATTTTAGTATTCACCCCAGCACATCTTGATGATACCGTATCATACTGTATATGATGGCTGTCATGATCGCTCGTTCTCAGTGCACGTAGTGATGATGAAAGTTGTGAAATTCTATAGCAGTACTGTAGGTTCCAGTTCTCGATGTGCTGCGTATCGTTGCAGCCAATAAAATAAAGAAGGAGTCATACCATGTTACCAGATCTAGCTAACTAACTAGTAGCATACCACAACAAGGCTTCTTGTGCCATTTCCTTAACACCCGGACTGATATTCCGAAAACGATCCAATGCTTGGACAAACAATATTCCCACTTGTTTCTGTTGCAGCATTGTAGTTACTTGAGAATCCTGCATCCTTCCTACTTTGAGCAAATATCGAATCCCTCGCTTTTGGGTATACTTGTCGTCCGGCCAGCATTTCAACGCGTCAATCACCAAATCCAAACATTCTTCCGCCGCCACTTCCTTGCCAATGCTATAATCAACTCCACCAATCAAATTGTGCAAAAGACCAACCACATTGGATTGCAATTGATAACTCAATTTCTTTTCTAGTGCCACGGTCAACTTCAGCGGAACCCTTGTTGGTCCTTTGGCGTTTGCGTTACTGTTGTTGTTGTTTTTGGAGGCAGAATATGCATGTAGTCCTCCTTCCGATACTTTTAGCAAGGTCCGCAATCCTCCCAACTCGACGATGAATTGCTTGGCAATCGGTACCGCCCCCGTAATTTGCACCAATACTTTGACCGCCTTGCAGGCAAAATCAGTCGACTCGAGGTACCAATCTTTCAGGGCCATTAAGATGGCACCACAGCCATTCCATTGGGTAATGCATCGGGCCATTTGGACGGATGCATCAGCCTCTTTTCCAGTACTTGTAGTAATATTCATCAAGGCTCCATACAATCGTTGAATGGCTTTTATGGCAGCGTCGACGGTTCGACCAGTGCGTAGTTCTCGAAGCAGTGGCCGGATGATGTTGTCTCGTTGAGCTTGCAGCTGCTGTTCTTGTTGTTTCTGTTTCTGCTGCTCTTGTTGTTGTTGCGGGGAATTTTGTTGTTGTTGTTGGTGGTGGTGGTGAGGCTGAGAATTGGCATTATTAGCATTCTGTTGGAGATTCGAATTGTTATTATAGTCCTGAGTGTTGTTGTTGATGTTGTTGTTGTTTTGAGGACTTGTTGTTGTAGTAGTAGTGGTAGTACTCTGATTCCCGTTGCCGGGGTTGCTAATGCTCGTGGTATTATTCCCGTGACTCTGTGTACTATTACTTCTTTGTCGAACTCTTGAATTGTTCGGTGCTCCAGCAGGTATTATTGGGGTCTCAGTCCTCTCAGGTCGTGCTGACGACTCACTGTCTTGATGATGTTGTTGTTGTTGTAAACTTGCAGGAGAAGGATTTGTGGAGCTTGTCGATCCTGGCTCTTGCTTGATTAGAACCTTATTGGTTCTTCTCCGTTTATTGTTTGGTTCGTCCATTTCATTGTCTGCTTTCTGGCCCTGTGATTCTTCTTCGGGTTTCTACCGGTATTATTTGTTGCAATGCTACTGTATGAAATTATCGGTTTCAGGTTATGAGATCACATTAGGTTATGGGCGACGTATTTGACTTCATGGACTAAACCTAAAAATCCGCGAAAATATAAGAACAAAAGTCATCTGTGATTTATTGCCAAAGCAAGAAAGACGAGCTTGCTGCTATCAAATCTTCCGTATCACTACATTACAGGAAAAGGATCGACATCAAACAACAGTACACAAGTATTAGAACCACGCACGTCTTCCTATTCCATTCCATTGCATTTCAGTTCAGTTCAGTTCATTCCAACCGCACTCGAAATCTGACCAAAAACAAGAATAATTACCAACAACAACAAAAAGATGACAATTCAACAAATCCAAGATGAATGGATCGAAATTCGACCCGGTCGCAAGCTGTTTGTCCGTCATTGGATCCTCAATAGTGCTGAGGCTGTGAAGAAAACAACTACCATCAATCTAGTTTGTGTTCATGGAACGGCAGCTAGTCAAGAACAATACCTGCCCCTATGGAAAGCGTTGGATACGACTGCTACTACTAGTAGTAGTAGTAGTAGTAGTAGTAAGGAAGGCGACGACGACAATCACAATATTTGCATTCACGTTTGGGCCTATGACGCCGTTGGATGCGGAAAATCACCAAAACTGGAGAACTCTTCTTCCTATACAGACGACGAACAAGTCCAAGATTTGACCATTTTAATTGAAAATCATGTCCAACAACAAAAGCAACAAAACCACACAACTTATTTCATGGGACATTCCTATGGTCCTACATGGATTTACAAGTATCTTTTGAGGCCGCAGCAGCAGCCTAAGAATAATATTGGTGGATTGATATTGATATCAAGCGGCTTGCGATGCCAAGAATTGGTCGTTTGTGGCCCCAAAATCTTTCACTACCTGCCCCTTTGGCTTTTGAATTGTATGCAACCCATGCTGACGGCCAATTTTCTGAAGATTGGTTTTAGCCCAACGACTCACAAGGAACAACCGGAACTTATTGAAGCCGCCAAGTCGGACAACAATCAGAACGACATGCAAACTTGCGTCTATTACTATCAAGCCCACGATTGGTTGGCCCATGTCAATCCTTCAGAATTGCTGCCCAGCAGCAGCAGCAGCAATAGGAGCAAATCTTCATCCATCTTGGTGTTGCACGGCACCGACGACGAAATGGTTCCGATTCACTGTGGACAGGCCTTGGCCAATGCATTGGAGACGGATCTGGTCAGTGTACCAAATGCTAGTCACATGGTATTGCTAGAACAACCACAAATTTTAGCCCAACACATCTTGGCCTTTATCAAGAAACAACAACAACAACAACAAGAGCACTAGAGGTGATCACGGAAAAAAGCAGGAGGAAGTTTTGTTGTACCTAATCACAGTGGTACTATTACCGTGATTGATTGCAGTGGTGACATCAATACTACATCATCGAGTATAGCTTATTGGACTACATACAGTATACGTTTGCATTCATTGGACGCCAAGTGCTGTCTGAGGGGGCTTTGGAGTACGAGCTAGGAGCAGATGGAACTACACTGTAGCTGAAAACTTATGATATGTCTATATATTATCCCCACCACACACATCTACACCATGAATTCAGAAAGGTACGAGAAGATGATCAAACTGATAATGAAGACAGATCGCACGTGCTCGACGCCTTGTAAATGTTCATGATTTGCTGAGTTTTAGTCTTGATTCTAACGATTTCACCTTATGAACCGCCCCCCATTCCCTATAGTATCCGATTGCTTGTTCCAATCGATACCTTGATTCTTTTTCCAACGATAGTTGCCGTTGAAGAAAATCTGAATATCGCTCGTTCAATAGTCCGAGATGATGAAGGTGGCCCAGCTTTCCCACTGCTTCCAGGGATTGCTCATACTTTGTTCTTGCCTCTCTTGGCTTCTTACCTGACGCAAGATGCTCGGCTGTCAGAAAGAGGTCGTAGTACTGGATGGTGGTATTGTCATATCGCGCCAACGATGCCATTCTCTTTCTGATCTTGTTTGCGGCGCGCTTGTACTTGCCCTTCTTCGTTTTGATTGCGGCAGCGTATAGGGCAACTGCACGATGAAATGATTCGATCTGGTTCAAATATACGCCTGGGTTTGTCTTTGCGTGGGCCTCGCCAACCGTAAGCGCTCGTTTCGCACTAACCTCATAATCTTCGTTCCAAAACACGAGTTCTCCTTCTGCAATAACCTTATCGGCCAAATGAACTGGGTTCCCCCTATGATCTTCCTTCGTATCAGAGTATATTTTACCAACATGAACACTTGGATTTTCACACAAAGGGTCGCTGAGATTCAAAAGCATCTGGTAGTAGTTCTTGGTACTTAAGATATGGGCCCCGGCTGTGGATAGTTTTCGAACGAGAAATCAATTTAAGTTTCAACAATCAAAGCGACGAGATACCATTCAGCAATCAGAGCGGAAAAGTGCCAGTCAACGCAAAGCTCACCTTTGGTCTCTTCAAACTCAGCCAAGATATCAGGACAGCCTTCCAGGATCTTATGAATTGGACGCCCGGTTATATACGGGAGGTACACGACATGTTGCAACATGGACCACGATGTGTACACAAAGTCACCTTCCCTTCTGCCTTCTAAAATTGCCTTTTCTGCTACAACACGACCCATCTCTAGGGGCTTCACCCAGTATAGACCCAGTTGGTGTCCAACAAAGATTGACTCTGCAGCATGCATTCCCCGAAACTTCTTCAGCATCCCAAGAGAAATATTTACAAACCGTTCCATTGCCTCGTAATCCTGCAAGACGGTGCTAGATATGACGCCCAAAAATGCGAAAGCAGTTGCTGAGAACTCATTCACGCCATACTCCATTGTAATATCAACCAGTTTCACAGTGGATAAGAGGTACATTGCATCGTCCCCAGCCATGTATGCATTGTAGGCAGCTTTCGAAAGCAAGTACCCAATGTACTTTAGTTGTTTGTCGTCGGACGGTTTCATTTCCTCGTAAAACTTTTGCGGCTTTGCCTTTGCCTTTTTCACGGCACGAATGAAACTCGCGACTGCTTGCGGAAGTGCCAATGGTCGAACCCATGTCATTCGGCAGCCATGATTCTTCAATAAGCTGAGACAGTATTCCAGCGCCTCCTTCGGTTTTACTTCAACGTCACCCAATGCCTTGGCTTTTCCGACCTGCAATGGTAGCATCTCAATTGTCGAAAGGTCTGATCGCGATAGGACAGCCTCTCTGTATCGTTCAGCGGCGGCAACGTTCCCAAGAGTGAGTTCTGCTTCTGCTGCAATAGTATACAGGTTCAGGGTTACGGTCTTGTTTTGAACCCAGTCGGTGTCCTGCAAAAGAGAAATGCCTTCCGAAGCATATTCACTGGCAGCCTGAAACGCCGAGGTGCCGCGTGCCTTTTCTGCTGCTCTAAGATTCGCGGCAGCAAATTCTGGCCTCTTCGAGGCGTTACCATTGTTGATGAGGTCAACAATCGTAAAGAGATCTTGTTCAACATGCTCCTCCGCCAATCCATAATACAGAATTTTTCCAATGTCCAAACAAAAGGTATCTCGTAGTTCGCCCGAGAGAGAAAGTGCAGCTTCTTGAAGCTTGTCATGAGCCCATCGATATTGCTGATTCTCACTTTTCTCAAATATGTCGTCAGCAACGAGCAACGGAAGCAGAGACGAAACTGGCTCTGTTTTCGTTTCCACCAGCCTTCGACCATAGACGCTCCAAACAAGATCGATCGTCGGCTCACTGAACGTCGATCCAAGATGGGCCGCACACTGCAAAAGTGCTTGTACCTGCTCTGGTAGCTTTCTCAAACTTTCTTCCAGCATGACAACTACATTCGCAGTAGACATGGTCTCTTTTTTTATCTCCGAAAGATTCCAAGACCAAGTCTTCGTTGTTTCATCGAACGCCATCATTCCTTCGATGTGCAGCATCTTCAGAAATTCGATTGTAAAGAATGGATTTCCGAGCGTGCGCTTGTGGCATAAAGCAGCGAGCCCAACTATATGGTCGGCTCTTAGTGATGGCAATACTGCTGTGATCACAGTCTCAATGCTGTTGATGCTGAAAGATTCGATCATCAACTCGGTCATGTGAAAATGAAACTTGTCGGTCTTTTCTCGAAGACCTACTATTTTGTTGTGGAGCAAACTGTTTTCATTCACCTCTTCAGTTCGATAGCTTCCGATGATCATGAGCGGGTTCTCATTTTCGCTATCGGAAACCAAATACTCCAAGACTAGGAGTGATGACACGTCCGCCCACTGAAGGTCGTCCAAGAACAAGACTAGCGGAGAGAAGAAAGCGCTGAAGACTCGAGCCAGAGCTCGAAATGCGAATCTTAGACGGTCGACTCCCCCTTCCGTCTCGTCCACTCTATCGATTGATCCATCTGTTGAGTCATCAGAGGTCTCGACGACCATGATGTCCTGGATATCAGGAATCAGATGTACCAACATTCCAGGCTTATCGCCCAACTCGTTTCGCAGATCCTGTCGCAGATCCGCAACAGTCTCTGGTCCTGCTTCCTTGATCTTTTGGCAGATGACGCCAAAGGCTGTTGCTACTCCAGAATACGGTTCGTTACTAGTATTCATGTCGAACTTGCCTTCCACAAATAGTCCCTCAACGGGGATATCGTTTTCCATGCTTCGGATTATGCTTGACTTTCCAGATCCAGACTGCCCGCCTACCAGGATAAGTTCCTTCTTTCTATCCTTCATCAGACGATCGCTGCAGGACTTTAAAGTAGCTAATTCTTTGTCTCTGCCAACCAACCCCGCTGAACCGAAATCTAGTGGTGGAAGACTTGATTTTGGCTTATTGAACTTTCTCGGTGTAGTTCTTGGTGCGACCTTTGGCTTATTTCTCCGTTTTGATTGAATATCTCCTTGGCTTCGAAAGCATCCAGGGGATGTCCTGGATGTCAACACGGTCACAGTCGTCTGCTTAGAGAAACCAGTGTAAGACGAATGAGCATCAGAGGGCTGATCGTTCGATACGTGACTTTCTTGCTTATTGGATGACTGATCCGCTGAAAGCAGAGCATCACTCCGTCCAGAAGAAGCGTCGTCTTCTTTTCGCTCTGATTGCACTTCGAAACTCATCCCTGTGTGCTCGCTGTTTGAATATGAACATGTCTGCATGGTTTTGGGTGGGGGGTGAAATAATGAGAATATGTGGAAATTTGGGCTCCACAAGAGACATTTGCGATTTGAAGTGGCTTTCTTTGACGCTCTCGAAGAGCTTTCAAAGATAGGTACTATATATGGTCTTTTGTTCGGAACGCATCATTCTTTTTTATATGTTATGAAAGTGACGTTCCTTTTGGCATTATATATGTATTTTGACCATATATAAAAGGATCTTGCATAAGGGCTAAATTATCATTTTCGCTCCGCTTTTGTTCGCTTCCGAAGGGTGGTGAGCTTTTCGTTAATCCGGTACCTACTCGTACGGTGCAGTACTGTACCTCCCGGTGGTACACTTGTACTATATGGTGACCTGTGGAATCATCTTATTTATACAGACGTGTACTTTATATGGCAACGTCTGTACATCCCCTCACCATCTAAACCGAGATACCAGACACCGCAACATCATTCCTTCTACTGTGGGAAGTGACAAAACTTGACCAGCGGTATGTTTCACCAGGATGTCGCCAACCCACACGCCTTTCAACTGTGGTGGAAGCCGCCACAATGATTCCAATCCCCCCTCCAACCCCCCTCCAACCTACTATACTGCTCTTGCTCCTTGCTCCAATATTCTCCTTATGATGGTCTTGTTATTGCTGATCTGCTGGGCCTCTTCTACTACATTCGATTCATCGCTACTGCCACTACTACTACTACTACTACTACTACTACGACTAATGACGGTTTGTACTTCATCCCCTCCTCATTCGTTGCGTTCTTGCTTCTCTTATATTGTTTCCTTGTTGGTTGGTACGGGTATAGTCTTTTTTCTCAAAGTGCTTGGAACTAGGATAGCCCTTTTCCGAAATACATACCGGATCTCTTTGACATCTACAATATTTTAAAATTGCTCTCGATCTCATTTTGAAAGATGGATGGATGGGTGGATGGATGGATGGATTCATTTATTCATTCATTCATCCATTCTTGAATGAATCAATAGCACTGCCACCATGATGACAATGCTTCTGTCTGCTGCATGCAGACCAACGGCTGGTGGCTCCTGTACGGCCGGCGCTTTGCTGGTGGTGGTGCTGGGCAGACAGGCTACCACCCACCACCACCAGCACCGAGCAGGAACGGAAGGATGCACTATCCAGCAGTCACTGTAGGATCTTTATCAAAACATTCACAAAACAAATAAGGAGAGTTAAAAAGTAAAACGTAACCTACCTAGCTGGTACCTGGTACCTGGTAGTTGTCCCCGCCATTTTTCAATCTCCAAGCAGGATTGCTTCATTCCGATTATTCTCCTTCGTTTTACTCTACCGGTAGCCATTGCATGTTCTATGTACGTGTACCGGTATCGGTACATGTACTGTATTGATTCTGTCTGACGTGGCGCTTCTTCGAGGTTGACAGGCAGGGTACCGGTACGGTACCACCACCACCATTCTGCAAGGAAAGGAAGGAAGGAACTATGACGACCCTCTAAAATAGGACATTTATGGATCGGAAAGAATACCACCGGAATTTGATTGGTAAAAAAGGAACCGAAAAGGAGACGGGGACATAATCATATTTTCGTTCATTAATCACAAAGAAATCACCTGCCTTTAACACCCCTGAAGAACACACCTGGTTCATAAACGCATTGCGAACCCCGTTGCTTTTCCCCAATGCATTTTCCATGTTTGGGCTGGTAGTCATTTTCACGTAGAAAGCTACTTTGATGTCGTTCGTGTGTGCTGGTTGGTCGATGGAAGGTTTTCATGGGAGTGGTCGTCAGCGTAGTCAGTGTTCAGTGTGTCCACGGTACGGTATCACTTCCACGTTCAGCGAGCGAGTGAAAACAAAAACAAAAACAAACACAAACACAAACACATAAACTGTAACGTTACAAACCATGACCAACATGGACTGTCCAGCAGAGAATGCTACTCTGTCCGAGAGCAGCAATCATCAGCGCTTGGACAAAGCTTCAGCATCAGTTGAAGTTGAAGTTGTCGTGAGTGGTTCACAACATCAACAAGAACCACAAGGAGAACCACAAGAGCAACAACCACAACAACCGATGCGTTCGTGTTTGAAGCGAAACAAGTCCAAAAGGAAAAGCAACACTAATGCAAGTGCAAATGCAAGTGCAAATGCTAATGCTAACACTCATCACCACAGGGTTGGCTTTGTGGAATTCATTACGGTGAGTGAATGCCTTCACCATCTAGATTACACGAAAAAGGAATACAAAGGCACTTGGTTCACTCCGAAAGAAATGTCGAAGAGTCGAGAAGACTATCGAGATGTCTTGCAACATGTGGGCAGTCTTGCCGCCCATTTGAGCCAAGACGAAGAACTCTGTTGCACCCGCGGATTGGAATACAAAACACCCATGGGCAACAAGAGACGAGAACAAAACAAACGCGTTGCTTGGCAAGCTGTGGAACGCGAGCAGTACCGTCAATGGGATCAAGGATTCAAGGACGAACAAGCCTTGGCGGATGAGTATCAAATAGCGACTCATCATTGCGTCAAAAAGGCCATTCTTTTGGCCCAACAAGATCGTCAAGCAGTGCTCGCTCAAGCCAAGTACTACCAAATGGACGGACTCAGTTTGGGGTCCTCCTCCTCTTCGTCCTCCTTGGCAGCATTGTCGATTGCCGAACAAACGTGCAAGTCTACTACTTCCTCCTCGGCGCATTCCCGTTCGAGCCATAATTCCCTGGCTTCGGGTTCCCCCTTGTTTGTTACTTCCAAGCATCATCATGGGGTTGCTGCGGCTACCAGTGGACGAAGACCTGTGCGATCTCAAGGCCGCGTTTCGCGAGCGGCCTAGACGAAAATCAAAGAATATTACTACAATTTTGGATGATTCATTCATACGATGATGATCATCCAATTGAACAGAAGCGAGCAAGCAAGAGAGGAATGCCCTTTACAAGCACTAGACATTTGGAATGTCTAGTGGATTGTATCATGGGGCTTCAAAACATGTACAAATATATATATATATACACACTCTCTCTCTCTCAAGTCATTCAAAGTTATAATGATGACGACATGACGCTGCTACTTCAAGAGTTCAAGACACAAGACCATCACTACTACGATGAGACTAAAAGAAAGTTTATTGTCTCGGGCAGGATTCATCGTGGAATGCTGTTTCTAATATCCATAAAACAACGGGGTGGTGTTTCCCTTTTTCTTGCAAGAAGGGGGGCATTACATCTATACAAAAAAAAATGCACACCTATCATCGAGCCACTACTACCATCTGGTGCCATGAACCGCATATTACATATATATTGAGAACATGTCTCAATAGGTCCAATTCAAAACACTTCTGTACTATTATAGTTTGGAATTCTACATAATAATAATACGTTTTTATATTATGTCAACACCATGGTCATCAACCAAAGCTCTTATATTTGCTACATTGCTTGCTTGCTTGGTAGCTAGCTACTGCTGTACCTACTGTGTGCAGGTAATTTTACACTTGGCCTGATCATCCATACCTACAGTACCGGTCGTATTATATCTTTTTTGATTCAACACAAAATGACATTCGTGGCCAGCTGTGGCCACGACGATGAGCTCCGTCCGACCACTCCGACCAAACAAGTGGAACACGAACGAGGATGAAGTGAGCGCAACTTCTCAAAACTACTATTGTTGTTGTACAGTATCATATTGGGTGTCAAGGATTTGTGTTTTTTGTGATACAGTACTCGTGCCAGTATAATAATACCACCATGTCCACCAAATCACCCAACGATGTGGTCATTGTGAGCGCCCTTCGTACTCCCCTCTGTCGTTCTCGCAAGGGTGGTTTGGCCAAGGTTCCTCCTTCCACTCTGTTGACCACAGTGTTGAAGGCCACAATCGAACGCACTCGTGTCAATGGCAGGGACGTGCAAGACATTTGTCTAGGAAATTGTCTCATGCCTCCCTCTGGCTTTGCCGCCATGCGCATGGCACAGATTGTTGCTGGAATCCCGGCGGAATCGGCCTCCCTGCAATGGGTCAATCGACAATGCAGTTCCGGGTTGCAGGCGGTGGCGCACATTGCCAATTCGATTGCCCAACATGAAATACAAGTCGGGATTGGAGGTGGAGTGGAATCCATGTCGTTTTATCCAATGTACGTGTGTATTATATTATATTGCATTATATTGCATTATATTGTATTATATGTATTATATCTTGTATTATATTGTATTATGTATCATGTTACATCTTGTATTATCTTGTATCATTCATTATACCTGTGATTATGGTGGTTCATGATGATGATTATGATGATTATGATGCATCTGCTGTGCTATTACATTATTTACTAATCTTGTGTCTTTCTTCAATTGTTTTCTAATTCAATTCAACTCAATTTTCAACTCAATTTTCAACTCAAAGGTCCTCCATCAAGCCACCCGACGTGGATTGGGATGTCATGCAAGCACAAACAACGGCCATGGATTGTCTCACTCCCATGGGAGTTACCAGTGAAAATGTCATTGATCAATATGGTTTGGAACGTTCCAAATTAGATGCCTTTGCTCTAGCAAGTCACCAAAAGGCAGCGGCCGCCCAACGACAAGGCAAATTTGTGGCCGAAATTGTCCCCGTGGGAGACGTGGCCAACGACGATGGGATTCGGGCTCGAACGACGTTGGACATTTTGCAAACCCTCAAACCGGTATTCAAGGAACATGGATCGACCACGGCCGGCAATTCGTCCCAAACGACCGACGGTGCTGCGGCGGTCTTATTAATGACACGATCGCAAGCGGAGAAACGTGGTTTGGCCATTTTGGGTGTGTGGAGAGGGTATGCCGTCAAGGCCGTCGAGCCTCGCGTCATGGGAATTGGTCCTGCCGTGGCCATTCCAGAAGTATTGAAACAATGTCATTTGACCTTGCAAGACATTGATATCTTTGAAATCAATGAGGCCTTTGCCTCACAGGCAAGTTGGTGCATTGACGTCCTTGGTATCGCACCCGAAAAAGTCAATCCCAATGGTGGAGCCATTGCGTTGGGACATCCTCTTGGATGTACGGGTGCACGACAGATTGCGACATTGCTCAATGAATTGCACCGTACCAAACAGAGATATGGGGTCGTGTCCATGTGCATTGGAACTGGAATGGGAGCTGCTGCCGTCTTGGAGGTGGAACCAACTTCGCGTCTCTAGAGGGAAATGGTTGAAGCTAGTACTTGCTAGACGACAATATCTATGTTACAGGATGAGATGCATCGATTGCCATATTGATGGCATATGATGGTGGAATGCATGCATGGATAGATCATGTTTATGATAGTTGGACTAGAATATTGATGGTACTAAAAAAGAAAGTTCTAGTAATTGTGTAATGCTTCATTATATATTCTCGCCTCCCTCTCGTCTTGGAAGGACAAGAATAATAAAAAGTATCTGTTTTTTAGGGATAGTAGTAGTTGTTGTTGTTGTTGTTGTAGTATTATGGAGAAAATAAAAAAAAGGTAAGAACTCCATTCAATTCATTGAAATAGAACTCTCTCGAAATGACCAAGCTGACAGCTAACAGCTTGTTGGCAACCATCCATTGTGGTGCCATAATATAATGGAAAAGCCAGCAAGTGCCAAAATGAGTTGAGTTAGGCACTCAAAATGTCCCAGGCTTCTTGCGCCACAATTGGTGTCTTCATGACCATGAAAGCTTCCACCGTCTCACAATCCTTGGCTGAACTGCAAATCCAATTTTTGCTATTTTCCAACAAGACGCATTGATATCGTGGTCGACCCTGTCGTCGGCCACTCAATACGCCTTTGATTGCCATGGGACACAAGGTCAATAGTTGTTTGGGTTCATCATAGTGCAAGCAAAAGTAGTATTGTGGTTGTTTGTTCTTGCTACCACTGCTACCACTGCCAACGGTCACCACCTTGTTGTAAAAGTGAGCCCGATCGCGTGGATACGACTTGACCTTTTGTTTGCAGAGGGTAGTCTTGTCAATCTTTCGAATCCCTTCAAACGGGACCACTTGTCTTTGTGAGGACGAGCTATTGGGCAGTAGCTTGGCTGGGGCAACCTTCACCTTTTTGGGTGTCAAAGGTGATACTGTATTACTAGCGGCTGCTGATGCGCTTCTAGTTGGAACCGTAGTCTTGCTGCTCGAGCTTCTGGACCTTGGTGGTTTGCGTTGCCTCTTGCTGCTATTGTTGCTGCTGCTGTTGTTATTGATGAGGGATGGCGGGGCCGAAGGAACAGCCAACCATGGAGATTGATATTGCTTTTGGGCATATGAAAGCGGTTTTCCATCTGGTGGCGGTGTAATGAGATCGGACCGTGCTGCCTTGGATGCAGTTGTGGATACTGGTCCAAACATTGGTGAACTGGCAGGAGTTATTCTCTGGGGAGTCTCCATGGAATGGGTCCGAGGTCGCTTGTTTGACATTAGAGGATCCTGGCAAAAGACTCGTTTACGAGAGGACGTAATGTTGGGCAAGGGAGGTGCTGGAATTCCAAAGCTTCCAATGGAAGAAGCCCTTTTGAGTTTCTTGAGAGCCTTGGGAGTTGGAGACATGGGAGTCGCAACAATGGTTGGCCGATCCGCCACTGTGTACTTTTCCAATGCCTCCAAGAGTAGTGGCATTCTATTTTGATAGTCCGCAATCTTGAGGACCATCATGTAGCTGGGCCCACCGTGCATATCCAACGATTTTTGACTTTCATTCGCATGGGTCCAATGCCGGTATCCTTGCACCGGTGTGTCCAAGTTTGGCAACTTGCCTTGCTCTCCATAGCGGCACACAGCTCCGACTCGCTTGAATCCATATCGTTCGTAAAAGGTTCTTGAACCAGACGTGGCTTGCAAGACTACATAATCGTACTTGCCAGCTGCAATGATCTCTTCCAAGGCCATTCGGAGCAGCAAGTCTCCACAACCTAGCCCACCCACTAGAGCAATCTCGGCAATGGATTCAAAAATCACACCTGCATCTTGTGGAGATCCAGTCCGAGGCAGACTATTCAATTCTTGTGCCAGTACACCATCGGCATCTTTCACGTACTCACACTTTTGAAGTCCCGAAAGTTCATTCATTGAATCCCACGCAAAATAATGTGTCCAGGTGGTAAAGTTGGTCCAAAGCAAGTATCCTTGCAACCATCCTTGCGTGGCGTGTCGTATTTGAACACCTCTGAGTGGATCATCTATATCTATTCTATCTCGTATGTAATCTCTGGAAAGCGGGGCAGTGAATTGAGGCTTCTTGCCACGCTTGCCCTTGTGGCGGGCAATAAACTGGCGCAAACCAGCACTGGTGCAAACCGCAACCAATTCGCTCAAGCAATCTTCCCAATCCTTGCGTTTATTGGGTCTCCAAAGGACCGAGGCAAAAAAGGGAGCTTCCTTTTGAGGGCAATCATAAAAACTGGCATTCTTTTGGATTCGCGGCACCAATTCCATATCGTAGCGCACGCTGCTAGGATTCAAGCTAATGCTGCGTTGCTTGCTTTCTCTCTTGCTGGTTCTTCTCTTGTTATTGCCACTACTATTATTAGTATTGCCATTGTTATTACCATCATTGCAAGCATGATGATTGGGAGCCTGATTTTCCACAAAACTGTTGGATCTTCCGTGAATCGTGCGCGTGCGTGATTCAGTAGGATTTCCTGTAGGATTTCCTGTAGGATTGGTACACGCGACCGTCGATGGAATTGAATGATGGAAAAAATCCACCATGCTGGGCTCGTAATTGACAGCGTTGGCAATGGTGCGCCGACTGCAAATCTCGGCAAAGCTCTTGGGCTTGTGCTGTTGTTGGACTGTCATGACCGATTCTGTCTCTGCGGAAGGTGCCATTTGATGCTATGTTTACATTCACAATATCGCAAACAAATCACACACGCTCCAAGGATCCATCCAGAAAAAGAGCCAAAAAGTGTGGGGAAACAACCCACGAAAATCTTGACACTCGTACAATCCAGTACATGCGCCACGTCTTAGTCATTTCCACGGAATTCCAACGTGCTAAATGTACGTGAAAAAAATCGAATGCGAGTGTGCAAACCTCTCGGAAGCATTCCAAAACGCGCGCCTGACATTGAAACAATTCTGATTGGACGAATCACAACGCGTCAGTTTGACTACCCATGCAAAAACAATATGTAACAGCTGGCGTATGTGACGATCGAAGTGGAACAGTGATCCCGCGCACAATGCGTCAACAGAATTTTGAAATTACGAATGATTTTCATCGCGAAATTCTCCCAAAAAAGAACTTTGTTTGGCCGCAAGAGGCGGGAAATAGATTGGCGATCGTGACACGATTGATGAGACGATGGAAGTTTCCCTGTTCGCCTTCTGATTGGAATCAAGTTTGGGAAGGGTTGTCAAATGGTTGGATGGAGAAGATTGTGTGGATGATGGTGGATATTGAGGAGGATTCGGAAAATGTTGCGGCTGCTGTTGTTGTCGTGTCTGGCGTTTTTGGCTCGGAAAAAACCTCCTCGTTGACTCTTCTTGACAGCGTCTTTTTTCCAGAATATAATCTTAGACTCACTACCCGGGACTAATTGCTGAGATTCATTCATGGTCACCGCCTACTTCTTGCTGCTGTTGGCTCGTTAGGAAGCATGCCATCGACTCTGAACAAAGGCAAGACAACCAGCCACTGATAGGAGGCAAGAAGACCACTCACTAGTTGATCCTTCTTCCTTCCAAATGCGTTCAGAGTCCGTGTACGTTGATGGTGCAAATGTAGATAGTACACATGAAAGAAGAGAATTTTCAGCGAAACTGGTGTGGCCTTGGTGCAATAGGATCGTCCTTTTCTTTGTCTTGTATGGGTGTTTTGTGTAAATGTGGGTGCGAGCGTACAGAAGAACGAGCCGTCGTGCGTGTATTCCATTTTAGTACTGTCCTTCCATGCCGACCGTTGTGCCTTTTGCATTCGTTGCATCTTGAAGAAGTTATAGCAATAGTACTTGTCAAGGAAGGCGATACTTCCAAATGTCATCGTATTCAAGAGCAGCGAACATTACATACCTCTCTTTTGCAAGTAGAAGCAGTTGTAGCGTTCGTCCCTTGCGACTTGCGCTTGTCGTGCAACCAATCTTTGACAGCAGAAGAAAGGTCAGTTCGCAAGGTCCTTGAAATCTTGCTTCCATTGCTGATCCGGAGGCCAAGGTTTTTGTTCAATGTGATGGAGCATTTGCAAGCAAGTCGCAACAAAAGCAACAAAAAGCAACAGCACAGGTCTCAATCGATCGTTCAATCTTCCTGAATGAAAAAGGTTGCGAGTCAAGCAAGACTTTGTATACAGCATTCTTGTATTCTTTCCTCTTCCGAGAAGAAGAATTCAAAGATTGTGACTGTTCCTTCAGTCTAGTCCCTTCAGTCTAGTTGCATCGGCTTGGGCAGTGGCGAATTTTGACTTTAGGCCTAGTAAACGAAGGATGAAATGAAATTTGTCGTGATGGTCCATCATCCTTGGCACAACAAGTGGCGACGATATATCTTTTGTACACGTTGCTGACATTCCACCTTTGTAGTGTTGGTTGGAAGTCTCAAGTCCAAAAATGTGACCCTTTCATGGCATGGCACGAAACAGAACGACGTCAGCAATCTTCGTTTTCTCAGGCGAGATGGAGTGATGAAAGCAATGGTAAAGTAGCATGTCTCCTTCTCTCAAAAAGTGTCATAAAGGATCTTGTGCGAGCATTCGTTGCTATAGCCTACCCGCTTCAGCCATGGCGTTCGTCAGACAGATCGCCCAAGGCGCAACTATGCGACTCACTCCATTTCGAAACCGAACGATAAGGCCGTTCTTCGCTTGTAATGCAACGAACGACACACATGAAGTCATTTTGGTGATTCAGATGGAGATTGATTTCAAGAGCCGTGACGACAAGTGTAGATGGACAATGGCAAAGTAGATCAGCCAATCTGCATTCTCTTGGTCTTGTTTCCAATATGGCATAGAAAGTGATCAGCATCATATTGCAGCTGAAATTTTCAGCAGCTTTGGATTTTTTAAGTGTTCGTTTTCGCGCGAAATGGCACGAATGGGGGGAAAGCAGGTCTTTTGACTTGCTTCAGGGTACCGGTACCAACTACAGTAGAAAGCTCCCCCAATCTTCGTGACTGAGAGGTCCCAATGTGATGTTGTTGCTTTTTTATGCGAAGTCCATCATAGCTACCGGTACCAGGTATAATACCTGTATGGTAGAAAAAGAACTTGGATCTTATTTTACTGGATAGGAATAAGGCGGCTACGACGAATGTGTGAAATATACCCCCCATCTTTGTGGCTGAGAGGTCCCCACCAACAATGCCTTGCTTGACCGGTAATTTAGAATTTAGTATTGGCTGCATGGGAGTAGTGCCGTCGTGTTGCTAGAAGAAAAGGAATCCGAATATTATTTGACTAGTAACCATGCGCTACAGTTACAGCAACGAGGGAGAACTCAGTTCTGATGCGACTTCAATTATCATGGGCGATGGCTATCTCGCAAAGACCTTAGTAATTGTTCATAGAACCCTGCACTAGCCGAAAAAATGCATTCACGTGCAAGAATATTATCTGTTTCAACCCTGCCCATCGTAGTAGAAGAAGGACGTCAAAAGGCTGTCGAAGCTGATGTGGATCCTCGAATCATGATGGTCGCATCACCATCATTGAACTTTGGCATCAGTCGACAAGGAGTTGAACACATCAGATAGCAACAACGCTCCATGTACAGCACATGCAGCCGCTTTCAACATCTGAAATCCTTCCTGGATTCATGCAGCAGCTTGATTAAATACTGACGCTATGCACCGCAACCAAGCTGCATAAATCATGACGACGATCCCAAGATGGTTGATTCATTGATTCATTTTACAATGCAAGCAAACCTACCATTCAGAGACTCTTGCTTATCGTCACGGACATTTTATTAGCTTCCTACAAGCTACAGGGCAGTACATGCGGGTCGATTGATGTGTACTTGTAGACCCAAACTCGATTCCTCCTTCTTAAACCCCATACCTGATTACAAAGCAATCACTCGTCATCTATTTAGTCAGTCATAGTAGTAGGTGCGTAATGAATGCGCACTGTGGGACAGTAGTAGGAACCATCAACCGAATGACCAGATTGTGAAAGTAGATGATAGTGATATTGATTTGAGGGCAATACGGTACCTTCATAGTTCCATTTCTGACAAACCTCCATCCATGGCACATCTTCATTGGCGAAAGATGTGAAAAAAGAACAAGCCTTCGCTTCGCGTTACAGCAACCAAAGACCAGCAATCAACTTCCTTTTTCTTCTTGGCGCTGCTCTTGACGTGAAGTTCTCTGCTCCGCCTTAGCATCTAGAGAGCAAAAGAGGATTCGCTTCACAGTTGAAATCTTTTCGGGACCTCCCACCTCCCATCATCGACACATCGATTGAAAGGTCATCAAAAACAATCTTTGTAGTTTTCTTTCATCGACAAGCTTGCTGCATATTTTTAGTCTGCTTGCGTTGAATGTTGAGTGAACGAAACTGCACTTTCAACATTGACTATCGTTCCATTTTGCTGTCGTCACAAAGATTCTTTTTTGTCGTCACTTTATTTGTCGGCAGATGGAGGAGGGAACGTGGTTTTGGATCCAGCATGTGTCAAGCTCTCGTCCAATGACGTTTGCCGAAAAAATCAAAACAACACGTACGTATGCGTACTTGAGCAGATACGTAGTACTTTGGCTTACGGCAGTCCAAAATTGTTTCATTTTTGCAACCAGTTGACAACACCCACAATTCGCATCGACGTGATTTTGCCAAAGAAAATTACAATGAACTTCGTAAGTTACATCTTGTCGAAACCATCTCAACAATGGTGAACGACACTAGTCTATTGTCCTGTTGCAGAGTGGTGTGAATTCGTACTGAGCATAAATTACTTTCAACACTTTACTGACATTTGACCGTCTTCTGATTTACAGTCTCAAGTTGCCCTTATCGCTGCCCTTGTCGGGTCTGCTTCCGCCTTCACCCCCGTCTCCCAACAAGGAGTTTCGACCGCCCTTTTCAACGGACCAACCATTGGAGCCGGAGGTATGGCCGATACCCGTGACCCCGATGCCTTGGAACACGAAGATGCCCGCAAGTCCATCTCCGCCGCTCCTTCGTTCGAGGAATACTTGAAGATGCGTGACGGTGGAGGTGCCGCACCTGCTGCTGCCGCTCCTGCCCCAGCTGCCCCTGCTGCTGCTGCCCCTGCCCCAGTTGCCGCCCCTGCTGCCCCTAATGCCTCAGGTCTTTCTTACGGAAAGTACGACGGTGAAATGTGGGACATGGATGCCAAGACCGAGATCTACAACGCCTGGGACCCCAATTCCCCTCGTTCTCCCATGAACTTCAACCCCTTCGAGACTTGGGACGGTAACTCACCCGATGCCAGTGGTTTCTACCCTGGTGAAGGCCGATACAAGGACCCCGCTCGCCCAAATGTCAACTTTGAAATCATGATGGCCGAACGTGAATTGTCTGATGCCCGTAATGCCAACCCCAAGCCAGGTGATGTCCCAGGATGCCCAGGATGCAGAAACTAAATTGCCTTTATCGTCGAGGCAAGAAAAGGGAGGATATGCTATCCCCGTGTAGAATTTTCACACTTTGATGAAAGTAACTAATAATCACTCATTTTCACGTCCCACTTTTCATACCTCCCAACATTCTCAAAATTGTCAAATTTTTTTTCTATTCCGTCCCAGTTCAACTTCTCCTATTGCACTATTGCTTCAACTGTCATGATGTTACTTGAACCTTCCTTTCTTCGACAAGAAGCAACCGCGATCATTGCGCCTTGTTTCAAGGAAAGAATACTTTCAATTTGGTAATAATCACATGCGTCACTGTTTCGAGAATTCATATCCTAATTAAAAAGTTTGAATGACGTTTTTCAATCGAGACATTTGATTGGTCGAAAGTCCCATATGAAGAACCGAGCAGCTGCCTTCAATATTGAACATTGCCACGAGCGGTCAAAAAATATAGTAGCAGTCAGTCGAATGGATCTCTGATGCCGGTTTTTGACCGTTACGCCCGGGCGGATAAGAGGATTGATTCATTCATAAAAAGATGCGCACTAGTACCTGCATTAGAGGAACGAAATCAAAAGGATGTCACGCATAATTTAGATGTTTTTTTAATGTACAAAGCTTGAAACAAACTATTACTTCCCAAACTAAACCAAGAGTGTGATTACAGCTCTAGTGGTTCCCCGAATCCCCCTACATGTACCGTGTGTACCTTCTCTTGGAGCTTTTCGACGTTGAAATGCTGGAAAAAGAAGAAGAAGAGGAGTCTAAGGTCGGCGCCCTGTAGCTCGAACGTTTGGATCCTTTTCGTGAGGAAGAGTCAGAATCCCGAGAGTATATTGTGGTGCTGGTAAAGACTGATGGTGCCTTGGTGCCATCAATAGAGAAAGATGATGTAGTTGTTTCCTTCCGTCTCCTCCTCCTTCGCCTTCGTCGAATTTCAGCTCGACTCAGTCGAGAGTTAATGGTAGTGCTTGTGAAAAATGATGGAGCCTTGTTCTTTGTAGAAGACGTTGAGGTTGATGTGATTCTGTAGATGTCATCATTGTCGTAATACCGGTATGAGGACGACGAGGATGGACCATAATGCCTTGATGAAGCATATGAAGCGTATGAAGACTTGATGGAGGACGATGTGCCGTAGTATTTTGATGAAGAGTATGAGGAATTGATGGTTGATGATACCACACTCGCAACAGATGCACTTCTTGATGAGCTGCCGTCCCGTGAAGAAGAACTTTTAAGCTTGGGCGGCGGAACGACGACTCTTGGCCGTGCTTGAATCTCTTGGGTGACAATTGTTTTCGTCGTTGGTGCAAAAATGTTTGATGAGGACTTTGGAGAAGAAGCAGACGATGATGATTTGAGTCTTCTTCCCATGCGTGGAGGTTCCTTGTCGGCGGCCACCAGTGTTCCTGTTGGACTTGATGCCAAACATGCAAACACTATAAGCGTCTTGATGAGACAACCTGCCATTATTCCAATCGTGATGTAGTTTGCTAATGTAAATGGAATACAGGTGAGATCGACTAAAGATTGATGTGGTTGTTCTAGCCGTTGCAAAGGTCAAATTCCATCATCCATAATTAGAAACCTACCGATCTTGTGAAGGTGCAATTATTGTGGATCTGCCTTCGCGGATACGACCGGCAGCCAATTCATTTAGGAGATCAGACAAGAGCAAGACATTGATTTTGTGGTCTCAACGGTTAGAAACTGATATTGGGGGAAGCTTCAGTGATAGAGGGAGGGTGTCGGTGTCAAAAAAGGGGGGACAATTCACGTACGTCAGTAATTTCGAAAAAGGTTTGTTTCAGTGACCTGGGACCGAGGCTGACGCCAATCATATCCCTGTCGTCGAATTTCGTTCTCACAATAGTCAATTCTTCAAGTTTATTTTCAACCATGACCAACGTAAGTGCAGTGTTTGCTGTCCCCTATCCTCGGAGAATTTCGTTGTTTGCCATCTCTTCGCTTGCCACTATCTCAATCTGAATCTGAATCTAAATCTAAATCTAACGCTGTCGTTCTCTTTGCTTTCCAATGCAGTCCAAGATCGTCCTTGCCGCTGCCCTCGTCGCTGGAGCTTCCGCCTTCGCTCCTGTCCAACAACATGGAGTTTCCACCGCCTTGTTCAACGGACCCGTCATCGGAGCCGGAGGTATGGCCGATACCCGTGATCCCGATGCCTTGCAACACGATGATCCACGCAAGTCGATCTCTGCCGCTCCTTCGTTCGAGGAATACTTGAAGATGCGTGACGGTGGAGGTGCCGCCCCTGCTGCTGCCGCTCCTGCCCCAGCTGCTGCCCCAGCCGCCGTTGCTGCTCCAGCTGCTGCCGCCCCTGCCGCTGTTGGAGGCGGAGGAACCGTTTTCGACACCCTTGCCGGTCTTGAGGGACCTGGACAAGTCTGGGGAGCCGAAGGTATTGCCGTCGGAAAGGAAGAATCCGAACTTAAGGGATACGACAACTTCGGAAAGTTCGTCGAACGTCTTCAATCCACTGGTGTTGCGAACGAGCTTGCCGGAGCCGGTCCATTCACCATCTTCGCACCAGTCGACTCCGCCGTCGAATCTTACGAGAAGATGTTCGGACCCTTCGACGCCACCGTGTGCAAGATGCACATTGTTGTTGGAAAGGTCCCCACTTCCCAAGTTAGCTCTGCTCCTCTTACCACCCTTGCTGGAGAGACCTTGACTTACAAGCGTGCCGTCCGTAAGGATTTCGTCAACGATGTTGTCATCGGAGAAAAGACCTTCGGACAATTCAACGACTTCCCCGTCGATGTTGAGTGCAGCAACGGACTTATCCACGGAATCTCTCTCTCCTTGGCTTCTTAAATTATTGAATGCATTCAATGATTATCGCTTGGCCTCTTTTGATTATCGTGTATTTAAAAGACTACTAAGTTGACTTCGAATTTTGCCACGCCCGTATTATTTGTCATTCTCGCAGATTTCTAGCCTTTCTCGTAGATGATGGCAAGTTCCGTTGCTACATGAAGGTACTGCAGAAAACGATGCCCTTCACTTCGGCATTTTCATTCCATAGCACGTCCCCCACCCGCAAACAACAACTGACATATCGAAGTAATACAGATTTGCACAGATCGTAATAATTGATCGAGGTTGACGCTTCGGAAAGAACCCGGGATGTGGTTATGAAAAATAAACTGTTTTAGACTAAGAATAATGCTAAGGTATGTTGTACCAGAGGCGGTGCTCAGCGTTCACGATGATGATTTCATCTTGAGCAGAAGTTTTAAGAAGAAAGGATACCATTGAACACATCAACGTCAGTCAGGCGTCCGCAAAGATAATTATAGTACTGTAACCAATCATATATAGAACTAAATCAGTACATTATTATCGACTGATAACTTGGTAAAAAAGGGAAGAGAATGAAGCGTACCGGTTGTAGTAGCAGTACAAAATACAGTACGACACGATAGCTTCTTTTCTATATATCTCCTCGCAACCAGACTCCTTTCTTTCTTGTATTGTATGAAAGTGCCACTGCTCTAGAGTTTGAAACCAACGGCTGCTGACTGCTGACTACATGTCCTTGGTGCCTCCTCGTCTTCTTGAGGTCGAGACTAGACATACCTCAATACTAGACATATATAAGTGACTCAGGCCACCGGCAAGACAATTCGTCCATGACATTGGTTGGTTTTTGTGGGAATGCCTTATTTGCATGCCTTCAACAGAAAAGGTTGGCACGAATAAGTGGTCAGGTCTTGGTTCGACTTCCAAGTGACTAGGATAGGCTCGAGAATGCCAGCTGGAACAACGGGTCAAAACACGTGACAAACCACTAATTGGCCCAGGATTCGATTTCCGTTCGTCGCGAGCAAACCCTCCTCACGACACAACTTTACATGCAGCCAAAAATACTGGTCACAATTTTGGTCATGACTTCCTAAGTATTTTTCTCGTAACGGGTCTCAATTTGCGCACTATTGGCTTTTTTCGAAATTCACGTCGAGCACGACCACGACAAGACCGTTTACTCGGAGGTTCAATTTCTCGTTTAGACGGCGTAGAGACAGTACTATGATATCATTCGTGGATACTTTGTCGGATTTTGTGGGTCCTACATAGGAGGGAAAAAATGGTGAAAATTTTGGATTTGCACCTCAGATTCATAGTAAACGAAATTCAGTCAAGTGACTTGGAAGGTGACACACAATCGGCACTGTTAGAATTCACCAAAGCATCTAGAGATACGTACCATCTACTTGCTCCGTCATCAACCTTCACAAAGACAATATATCAATAGAAAATTAGAAAATGACTTCTCGAGGTTACAACAAGACGATCAGCGAGGAATCTAACAAGGGAAGCTCAAGACAGAACTTTGGGCCCAATAGTGACGATAACAGACGCACCAATAGATTCTCATCAGTAAAGAATTCCTTGCAAACTTGCATGGGCTTTGTGGATGGGCTCTGTTGTGCGAACCTGAATCAGGTTGCAGCTGAAGACAGAGAGGAACGAAGCAGAGCCAACTTGAGGAACTACATGACCTCGTACGATCTCAGCTACTTGAATAGCAATATTGGGGATCCTGCTAACAAGACTGGGGATGCTACCAGCAGCCATAGCAGCCATAGCAGCAGTCAAGAAGAGGAGGGGACGATGCCTCCGTCAGCAACCGAGTCGAAGACCCCACCAGTCGAAAAATGCACGACTGGCTGTGTGCAAAATTTATCAAGCATGCAACACGCTATACCAAACAGAGAATTTGGACATTCTGGACATTCTGGACATTCTCAATTGCCTGTTATGAAAGATACTGGTATCCAGGAACGTACTACCATGGATGAAGGTTACAACCATGACGATAGCAGCAGTTGCTGCCATTCATTTCAACAATTCCATGGATTTGAGGACTATGGTGGTTGTCAAGGAGGGCAAGACTCACAATTCGCTCAACCTCATACGTTGCAGTCTGCTGATACTTACACGACTGTTTCTTTGAGCCAGTCTTACAGCACCATGATGTGGGATGACGAAGAGGATGAGGAGGAAGAGGAAGATTCCAATTCCGACTACTTCCAATCTCCCCTGGACTCGGTCTTTCGTAAGGACGAAGAGATGGAAGAAGCATCCGTTGTGGAACACAGAGATCCTCCATCTTGTTCACAACCGCCATCCTTTCCAACGTCTGCTGCTTTCGCTACCAAGACACACGAAGCCTACCAGTACCTTCTCCGCATGACACCTCAGAACTACCTTCATGGTTCTGGATCATCCTCCGAAGATTTGGAAGCTGAGAATTACTGTCACAGCAACCACACCACTTGTGTCTTGGAAAGCAGTTCCTCCACTGTTGATATCAATCAATGTGGGCCTCTCTTTCTGCACTGAGCAGAACCAGTACGAACAAGATTCATTCTTCGACGCGCCTCAGCAGCAAATGGTAATGATGTTTACCATTGCTCGAAACGCTGTCCTTTCTTCCATATTCAAGGTTCCTCCCTCAAGACCTTGAAAACAAAACCTTGTGAAAACTGGAAAGACATGAACGCACACCCAAAAAATCGAGGCAACGCTCACTGGATGAGGATCCCTCTAGTGCCTCCTCTTTCCGTTTTCTCTTCTTTGTGAGTAGCAAACAAAATTTTATGTGTACATAGGAAAGCAGTATTCTTTAAATTAAAAAAAAGATTAAAAAAAAGATCAAATCAAAGAAATGCAATCAGTAGAGTAGACAGTAGAGTGTTTTGCAATGTTTGCCTTTTCGGGTACGATACGTAGTTATATTATCTTTGTCCTTGGATGAAATGCGGAATGCAAACAGCCACACGGAAGAAATATGAATGTCCAGCCAGACAGGCAATCTATAGCTAGACATTGTAGCAATCCAACAACTACTATAACTACTATAACTACTATACTGTAGAACATCAACACAAGTATTATAAGCATGCCAAGCAAGTATTATTAGGTACATTACGTAGTTAGGCTCATGATTGCGTTGACCAAGTCTCCATTATTCTCACGCAACGCAGTGACGGCCTTGCTTCGCGAGCAACCAGCTTGACTAATGACCAAGTCAATGTCCTTGGCTTGTAGACCAGTCTCGTCTACGTCCGCATCGTCTTCCTTGGCAGCAGCAGCAGCCGCAGCAGCAGCCGCCGCCGTGGTGGGTGTGGGAACGGGAGTGTCCAACATTTTGGCGGCACGAGCGGCCTGTGCTTGTTGATCCATGGCACCCGTACCCTGTTGAGCTTCTCCAAAGACGATATAAGTTCCATTCTTTTCGTAAACATCTGGTTGGAAGATGGAATAGAATCCTTGGTTTCCATTCATCTTGAGTGTCACTCGGGCAATCCCCGGGACCGATTTCATGCCCAACTTTTCGACTGTCTTTTTGGCCTTCTTTTCGGCACGATTGGGGACCCGTTTGGGAGGAGGAACATATGGCTGAGATGCGGCTGCTGCTGCTGCTGCGGCATTCGTATTGTTAGGAACCATGGCATCCTGTACCAAATCGGGAATGTCGTCCATAATATCAACAAAGTCTGAACCAGTCGAATCATCGAGCTCAGGAACAATGGTATCATCCAGTTCTGTAACGGTTATGGGAGTTGGGGTGGTTGTTTCCTTGACAGGTGCAGGTTTAGGTTTAGGTGCAGGCGTTGGAGCGGTGGTCTCTTTACTACTGCTAGTACTGTTGCTGGCGGACCCGTTCTTGGCTGCTTTCTGCTGTTGTTTTGGCATCGCTGCTGGAGCTCCCGCCACGCCCTTGAAACTCTTTAGATTCTTGGCAGCTTCCTCCTTCTTTTGCATATCTTGCTTCTTTTGTGCAATTTGCTTTTGCTTGAACGCCAAGTCTTGATCTACAGCTTTGGTACCAGCCTTCAAATTCTCTACCGCATCTTTCTTGTACATGGATGCCCGATTGGTCTTGTTGGTTTTTTGAATCGTCGCATCTTCTTGTTCGGGAGTGGAAAGACCATCTGCATCCTTCAGTTTGGAGGCCAAGTTTTTGGTCAAGCTGCGCTGTTTCAAGGCTGCCAATTCTTCTGCTACACTGGGCATCTTTTATTGTTTTTCTGTATGTTTCTTTGTTTGTTTCTTTGTTTGTTTGTTTGTTTATGAGGAAGAGGTTTGGTTTCGCGTTTTACAAACCAGAAAATAACAAGGTTGACGTTGTGTGCACCGGCAATGAGATTTAGTTTTTTGTCTTGGTTTTTATCGTCTTTTGGCAGTTGAGAAAGGTTGGATTGGGAATTGGGAGTATACCGTACAGAAGTTCACGTCATATATTTCGCGTTCACCGGCCGCGCGAAACCACTAGAAAGTTTGCACCCACATTATTTTGGGGGAGAGGTCAGAGAGGGGCATCTCACTCTCCCCCCTGTTCGTCCAAAGTCAAAGATAGTACTGCAATAATATTAATAAGTCTCACACTATAGTACCTATGTTAGGGTGCAGTACGGTATGGCGTATCTATTGACTGCCCGTCTATTGGCAATACAATTGCAGAATCATAAACAGTTCGGTTTTTTTTTATTTAAAAAAAGAAGCATGTATTCATTCTGTGTTTCGTTTTGTTGTCTGTTGTTTTTGTTGTTATTTTTATCATTGGTCTGTTGTCTGTTGTTGTTGGCTGAGAGCAAAGAATCATAACTGAGTCTGCTGCTCATGTCGTTGCAATGCTTTCTGCTTCCACGATGAAGCAGCCGATAAGCAACAACGCCAGATATGCAATACCATATTGATTGGGATATATATGTATATATTAATAATATACATATATTGGACACTTCAAAATGTCTCGAGAACGTGGAATCAATCCTTCCTGACTTACAATTGGGGACACTTTCCCCGAAGCTTCACTCAATTCACTCACTCACTCACTATATGCGAACGACGATCGAGTTGGCAACCAAAAGCAAACGGTATTCTGTTCGTACATGCATACATCATTCGTATTAGGGGCAAGTCCATGTTTCATTCATTGCCCATAACAAAAACATACACAGACTTGTAGACGTGTTGGCTTTTCCTGTGAGTGGAATGGATCCAAATCCATCCAAATCCATTCCGTGCGGGACGTATATCGTATATCGTATAGTTTGTTTTTCATCATTCCGTAAGTAATAGTTCAGCCTTTTCAATGGACTGTTGGGTATGCACGGTATATCGTAGAATGTATCCCTCCAATATTATGGATAAAACCGACAAGAAGCAGGTGATTGCCAACATTGCCAAAGACGAGTCTGATGATGATAATGATAATGCTGCTGATGATGATGATGATGATTCCATGGTCATGATGATGGCATGGGCATCCACCTGCCCTCGAATGGCAGCCCAGGCCAAGATGAATTGTGGCATCATCCAGGTGGTGACGATTGTCATCACCAAACCCAACGAGTCTAGGCACAGCAATAGTTGTGATCGATCCACAAGAGACGGGAGGGGAACCTTGGCAATAAGGCCCAATTCCAATCGAACGGCGGCACTGGAAAAGGTAATCATTCGGAGCACTCCCGATAGTATGGAAGCATACTGTTTGGAACTGAAAAATTGTGCATACGTTAATGAATGAAAGATAGAGTAGGAAAAGGTAAGAAGTGAGAAAGAGAGAAAGAATATGTATATTCCATATATAGAAGATATGCCATTCAGTAGTGACAACGACGCATGAAGTTCCACAACAAGAAAGGAAAAATACGATTAAAAAAAAAGGTTAGCGACTTACCCTAAAAGGAAATAGGACGCTGCCGCCAGTGCCGATTTGGCAGACGGTGGACCAAGAAATAGGGTAACAAGAGCAACCACTAGCGAATACAGCTGAAAGGATGAAGACGTGTGAGGCTCTTCTTTTCCTGCCGTGACCAGGAACGAAAACGCAGAACGATGCTGCGATGGCTTATTATTTTGCTTGTCATCCTTTGGGAGATTGTTTAGGGTGTCATCAGCATTCGCATTCACATTCGCATTCACATTCATATCAGATAAGACTACGTGGCTTAGTCGAAGGTTATCCATCTGTCTTATTTAAACTGTCAAGATCATGACCAAGATTTGGAGACGATACTTTGTAGTATTACTGTCGAAAGTGTGTTTCTTCATCGCAGTAATGTAAGAGCGAAACATGCGCGTGCGTGCGTGCGTTATTCCAAGGATTGACTGACTCCTTCGACTTCTTTCAAAACTCCCAAAAAACTTCCACATCATCGCATATTTTTCAGCAAATGTCATCGCATACTGACTGTAGTCATCAGTTTTATTTTATTAGGTTGGAGCAAATAGTGGTTGTAAAACTGCTGCGCTATCTACACCAGTCTACTTTACTTTAATTGCCTTTTTCAAAATGAAAAGGAAGCGTCCTCGGTCAGAATGGCAAAATGTCAGAAGGAAATCATCCATGATCAATCATCTACTATTAGTCTCCTGCTGTCATAGAAGAATCAGAACCATAGGAGCAATCACGCTAATTCTCATCACGACAAATATTGGTCCGATTCCGTCAATCTTATTTTTTGTGGAAGCTTCGAGCAATGGTTTTCCTGGAACTCTTGAAGGATCTCCGACATCAGCATTGTCCGACAACTGGTGGTTGTCCTCGCCGACTGCTGCTGCTTCCTTTGAATCCTCGTCGTCGTCCGAATGGGAGTGGGAGGCTGATGATAGCATCGATGCTATCTTGAGCAGCAGTGATACGGGTGAGTCTATGAATAATAATGAAAATGAGATGGTTGTTCAAGAAGTTTTGAATAATGACAATAACAATCAAAACAACAACAACAACAAGACGCAATCATCCATAAACAGCAGCAGCAGCAACAATAACATCCAGGAAGACGATCAGACAGAACCAATACCGTCAGAGTCATCCACCAATGCTCAAGATGCAGAAAGCAAGAACAAGCCCCTTCAAACTTTGGAAAAACTTCAGCAAATGCTAGATGAAACGGACTACATGACCACTGGACGCAATTCGAATACCAACAACAACAACAACAACAACAACAACGCAGCAACATTGGGTGGCGGCGAACGACAAGAACTCTGGACGAGTAAGGATCGATCCAAATACAAAAAGCAGCAAAAGAAAAATAGTGCACAACAGCAAAATAAGCAGCAGCAACAACAACGGATATTGGAAATGGTACAAGAAGAAATTGAAGAACAACAACAGAATAGAGTTCCTCCGCCATCATCCGCAAATCCGACACAAGCATGGAACCAACAACAGCAGCAGCACCACCAACAACAACAACACGATTGGTATCAACCGCCACCTCACCAATATTATCAACCGCATTTCAATCCAGGGAATCCAAATAGTGGTGACATGATTCAACAAGCAATTTCGTTGGAAGCAGACACGACAGAGCATTCGGATACGGATGGTGATGGATTGGGCTATACCTTACCAAATCTACCCATTTATTTAAGTGACAATGAAGATGAGGACACTGATGACAGTGATGCTTCTACTACCATAACCTTGACAACTGCTACCGATGATTCGACGACCACCGGCGCACAGAATCCAGGAATTATTGGCAATGATACTATTGGTGGCAATTCTTACTCCGCCGTTCCACCAAACACAAACATCGTCACCAACTATGTGCCACCGCAGCAGCAGCAGCAGCAGCAGCAGCAGCAGATGTCCACAATAAGTAGTCCTTACCATGCTTCATCATTGCAACAACGGCAACAGCAGATACAACAACAGTTTCAAAATCAGCAACAGCAACAACAGCAGCAGCAATGGTATGGATATCCCTACGCGCCACCGCCACCACCGCCAACAGGCTACGTTGTTCCTGGCCAGCAGCAGCCATATTATCCCTGGGGACCTCCACCTCCACCGCAAGCATTTTACTATCCACGACCCTTTGTTCCTCGAGTGGACAGCACCATGCGACGTGGACCAGTGCAACAACAGCAACAACAACAGCAACAACGACAGCAGCAACAGCAACAGCAACAGCAAATGCCACAGGACATTCAACAACAACAACAACAACAACGCCGACAGCAACAACAGCAGCAGCAGCAGCAGCAGCAGCAAGCGCACTTGTACTACCAACACGCTCATGATCAGGGGCAGAACTCAATAATCGACACATCGACACAGAGGAGTGACGAATCACAATCTCAAGCCATGCAATTTACAGTCATGGATCCAAGAAGTTCGCCTAGCTCGAAACGACGTGGTTCTGGTGTATGGAATCTGATGCAAATAGCATCTTGTATTTCTTGGGCCATGTTCATGGCCTACAGTGCCGTTTCACCGGGACACAATTTGAGCATGTACGAGTTCAATCAACGGTACTACGAGGTTCTTCGGCTGGTGGCATGGACAGGTCTACCACCACTGGCAACCTTTTGGTTTGGAATGGTGGATGTCCTCGATGAACGATCAATTGATGGTATTTCCAAAAAACGAAGCAGCCAAATTACACTTGACAATTATGATGAAAATGAAAATGATGAAAATGATACTGAAACAGACAGGCCGATTCGACGACGAAACCCGCACAAGACTACCATGTCCAAGCTAGTGTCCGCCTTTTTCAACTCTTTCACATGGGGATACTGTCTCCTGTTTGCTTTGCAGGTTGTGGCAACGACGTTTGCTCGATTGGCAATCTTCTTTCGGTGGGAACGATCAGTCTTTGATCTTTCGCCCAAGATCCCAGTGCTGGTCATTCCATGGGTCCTGCGTGAAAATGGATACAAGCCCAAACGCATCACATTGATTGTCCAAGATTTTGTTTCATCATGCTTATTGGGCCCAATCATTGAGGAATACTTGAAAGTCCTTTTACTGCGAATGACAAAGTTGCCCAAGAATTTTCAGTGGAAAAAGGCAACCAAAAGTCAAAAGAAGAAACACGGCACGAAGCACATTGCGGAGTTGATTGAAAATCCAAAAGGCGAAGTGACGAATGTCAATGCCTACATCTCCAACATGCTTGCAGTGACACTTGGAATCAAGCTCGCGGATTCGATTCGGAGAGTTTGCATGTACACCAAGCCCCAGAATGCCGCCAAGACCTTTTACGCCATCTTTCGAGGAGTATTTCCAGTTCGGGAGCTTTGTGGGACTATTACCGCATTGGGATTGGCGAGAAGGGATGTCTTGGGCCAGCATGTACCGCTATGGAAGATTCTTTTACCTGCAACCGTGATTCATGGAATGGCCAACTTTCGAGGAATGAAGGTGCGTATGATATGTGTTCGGATCGGATTGGTTCGTTTGTTGCGATTTAGCTAACGCTTTGTTGTTTGTGTACACACAGCCCGTCTTCAAATGGAATTCCGCAACCCCATGGGTGGAAATGCAATTGTCTCCTCCTACAGTAGACTTGTCTAGTATGAAACGGCTCGAATTGTTCAATTTGGTTTTCCCGAAAGTGCTTTGGCTTATCATTCTGATCAGGGTAACGGGATACTGTGTCAAAAACTATTTCATGGTGAATCGCCAAGCGGTCAAGCGGACAACTACCTACGCTGGGAAGCACTCGGCATTCTCAGCAGAATTGGCGGCAACAGAAATGTTGAAGGCATCGAGCAAGAAGGGGGACTAAGTGGAATGTGTGTACCAATGTACCGGTAGATGGGTCGGAGGCAAGATTTCATCTTCTGAGTAGGAGCGCGGTTTAATCATCTCTTCTTCATGGCCGGAAGCGAATGCATGAGAGAAATGATCTCGTGGAATTCTCCGAACGGAAAATATTGCAATGACCATACGCAGAAAAATTGTAGTTTCCACACGGCACATATTTGGCTTCATGGCAAATGTGACCGCATCGAATAAAATAGAAACCCCGACATCTTTTCTCTAGATTTTGAGCCGAACCACGATGTCACCGGAAATAGTTCAAAACTGCATACGCACCACCGATGAAACCAGCAGTCATTGTAACATTAGCAATAAAAGCCACGATGAATTGTAAAGCCACGTCTTTACTTTCTCTTATTACATTTCAGTCTCTCTTCATAAGATGCTTTGCTCTTCCAACAAGTCCCTCATCTGACTTTCAGCTGAATATTACGACCTGGAATGAAACTACCGACGAACGACAAAATGAGAGAAAACTGGCTGACTGCATCGTCACACAAGCTGAAGCTACGGAGGAGTACAGAGGAGGCATTGCCGCACAAGGTGTCTTCTTCACTTTTCAATCTCTACAAGATGCTGATCTCTTATCTATTGAATTTGCTGTAGGCAAAGATGCTCCACAGACCATTCCAGTTCAGATCTACTTCCGACTAGGATCTTTTAGTGGTGTCAGCGGAAGGGCCGAGGAATGGCAAAAGGTTGCTGACACATCTGCACAACTTTCTCCACAAAAGTCAACTGGTATTGTTCCAGTCTTGAACTTTCAAACAAGCACACTTACGGCAAACACTGAATATGCTCTTTATGTCAGTATGCAGACCACAGATACTTTGTTTGCAAAACTGTCTACTGCCGGCATTGGGGCCTTTAGCAGCAGCGATGGTATAATGGAAAGAAGCGTTGGCGTTTTAGTCAACGAGGGTCCATTTCCAGAATCGCTAGCAAGCTCTGAAATTGCCGAGTTCATGGGAGTTCTGCATTACAAATCAAAGCAGACATGCTCCTCAGTCTTGAGAACGGCAAATGTTGCACTTCAGTTTGCGATTAACGATATTCCAGATACGGATAACTTGAATGAGCTCGCCGCATCCTTTGCGGAAGCTGTCAATGCCATTTTTGTAACGAACTCAACACTTTCAGACTCGAAACGTGAAAATATGATCAACGTTTTGACTACTGACGCCAATTTCATGGGAAGGTCAGGTAAGAATCAAACAAACAACATGTCAGTTTTATTGTGGATCTATCCAGGAATGTATCTCATCTTTTTTTGGTTTTCTTTTGCTATACTGCTTCAGATGTTTGCCCCTCAAGTTATGAAATCTGTGCACTCGTTACGGCTTCGGCAGAAATCGAATATTTGCCGAGAGTGACTTCCGGACAAATTCAACGACAATTGCTCGACCAAGCCAATGAACTGGCAAATTTGGTAAAGAGGTTGAGTAGCCACTCTGTCGAAATTGTTTACGTTGGGGGCTCGACTGCGGCGCTTTTGACGGCGCTTTCCTTTGAAGGGGTCCCAGGGCTGATGGATGATACCCAGCAACGCTATTTCCAACTGATTTATACAACTTTCTTGCAGGAATTCATCACCGACATGGAAATCCATGAAGTTGTTATTTTGAGCCAAACACAAACGTCGCGTAGAAGAGCACTTCGCGGGATGGATGATGGCACCAATGATCAAAGAGACTTGCAATCGGCAACCGTCTCTGCGACAATGATTGTCTATGGGATTGGCGGCACTGTGAACGAGTTGCGAGCTCTGGTGTTTGATGCTGTCCTTAGCAACCAAGATGCACTCATTCGCAGCTTGAAACTTGAAGGCCTACGTCCTGGATTCCTTGCGTTGGAACCTGACATCAATGTGGATCCGTCGTTTTTCACGGGTTTGCAAACGTTAAAGGTTGCCATCCCTGATACAGGGAGTACTGATACTGGTGGTGGTACTAGCAGTGAGGCAGATGTTGTGGAGGGATCAGATGATTCGCCTTCTTGGCAGATCATTCTTGGCGCACTTGGAGTTACGCTCTCATCACTTTTCCTCATTTACCGAATTTACAAGGATAGTTGTCACTCAGACAAACTGGATCAAGCCAAGCTATCAGACTCGACCAGTGCTCGACGAGCCACGCCTCCAATGAAGGATTACGACGACGGCGTTGTTGATCAGGCGGATTTTGAAGAGGTGGAAGTGGTTGCATCGTCTCGTGGAAGTAGAAAGCCGGACATTGAAGAATTTGTGGACGAACCACCATCTCCAGCCCCGGCAAAACCTGATATTGAAGAGGTGTATTCGTCCCATTCATCCGAGCCTCCTACTCGCGGTGTGGCTCGCAGCCGCAGCCTTGATCCTAGCATGAAATTGGCGAGAGTGAATCGATCGCCGCCCCAGCAAGCGGATGGCGGAAACGCAGCACGCGGACGTAGCGCCCGCAGCATCAGCCCCTCACGTGGAATGGGTGCAAGGGGAATGATGGACAAGTTTCGAAATAATTCTCAGGAAAGATTTCGACCAAAGTCTCAAGAAAGGTTGCGACCAAAGTCTCAAGAAAGGCTACGGCCAAAGTCTCAAGAAAGGCTCCGATCACGGTCAAACGAAGGTTTATCTAGAGGAGTCGATCGGACTCAAAGTATGGATCCAGCAGGTGCAGCCCAGCGGTACTTGCAGGAGAGGAATCAAATGATGAGCCAGAGTTCGCATGTTATTCAACAGAGGAGTCAAAGGAAGAACCAAATGATGAGCCAAAGCGAGCATGATCCTCGGATGCGCCCCAATAGCAATCGGGGAGGAAGAGGACCTGGCCCTAGACCTAGGCCAAGGAGTCATGATCGGTTCCAGAATCCCAACGGAAACCCTAAATTTCAAGGATCTGGTTCCTCGCTTGGAGAAAAGCCTCCAAAGGCGGATGACTATTCCGATTCTGAGGATTCTGAATCAGATACTGGCTCGTTCGGACAAGCCACTTCGTCAGCTCGATGGGCTGCCGAGTCTGCCCCGCCTCCACCCCCTACTTCGCCGCCACCAGCTCCACCTAATAGATCAACGTCGACCTTATCTTCCGGTGCAAATGCGCATGCACGTTTCAAGGACAATCAAATGGCTCTCTATTCGCCTGAAGAAGGAACAGGACTACAGTTGGTACAGATTGTGAAAGTACAGGCTTTCAAAGGAAAGACTAACATGCCTTGCTACAAGATTCGGCTACAGGGCAGTAATGTCGAAAAGACCATGGTCAAGGAGACACTTCTCATGGAGTTAGGGGAGGCTACAGATGCTAGCAACATAGCTTCCAAACCCACATCCACAACCTCCATCGGTTCTTCTGCCCACACACCAGGAAAGAAGAAGAAAAAGAAAAAGAAAAAGTCAATGGATGCTTCGGAACATTCAACGGGTGATATGTCCGCAATGAAGAAGAAGAAAAAGAAAAAGGCTTCTTCTTCAGCATCCCCAGCACGCAAGATGAAGAAGACAAGAAGCTTTGAAAAAAGCATCAAACCTAATCCTGCTGTGCGACGATCGAGTAGTTTCGATAGCAAATTGCTTGCTCCGGCTCGAAAGGGCTCGGTGGCGTCGTCATCCTCACATAATGGAGGCAAGGGAAACCATTCTTGGGAGGCGCAAACGCAGCAACCACTCTTCAAGCTTCCCCGTCGCACCAAGACTCCACCACCAGCCGCGAAGGGTCATGCGGGCAATAAGAGTCCACCGAGAAAGGTATCAAATACACCGATGCCCCCGCGCCGATTGCCATCGGTTCAATCAAAAACGTCTTCCAACGCTGCTGCTGAGGACGAAGAATCCGTCGAATCCGAGCTCGGCTCGGTCCACAAAGATGCATCGAATTCGCAACAATCGAATCTCAAGCCGGAAGAAATTAATGTAGTCGAAGAAGGTGAAACGAATTCTTCTTCGTCGGAAGATGATGATTTGTGGGACGATTCCAATGATCCAAATGGAACAGGTGCAGTAGTGGGAAAGAATGGAGTAAAGATTGGGTCGTCCAAAGAGCAAATGAAACAGAAAGCATCTGCCGAAAAGGCTCGGAACCAAGGGCCAGAGTCATCCTCGGAAGAATCGGACTTGGAACAATAAGCTGCTGCTGCAGCTTTGTCACTTACTGGTTCGGGGCACAATGTTCCTACTCGCCGAGACATTCTAAAATAGCAAAATAACATTGAATAATACAGACTAATACATGAAATATCTAGCATTAGGACCATATTTTAGAGTCACTGGTGATCCCCATAAATAAAGAATTGCCCATTTGGAGTTTGCAAGGTTTGTGTCGATTCAAAGTAAGGACATGCAGTTGTGCTAAAGTCCATTCTGCTGGGTTGGTGTTGTCGGTGTTGTCGTAATCTATCTTGTATGGCTCGGCTCGCTTCGACTTTGGCAAGCCATGATTTGGTCGGGCGGGTAGAGTCCGTTTCGATGGGAACCGTCTTGTGCCATTTCTGGTGGGTTGCGTGTTCATGAGTGCGATTGTGACGATAGATAAAAGGACGAAAACAAAATGAATCGTGAGCAATAACAAGATGAGCGGCAGTCTCAGTAATATATTAATTCCTAGATTCGTATCCATTTGCTGGCTGTACAACACTTACCTTTTGTCGCTTGTTATGTCCACCAGCCATGTCGTCTCCAGCGGTTCGCTTCCTCATACTCGAACTGCCATCATCTACCACTGCGTCTCGTTGTCCTGGTAGTTGTCCTTGTTTGGCCAACCAAGCTTTGGTGGGTCGATTGGCCAACGAAATGTTCAACGGAACTGTGGGCTTGCGTGTACTCCTTCGTCTCGAAGCATTACGATACGATAAAGGTCCAGGGGTGGGAGCAACGGTATTCGATGAGAAGGCAAACATAGGCATTCTGTTACTTCTGTCCGCAGCAACAAATGGTGATACAGTGTTGGTGGCAACCAGTGATGCCAGTGGCGAATGCCCCAGATCACTGGAGTGAACTTTCATTGGAGAAGCCACTGGTGTCATGAAGAAGGAGGACGGCGAAGTAGGCTCAGCGGTGGGTGCTGTTTCAGGTGAGGAAGTAGCCACATGCTGATGAAGCTTCTGTAGTTCGTTCTCTTCCATCATCATTTCCATGGGAGTGGCGATATCGTCAATCGTGCTCATTGCTGTCTTGGCTGTTTTCTTATTTGTCTTGAAAATTCGGAGGTGTTTGTTGTTGTTTCGGTTGTGGCTGTTGTTTGGGATTGAGAGACTTTTGATAGAACAATAATATAAAAAGGTGCGGAATTTTTTATATCGATGATGATGATTGATGCTGCGGTTCGGGTATAATGTCAGGTAATAACGTATACCGGTGCCGTATCATCTAAAATCTGCCGCATTGATGCGCAAATGGGGGTTCTCATTTTGAGCATCGAAGTTCGTTTTCAAAAACTTCAGAAAATACCCGCATCGGGGGTAACCTTCATCATCAGTACCAGGTACCAGGTACCAGGTACGAGGTACGAGGTAGTCGTATGCATATCGGAACCGTATCGATGAATATTATATGTGATATCTAGACTTTCTGCCATTCTTCTTTGATATTCATCTGAGTGGAGCTTCAAGGAAATCGCCGGCACATCTCGCGCCAGCAGGCACAGTTCCATGACAGTACACACTAACATACTCTAAAAACAACCTTCACGTTGGCGCCATTCCGTAATAATACTTCAACAATAATCGCATGCAATGCCGTACGATTCGTGTTGTCAACCATCATCAACATTCGCAACAGAGGTCAGCAATATAGTTCAACCATCTCCGCAAAACCCTGCGCCACTTGCTGCATGCAACGGTGCCCAATTCCATTGTTGTCATCATCAACCCCACGACTCGGGTTGGCTGCCAAGAATTAAAATGGACTCTTATGTCTCTCAGTGCTTTGCTGTAATTTTCTCCAATCACCAGTCCAGCCAGCCTGTTCGGTATGTAGCTATACTCCACACCGTAAAGTCCTTGCTCATAACATGACCTTCCCAAGACTTGCCAATGACGAGGTAGATTCCATAAGCAACTGTTCATCAAGTACTGATTGATTGACTATTATATTCATTCGTTAAGTCAACATGCATTTGACGGCTGAAGCGAGATGATGATGGAGCTGCCATAAATTGGAGTCTTTTATCTATCGTAGAGTGTATTTGAAGGGTTAGCGTAGTTGTTTCAGTTTTCACAGCCGCACTGATGGTGATTGAACAAATGAAGGCTACCGTGCTATTGCGCACGCATGCAATGGTTCGTGTCCGTAAGTGAACGGGATCGGCCTTCGCGGAAGCCTGTCGATGAAACGACGATAACAACACTCTTTTGTAGAATACGATTTGATCTACATTACATCTACTACTTCGTAAGTCAACACTCTCGTAATAACGTAACGATTAAATTTATATGGTTTATCAGATCCAGCAATAACTGCCAAAAGTTATCCGACGAACGAAACGAAAATGAAAATGTTTGAAATGTATTGAAATGTATTGAAATGTATTGAAACGTATTGAAATACAATGCCATCAAACGTTATGAACGTAATAATGAACATAATCATAAATGCGAAATGACATCAAATGTTATGAACATTATGATGAACGGTGCTGAGAAACACCAACGAAAACTGCCACGAATGGTGCTGAGCAACACCAACGAAAACTGCCACGAATGGTGCTGAGCAACACCAACGAAAACTGCCACGAATGGTGCTGAGCAACACCAACGAAAACTGTTACAAATCATGCTGAACAACACCAATGAAAACTGTTAAGAATAAAAGAAATGTAAACTAACAATTTGATGTATGACATTGATACAGGCAACATGGCTGCCGTTCCTCCTTTCTTCACTGTACATGACGACATGGCCATCTGTGGCATTGACGATGTCACCCTTTTCCAAGGACGCACACAAGCCGAGAGAATTGCTTACGAAATATTCTCGGACGATTTCACCACAACAATGGACAGCACCATTGACGAACTGTTCAAGACCCTCACAGGATTGACGATTCCGCAAGGACAGATACGCTTGATGCCAGCTATCAAAAGAACATCCGCGCATTCATCCAATGGTGCAGAGACGAGATTTGCATGGGACGAGACCCTACCACAACACCATTTCCCGTCGTTGATGCAGCCAAACTGCTCAGACGCATGAAAACACACGAACAATACGTGTATGGCTCCAAGTTGATGTCGCAACAAGCGCTACCGCAAGATTTCACCAACAATGTCCAATGGGAAGGTTGGTGCCCAACGTTCGAAAATTACCTTCGCACCATACCAGGAAGAGACGGTGAGCCAGAATGAACGATGCAGGAATGCTCACCCTGCACAAAGATTTCTTGGAAATCTACATCAACATGGCACCACACGTTGGCGAAGCATACGTCATGGATAACGCCAAAGTACTAGTCCTTCTCAGCAAGTTTATCGTGGGGAATACCGAAGCTGAAGCGACCCTCCAAGCCAACAACATTGCAGGCAATGGAAGAGAAGCATTCAACGCACTACGTACCCACTTTGAAGGCAAAGGGATACTAGCCAGCGACATTGTCGAAGCTGAACACACCATCAAAGAACTGTGTTGCGTTGGTGAAAAACCAAAAATGAACTGGTCCATGATTGAACGAATGCTAAAAAAAAGCGTATGCAGCATGCGCCAAACATGAGGGGAGAGAAGTCCATTCAGACGCAATGAAACTGCGTAGCCTACAAAGCAAGGTTACAGCACCATTTCTACAACTGAACAAGACGGCAATTGATACGGAAATTGGCAAAAGACCGATGTTGATGACTTTCACGACGGCATTACGAATCTACCGAACTGCAGTGAGAAAAAAGTTTCCCCAAGGAACCAGCAATGCAACCGATAGGGGACGCTACTTGAGCGAAACTAGAGCTGACAACGATCGCGACAGAAGCAGGAGCCGAAACGATGGAGGAGGCAACAAACGTCGCAACGAAGAAGAAATTACTCTGAGTAATGGAGAGAAGATCTGGTACCATCCTAGCTACCGTTTCTCTCCAACACACCTACATGCGTTTACCAACAAACAACGTGAACGCATGGCGAAGGAAAGAGCCGCATACAGAGAAAGTCAAGGATTGCCAGCAAGAAGAACAACAAGACAGGCCGCACAAACACAACAAGTGGAAACGCAGCTGGCGGAATTGCGAGCCGAAGTAGCATCGATTAGATCCAACAACGTACCTGCTACGATTCCAGCCGAAGCAGCCATGCAGATATCACAAGTGACTATGGGAACGACTGGAACTACAGCAATGGGCGGACGCAACCAACTGGCTAACAACCAACAGGCAAGCGGTAGGACCTGAAACGCGATAAGTGAAGTCAAGTAAGATTGCGTTTCATACAGATGCATATATGACTGATGAGCGAACAATAATAAGGCGCCGAAGCGTCTATGTTTTATTGGCGACAGTAGATAGACGACTAGAATAGAGCTAGAAACAAGGAAGCTGTATCCAACTAGCAACTTAACGAGGTATCTAGTTCACTATGGACAGTCTTTTACTAGACGATCACTAGACCAGTACTATCGCACACCACACAGACACTCCAGTGTCAATTATGATTTGGCGAACACTAGCTATTTAATCATATCGTAACCAAATTGTCTGCAATGGCATCTAGTACCTGGTGGTACGCTCTACTGCAGCGCTATGTTTTGGATCTTGTGCCCGTCTATCCAGCTTATTTTCTGTAGTGTGGTATAGTCCTCGTCAACATCGAGTTGTGTGAATCTTTTACATGTGATTTTAATTAAAAATGGAGAGGGACGCGCGAAGCCTGACTGATTGACATATATATCCTCTTCGATGCCAGTACTTTAGTCCATATTTGTACCACAAGAACCATTCGCAAACCGACCCTTGTTTGCTGGATGGACTGATTGATAGGTTGGTGGATGATTGGATGGATGGAATCATTCTTGTAACGAAAATCATCCGTACCATTTGATATTGAGGGCACAATGTTTCTCGTCGAGGATTAGGACTATAGGACAATATTAGGGAGACTGATGATCCCCATAAATAGAGAACTGTCCATTTGGAGTTTGCAAGGTTTGTGTCGATTCAAGGTAAGGACATGCAGTTGTGCTAAAGTCCATTCTGCTGGGCTGGTGTTGTTGGTGTTGTCGCAATCTATCTTGTATGGCTCGACTCGCTTCGATTTGGGCAAGCAATGATTTGGTCGGGCGTGTAGAGTCCGTTTCGATGGGAACCGTCTTGTGCCATTTCTGGTGGGTTATTGTGTTCATGATTGGTGGTGTGCCATTGTTAGACAAAAGGACGAAAACAAAGGAATCAAACGCAGGAATCGTGAGCAATAACAAGATGAGCGGCAGTCTCAGTACTAGGTTCACTCTTGGATTCATATCCATTTGCTGGCTGTACTTAACACTTACTTTGTGTCCACCAGCAGCCATGTTGTCGTCTGTATCTATCAGTGCTGACAGTGGCGAAAGTCCCGGATTGCTGGAGTGCACTTTCATTGGGGAAGCCACTGGTGTCATCAAGAAGGAGGATGGCGAAGAAGGCTCAGCGGTGGGTGCTGTTTCTGGTGAGGAAGTAGCCACCTGCTGCTGAAGCTGCTTCTTCTGTAGTTCGTTCTCTTCCGTCATCATTTTCATGGGAGTGGAGGTATCGTCAATCGTGCTCATTGCTGTCTTGGTTGCTTTCTTTGTCTTGAGAATCGAAGGTTTTTGTTTTTGTTGTTCTTGTAGTTGTGGCGGTTGTTTGGGATTGAGAGACTTTTGATATGGGTGCGGAATCGGATCGTGCAATCTGTCTCATCGATTTTGAATGAAATGTGGGTTCTCATTTTGAGCATGTATGTTCGTTATCAAAAACGTCAGAAATTACTGCATAAAATATACGACTGAAAATAACCCATGGCTTTTTTTTTTGGACCTTGTTCTCGCATCAACAGTATAATATCATGCATAGTATCATCGCCAAAATCTCCGCTGGTCCATGTATCATACAGTGTGTCCATCAAGCCGATACCTAGAGCTAGACTTTCTGCCATTCTTTGACTTCTGAACGAAACGAGTTATTATGCGACAGGTAACGCCGCCCGGCGGCTCTTGTGTAGTAGGTGCGTATAATAGCTGCGTTGTATTATTTTAACAATTTGTGTTTCATGCATGCATAAGCATATATATCCCTTCATTTGGAACTTGTAACCCATTCCCTATCCCCTAGCTGCCAGCATTTATTAGATTCGCAATCCACGAGGAGGACAGCCTAATATAGTAGGCACCATAACCATATGTCCAATATCTTCTCCTTGAATCATGATATACGCCAGCAGGTTGTCGTTGTCGTTCTGTTGAGTATAGCTATAGTGATGGTCGGACAAATTGTGTACAGCAGGCATATAATCCTTTGCCTGACTGACTCAATGCATGCATATTTGAATTTTAGAAATACATCTGATTTTTAAAATGGATGGAGAGGGAACGAGCAAAGACTGACTGACTCACTCATATATCCTCTTCTGTGCCAGTACACGCAAAGCTACCCTTATTCGCTGGATTAATGAATTGATAGGTTGATGCATTGATAGGTTGATGGATGGCTTCATTCACTCTTGAGATGAAAAAATCATTCATAGGCACCATTTGTTATACAAATTTTCATTCAAACGAGTGTTATATCATAGATATAGAATAGCATGGTGGTGAGCCCCAAACAACAACAGTTTTGTAATTTTGTTATGCCTGCTAATGACGCCGTTGTGGATTCATTCCCAAGGCCATCCCATTAGACGTCCTCGTGGTACTTCGTTTTCCTCCTCCTTGTTGGTACACAAAGGTTTGTCCATTGGGCGTTTGCAACATGCCACTCGAAAAGATTGGCTTCTCCTTTGAATTTTTGTCAAGACGTTCTTGGGTCGCTGCCATCTTGGCCAACCACGCCTTGGTGGGACGATTGGGAATGTAACCGACGGGAATGTTGGAATTATTGTGATGCAACTAAATAGCGAAAGCGAAAGAGACACAGAGAGGGATAAGTGGTTGGTGAGCGATATCACATATGTTATTGGCGAATCCTAGCATGTAGAACATGTAGCATTATGATATAGCATGATAGAATATATCATATCATATCATGTGCTAGCAAGCAGCAGCATAATATAAGAAAAATGACATCACATGACATACCTTGGGTCGTTTTGTATTCAAGTTTGACAAGTTGTCACCCTGCCGTTTTTGTGCAGGCAACAATCCTTGTTTGGCCAACCACGCCTTGGTGGGTCGATTGGCTACCGACATATTCATTGGCCGAGTCGTTGGTCGTGGTTTGTAAGTTTTGGATGGTGGACGATCATGCGTTGGTGGAGTACTAGTTTTGACAGCCTTTGGTCTTGCAGTAGTAGTTGTCGTCGTCGTCGTTGGTGGTGGTGGCTTGGGACGGGTAGCAGTCTTCGGAGCAGTATTAGTGCTGGTTCGTCTTGCTGCTGCTGTTGTGGTTGTTGTTGATGTGTTAGTGCTCGGACGATGCGACAGTGACGAGCTGGTGGAGGTTGGCCTGCTAGATTTCTTGGGTTTGGATGAAATCGCTGTTGTTGCTCTCATTGGTGACTCGGTGCGAGTGGCAGCGGTCGCAAGACGAGACGCCAATGGAACAGGGGTTGTTCGTCGTTGCTGGGTACTGCTAGAAGTTTTATTCGTCGTTGTTATCTTTGGCGTCTTTAGTGGTGTCGAAAGTGAAGAAGACGAAGCAGAAGACAAGGGAGATGCAGACTCGGCAGTGGCAACCGTAGCTGGAGTAGAAGTGGTAGTGGTAGTGGCAGCAAGAGTTTGCTTGTTCTTGGAAATGTCCATGTTGCTAATCACTGGGTCGTCCTTCTTTGTAGGAGTCGCTTCCACTTCAGGCAGCACTTGTTCCGCTTCTTCTTCTTCATGTTCCGTTGCCATGGCAGCATCGAGAGAATCGTCATCCACCTCGGTGGCTTCCGCAGGCACTATTTCTGCGTCATCTTCTTCATGACGAGTGGTGTCGTCGAGAATGTCGTCCAAAAGTTCATCAAAATCATCAAAGTCGTCCATTTTGTCTTCTTTGTCTAGTCTAGTCTAGTCTAGTCTAGTCTAGTCTAGTCTTGTCTGTCTCGTGTCGTTCTTGTGTGCAGTGTTGCGGTGTTGCTTGTATTGCTCTTCTGTTGCTCTTGTGGTGAGAATGAGATTACAGATATGGCTGTACGTAGAGTGATTGGAATGACTGCTGTGTGTGTGACAGGAAGAAGAAGAAGAAGAAGAAGAAAGAGTACTCGTATTCGTAAAACACTTCTTTTGCCTCCGAGGAGTGAGGGAAACGTACATAGAAGAGGCCCAACGCATCGCTCATAGGCATGCGTCATCCAATTTGCTTAATGTCGATCATCGCAAAACGACATTCTTGTGACATATATGTGCAAGATGGTCCTTCCATCCACGTGGAAGGTGATTTTGGACAATCAGACGACAGACAGAAGGACGGACGCATGGATGGAAGATGGAAGCTCTCAGATTTGCTCATGTCATACTGTAGGTTGCTTTCTCATTTCTTTGTGGTTCTAGCCTTTCCTTTCTTCCTTCTCTCTTTGTTCAACACAAAGAGAGTTCAACACAAAAAGAGAGATAGACATAAGTTATGAAACGCCGAAGCCCGATGAGGCAAAGTTCTTCCCAATTGTCATCACAATCTTCAGGAGCGGCGCCATCGTCATCAGTAGCCCATCATCATCATCATCATCATCATCATCATCATCCTCGGCTTCACCAAAGACGCAAACGAGTTCATCGACAAGGCTTTGTGAGTTCCTGTCTGTCACGACTTTGGGGTAACAATGATAATGATACCAACCATAAGATACTATCGTCATCATCATCCATGTCGTTTGATGAAGAAAACTGGACAACGAGGACAAAAACGACAACAAGTCGTGCCGGCGATCAAGCCCTTGGATTGTCACGTGGAGGAGGATCCAGCACAATAGACGAAAAAGAAGTGGTGGTGGACGATCGGTTCAATTATGCCTTGTTGATTGTACTGTATACCCTACAAGGGATCCCCATGGGCTTGTCGGCCAGTATTCCATTCTTGTTGCAAGAAAAGATTGGCAAATTGGCCGCATCGGCCGCGGCTTCCACCATGGCCACTGCTGCTGGTGCAGCCACATCATCTAGTGTGGCGTCCATTCAAGCATCTTCCTATCATGCCAATGCCATTTTTGCCCTATGTAGCTGGCCTTTTTCCTTGAAGTTGTTATGGGCGCCCATTGTCGATGCCATTTATTTCAAAAGGTTGGGACGTCGAAAATCTTGGTTGGTGCCCATTCAATTGTTGGCGGGTGCCTTGCTTTGGGGTGGTGCCAACTTTGTCGAGGAGGAATTGGGTTTGGGACATTTGAGTTCCAGCGGAGGTGGTGAAATGAATGTCAAGGGAGTCACGTTATATTTCTTTGCGCTCTACTTTCTCATGGCGACTCAAGACATTGCCGTCGATGGATGGGCGCTCACCATGCTATCCAAAGCCAATCGAGGCAAGGGACCAATGTGCAATTCCATTGGACAAAACATTGGATACTTTTTGAGTTTTGTAGGATTTCTGGCCATGAATGACGTTGAAGCGAGCGAAACCTTGTGGCGACCTTTACTTCGTCTACCTTCCAATCCCACCAAGGGATTGGTCAGTTTGCAAGGATTTCTCAAATTCATGGGGGCGACCATGTTGGTCACTACCCTGGGTGTGGCCATTTGGAAACGTGAGTTGCCTCCCGTCTCAACTACTACTGGTAATGGTGTTTTCAATCAAGTACAACACAATGATGATGACGATGCCGAGTTGGATGCTGCCGAACTGGGATTAAAGGAAACCTATCATCGATTGTGGGCGGTCTGCCAATTGCCATCGGTCCGACTTCTCTTTTTGATTCTCGTCACCTACCGACTCCCCACGGCACTCTCCGACAATGTCAAATTTCTAAAGGCGGTCGAATTGGGCATGAGCAAATCCACGACGGCCCTCCTCTCACCCACGGTTATTTTGCCACTGGGCATCCTAGTGCCGATTGCTGCCCATCACATTTGGCACAAGGAGGGTCCCTTACGACAATTCCTCACTGCCTATCAATGGCGAGTTACGGTCATTCCTCTATTGGATATACTCATGTTGCACATGATTACCAAATCTCAAAATCATCATGGCGGACTCTTTTGGTTGGCCATTTTGGCATCGACGGCGGGACAAGCCATTTGCAATTCCCTTCAATTCAATGCCCAAATGATCTTTTTTGCCTCAAGAGTGGATCCCGCCATTGGTGGAACGTACATGACCCTATTGAATACGGCGGCAAATCTAGGTGGGACGTGGCCCTCCAGTGCGGTCATGGGATTCTTGGGATATCTTACCAAGATGCGACAAGATTCTTGTGGTACTAGTAATGATGGTCCTGCTATTGGTGTCATCACCAACAGTAACAGTGGTGGCTTCTTTTGTGCGACAGATCCCTACTTTTATTTGCAAGCCATCTTTTCGGCACTTGGAATTGCTTGGATCATCTACTTTTCACCCAAATTGAAACGCTTGGCTGCCTTGCCCGATGACATGTGGCGGACCCATTTGTTGGATGGCCAGGATGGTGGTACTCCAGATACCACAGGTACCACTACTGTTGGCATGAGAAAAAAGTTTGATGGAGATAAGGTTGATTTGGGTGATTTGGAAGACGGTGACTTGAAAGTAAATGCTCCTATTGCCAGAGGCGGAAGCAAAAACAATAGCAACAACAACAACAACAACTCTAAGCAAGCATAGCGCAACAGTTGACTGACAGACTGAACATAGTCAGAAAGCATAATAGCATAGACATGAATAATACAATACACCAGCCAATTCAATACTGGAATAACACTGCACTACTTTTTCTCATTAGATACGTAATGGTAGGTCGACCGCCGCCCTTTTTTAAGCAGCTCATCATGTCGATGCATAAAATATTACGAGTGACTTTCAGTGCATGACTCACTCACTCAAGCCCGGTATTTATTTCACCGAAGAAATATTAAATATCATCACGATGACCGCTATATATTCTAAAATATTACCGCAGTTCTCTTTGAGATGTGTTCTCCAGTCGAATGCCTTAAAAAGGCATCATATTCTGTGGCTTCGATTAACGGATGGAGGCGATTCGCAAAATGCGGTGTCACGAGTTGATCGAGTATCGAACATTCAAATATACCGGTACACATCTATCGTGTGTAAAACTTTGCAAAGTATTGTAACATTATACAAAAACAACAACAACAACAATCAAGCCTATCATAACATTGAACAACTCTAGCTTTTGTGATGAGACAATTTTCTATGAGAATTGCGGTACGTGGAGAAGAGCTCTCAAAGTGCGTGCAATGATAAAGAAAGTTCTAATTTGTTCATTCGTCTTGTCTCATCTCGATCAGGCCCTTCCTGCCTCAATCTCTCTTTTGGCCACAATTTTATCCTTCGAATGCAACCACGTCTTGGCACAACCTAATCTACAAGATTACATTCTCAATGCACCAGCATGCAGCATTTCACAAGAAGATCTGAATGTCCATTGCGACTTTAGCAACATAGAACCCTTAGATGGAAACATTGCTCATTTCATTACAGGGTTTGACAATTGTCAAGGAAGTGCAGCTCGCGATTCGGAATTGTCCCTTTCAGCTGCTACTGGCACTGCTGTCAGCGGCGGCTACAGTGTCATAGTCGACATTAACACTGATTTCAACTTAACAAATGGAGAATCGGAAACTTTTACCTTTTGTCTGCTGACTCACTTGCGGGACGCAAGTAACAATCTAATGATCTATCAAGGCGAGAAGATCAACTCCACCTTCACTTCTGACGGAGAATTCACCGTCTCGGATCTGGATACAGAAACCTTTGATGGTGTGAACGTAGACGTGAATTCCGATACGAAGATATTTGCAGTTACGGCCTATCGTTGCGATCTCAGTCGCAATCAGATCACCACACCACCCGTGGCTGTTGGCGTCACTCTGCTCATCTGTATTGATACTGGGGACACCAAGGTGGTGATTTCCGCTGTGAATGGATTCTATGGGGTTAAGACCAACGTTGCCCAAACGGACTTGCTCGCTGGAAATACCGAAGTTCTTGGCCTAAGTACAGATACCGTCACGATTGGCACTCGTCCTTTTGTCAAATTCTTTGAGGATACGGATCTTTTAGAGGTCCTGGGAACAGTATCTCTCGACATTGGCGACAGTGGTGCTTCGCGTCAGTTGCGGATGCGGAAGCTGCAAGTAGGTGGCAAGGAGGACACTTTCGATGTGAAAGTAGAAGTGGAAACGCAGCGAGAAGCATCTGTGGCAGCACGCCACGCGTGCGCTACCACAGGAATGGTTGGTGTGTTCTTGACTGCCATGACTATCTCGTTTGCCTAGTAGATGAGTCTACGATGGGATAGAAATCTAGAAAACATAATCAATATATTCGAATAGAGTTGTGACAATTCTTATATTGCTAGAGAATTGATCTTTTGGCTTTGCCGGACCATTCGATTATCGCTTGGCTGGGATCGAAATGAGATTGGTGTTAATACCGGTAATAGCATTGAAGATGCCATTTGACAGCAATAACGCAATAACGGCAGTGGTAACCAAAAGAGACGATTCTGAATAGCGACCAACACTTCCTTGACAAATTTCAAAGCCACTGATGTAACTAGCACTCATATTTCCACTTATGGGTTCAATGTTAATCAGACCGCAAGGGGGACTCAGACTTTATTGAGATCCTGTATTATGGTACATTAAGAATGTAGTTTTGTAGATTACACTTTACCAGGACCGAGTTAAACTTGATAATGGTTGCCGGGAGGAGGTGCCTACGCGCGTTGAGACATGTTGTAGATGTAGTACGAAGTGGGAGCCTTCTTCTTTTGTCTTCTTCGATATTTCCGACGTTGTTTCAAAGCTCCTCTCCAGCAGGTACTCGTACCGCAATTATGCAATCGATGTAGATCTCATGGTGCTACACATGATACGAGAAGCTTCCACGTTTTTTCGATGTATGACGGAAGAAAGAACGTCATTAACTTTGTTGTTACGACCAGAGAACATATAGGTGTACCATCACCTGTCATCTGTGGAGTTGATTTATGCCTGTGAAAAACCAAATCACGTCTCCCGACTTATTGTTGTTCGTCATCATTTATTGGGACTCAAATTTTGTTCCTTCACGGGAAAAATGTTTGTTCTGTGCTTTTTCTCCGATGTTGGTATGGTCATAAAGATGTCATTTTCGAAATTTGTAGTGCAATGTCTCGGCATATATACCGTAGTGCTCAACCAACACAGATCTCTACATCATGACTTCGATAGAAACTATCGGAAATATTAGTAGCTCTAAACAGTCCTTAATATGCCTGCGGATATAAAAGGCTTAGATGTTGTATTGGTGGAACTCATCGGTGTCAATTTGGGTTCGGGTCAACAAAGTACAATAGAAAGATTTTCTGGTGCTGGTTTTTGTCTCTGCTTTTCTCACAATTTCAGATTTCACTGAAACAAAAAACAAACGAAAAAGAAGTCAAACAATATGAAGCTCTCGGTACGTCGAGGAAATCATCATTTCTTGTGCAGAGTGCAGCAACCACTAACCATGTCAATCAATTATCGTTTCAGACTATCTCCACCGGCCTTTTCGCATCCCTACTAGCCTTGTTGCAAACTCCTACCGCATTTGGTCAAATCATAGACTACTCTCTCGCGGCACCCACTTGTGCCATCACTGCTGACGACAATGTGCAGTGCGACTTTGCCAGTATCCTCCCTCTGACTGGAAACCTTGCTTTCTCCATCACCGGCTATGGCGACTGTACAGGAACCGCCACTCGTGACCTTGAGATGAGTCTTTCAGCTGCCACGGCAACTGCCGTTGCTGGAGCCAGCACAGTTTCCGTGGACCTCAACACCGGCTTCACCATAGCCGATGGGGCGTCCGAAGCCTTTGAGTTTTGCCTGTTGACCAGCTTGAAGGATGGAAGCGGTAATGAAATGTTCTACCAAGGTCAAAAGATCAGCGCTACATTCACGGCTGATGGCGGATTCACCGTTGCCGGTATTACCTCCGAACAGTTTGATGGAATCAGCGGTACTATTGCCACCGACACAAAGACCTTTGGCGTCACTGCTACCAGATGTGACGGTCACGACACCCGCGTCCCCATCAGCACTCCTGCATTGGCCCTTGGAACCACCTTGTTCATCTGTCTTGACACGGATGACGACAGTGTTGTAATTCAGTCTGTTGACACTTTCTTGGGCAGCAAGACCAATGTGGCCTCGACCAACTTGCTTTCTGGTAACACGGAGGTGCTTGGAGCTAACTCTGCTGCAGCGACTGTTGGAACCCGTCCATTCAGCACTTTCTTTGCCGATACTGACACCATTGACATTGCTGGAACTGTCACTCTGGTCGTTACTAGCAACAATTTGAGACGTCGTCATTTGGCCCGTATCTTGCAAACCGGGGCGGACGAGTTTGATGTGCGTGTTGAAGTGGAGCCCATTGAGGAATCTTCTGCTCCTTCATCATTCAGCGTTGCCAGTTTTGCTTTCTTGGGTGCGGTCGCTGCCGTTGCCGCCATTTAAACCAAATTCGAGGTAGCTTTACCGTCACTGTTGAGAGAATAATATATGGTACAATGGAAAAGAAATAAAAAGAACGACAGATTCAAGATAGAGATAATATTATATTTTATAAAAGAATACAGTACCAAGAAACGAAACAAAATGTAATGATCAGAATTATTACTTGTCGATTGAAGGAGCATGTAGTTTCGGGCACAATAGTAACAGCCAACTTGCCTATAGTTCTATTGTGCGTTGGATATAGTCTTGATATTACTGGGAACAGAAGTAGACCTCGAACCTTCGTCACTATATGGTACCAAGACGATTTGTGAAGCTGCGAGTTTTCACATACCCGCGGGACAATACATGCATAGGTTGCTTCCCTGCTTTTACACTACAGGTATGCTACTACTGTTGCCGTGAGAAATAGGTTCGATGGAGACAAGGTCGCATGGATACTGTAATAACACAAGAGCCAATACAATAACGTAATATCACTACACTTTTATCCTGGTGGATATATAGCTCGGCCGGCTATCATGTCGATCCATAGGAACCATTGGTTCGGAGGGAATCTTCGTTCGAAGCACCATCCATGAGACCGTAGGTTTCGTACAATAGAATGTAGTCTTCGTTATTCCAGCCGAGAAGAAGTACGACATCATCGTCGTTGATAACAACATTGAAGGTGCCATCTCTAAGCGCGTTGAGACATGTTGTAGATGTAGTACGAAGTGGGAGCCTTCTTCTTTTGTCTTCTTCGATATTTCCGACGTTGTTTCAGAGCTCCTCTCCAGCAGGTACTCGTACCGCAATTGCAATCGATGTAGATCTCATGGTGCTACACATGATACGAGAAGCTTCCACGTTTTTTCGATGTATGACGGAAGAAAGAACGTCATTAACTTTGTTGTTACGACCAGAGAACATATAGGTGTACCATCATCTGTCATCTGTGGAGTTGATTTATGCCTGTGAAAAACCAAATCACGTCTCCCGACTTATTGTTGTTCCAAATAAAGGTGACTGTGCTATAGGATGCGAGATGCGCCGTACTGATACGAACGTGTACGATTGCAAGCGGTCTGTGAGTAGTAAGGATAAATCGGCTGCTTACGAAAGCTGTCGATGAACGATGAACACACTCTTTTTAAGAATACGTTTGATTACAATACCGTCTACCGTCTACCATAGCTACTACTTCGTAAGTCAACAACATCGTAACGCAGTGACGATAATATTAACATGGTTCGTCATCATTTATTGGGACTCAAATTTTGTTCCTTCACCGGAAAAATGTTTGTTCTGTGCTTTTTCTCCGATGTTGGTATGGTCATAAAGATGTCATTTTCGAAATTTGTAGTGTCTCGGCATATATACCGTAGTGCTCAACCAACACAGATCTCTACATCATGACTTCGATAGAAACTATCGGAAATATTAGTAGCTCTAAACAGTCCTTAATATGCCTGCGGATATAAAAGGCTTAGATGTTGTATTGGTGGAACTCATCGGTGTCAATTTGGGTTCGGGTCAACAAAGTACAATAGAAAGATTTTCTGGTGCTGGTTTTTGTCTCTGCTTTTCTCACAATTTCAGATTTCACTGAAACAAAAAACAAACGAAAAAGAAGTCAAACAATATGAAGCTCTCGGTACGTCGAGGAAATCATCATTTCTTGTGCAGAGTGCAGCAACCACTAACCATGTCAATCAATTATCGTTTCAGACTATCTCCACCGGCCTTTTCGCATCCCTACTAGCCTTGTTGCAAACTCCTACCGCATTTGGTCAAATCATAGACTACTCTCTCGCGGCACCCACTTGTGCCATCACTGCTGACGACAATGTGCAGTGCGACTTTGCCAGTATCCTCCCTCTGACTGGAAACCTTGCTTTCTCCATCACCGGCTATGGCGACTGTACAGGAACCGCCACTCGTGACCTTGAGATGAGTCTTTCAGCTGCCACGGCAACTGCCGTTGCTGGAGCCAGCACAGTTTCCGTGGACCTCAACACCGGCTTCACCATAGCCGATGGGGCGTCCGAAGCCTTTGAGTTTTGCCTGTTGACCAGCTTGAAGGATGGAAGCGGTAATGAAATGTTCTACCAAGGTCAAAAGATCAGCGCTACATTCACGGCTGATGGCGGATTCACCGTTGCCGGTATTACCTCCGAACAGTTTGATGGAATCAGCGGTACTATTGCCACCGACACAAAGACCTTTGGCGTCACTGCTACCAGATGTGACGGTCACGACACCCGCGTCCCCATCAGCACTCCTGCATTGGCCCTTGGAACCACCTTGTTCATCTGTCTTGACACGGATGACGACAGTGTTGTAATTCAGTCTGTTGACACTTTCTTGGGCAGCAAGACCAATGTGGCCTCGACCAACTTGCTTTCTGGTAACACGGAGGTGCTTGGAGCTAACTCTGCTGCAGCGACTGTTGGAACCCGTCCATTCAGCACTTTCTTTGCCGATACTGACACCATTGACATTGCTGGAACTGTCACTCTGGTCGTTACTAGCAACAATTTGAGACGTCGTCATTTGGCCCGTATCTTGCAAACCGGGGCGGACGAGTTTGATGTGCGTGTTGAAGTGGAGCCCATTGAGGAATCTTCTGCTCCTTCATCATTCAGCGTTGCCAGTTTTGCTTTCTTGGGTGCGGTCGCTGCCGTTGCCGCCATTTAAACCAAATTCGAGGTAGCTTTACCGTCACTGTTGAGAGAATAATATATGGTACAATGGAAAAGAAATAAAAAGAACGACAGATTCAAGATAGAGATAATATTATATTTTAT